GGCACATGTGTTGAAATTAAAGTTTAAACACAAATAACAAAATTTAAATAGGAAAATATTTTCAAGGGTTTATGTACCTACCTAGCTTTTTTACAAAATTGAAATACAAAAAAGTTACAATTACCAATTAAAAAAAAAAAATTTAAAAAAAAACTATTACTGATATACCTTTTTTGTATCATAACTTTTAGAAAAAAAGCCACATACAGACCTCAAAAATATCCTCCTCTTTAAATTGTATAACTTGTATTTAATCTTTATTTTCAACCAAAATGCCACGATTTACGTTCTAAGTAATGCAATTTAATATATTAGTTAGACTATGGCAATAGGTTCGAATGTAATATCCTCTTAATATTGAATAAAAAATATATAGCTAAACTCAAACGAACTAAAACATTTTATATGAAAACAATTTTTGATAATTAAATTCCTAAATAATACAAAATATCCTGTAATTACTTTCTTGTGTAATTTTATGACACGCTTATAAGATGTAATTAATTTAAAAAGTTTATAACTTAAAAGCGTGGACGTAAAAATTTACTTAAGTTATAATTAAATTTTTATTTAATTTCTGTTGTTATATTATACAAATGTATCACTACATATACACAATAAGATATAACAACAGATATTTGATATTGATTTTAAAAAAAAAGAAAAAATACCTAAACGTAATAAAATAAGTTGTCAGTGATACTTTACATCGTGCCTTTATATAATATGTAAATGACAGGTGTAGAAGTACGATTGTCGACGTTTGATTGGTAACCTGTAATAAATCAATAGGTAGGTATAGTAGGTACTCGTACGCAGGAAATCTAATTTCAGATATTATAATGTAACGACTTCAGTTCGAATATGAAATATAAACATTTACCTACACTCGGTAAAAAAGTTGAATTTTTGTGTTTTTTTAGCATATTAATTTTTTTATTATTATTATTATTATTATTTTATTGTTTATAATCGTGTATCGTATACGTATAATTGTATTAATGCTTAAATATCTGAATTAGGAACCTAAAAATAATTTCGGTTAAGGAATATGGATGGTCGATTATTATGTATACTTCGACATACATTCGATACTTTAGTATTGTATATCGGAATCGAGATAATTTTTGGTATCAATTTCGGTATTTTATTATGTTAAAATCACAAGTGTGCTAACCAATGGTCGAAGTGGGGGGATACGGAGGGATGACATCCCACCACTTATTATAATCTACATTTTTCAGCCCTTCACTAATTTTGTTTATTGATAAACTGCACATGCATAAATTATACATTTATGTTAATATGTATTACATTGTAAATAAAAATATAATTATATGTATATATAAATTTAAATATATCAACAAATAAAACATCAAACTGAAAGACAAAAATATATACTATATATAAATGTGTGTTGTAAAAATAAAGTATAGGGCCATAAGGGTTCAACTCATCTCCACCTCCAATCACCCCCACGTGTATAAACCATAATATAAGAATAGTATAAAAGTTTAGGCATCCCACCGCTTAATTTGAACCGCTTCGACCACTGGCGCTATCGTGATAATCATGGTTGAATACATTTTTTATTTTATAATAATATGTGTTCTTTCGTCTAAATTTTAAATTAAATTAATATTTTGTTTTTTTAACAAAGATATCGAGGATCGAGCATCTATCGAGTTTCGAAATCTAAATATCGCTCGTCTGTCAATGATTGATTATTACTCGGACATATAATAATTTAATAGATATCTGTATGTATATAAATTATAAACTATTAAAATTTACCTACCTAATAGTTTATTAATTTTTATGGAAACTCGTTTTGAATACCTAATGAATTAATACCTATGTTACCTATAGTTGTATGCGTAGATCACGTAGGTGTCAATTATGTGCGCACATTCAAATATTTCGTTCCGAATTTGTCTAAATAACCATTTATAAACCAAACCCTATATACTATATTATAACTCAGCAAACTATATACGACACACCTATACGGTATTTTAGATTAATCTGCGGGTAAAAGAGATTTTCCGATGTATCCAATATTTTACTTAACACAGCGTTTACACGTAATGTCTACAACTACTTTATAAATAAAAATAACTAAATATAGCCTGTATGAATATATTCGTTTACATAAAATCACGTCTCGTTTAATACGAAAACACACTTTTTTTTATATTTATAATATAATATATGTATTTACAGGAAAACTTAGACCGACTTCGCAAATCCATGCCTACAAGTATATTATAGTTTTATAAGTATTATGCCGAACACGGTTTTCCACCACGTCTTCTCTAAATTACTATATTAATAAACCCTCGGAGAAGTCTAATTTCCTAAACGTATTCATCCCAAAATGACATATTCAGGTCGCTGGTAAGATTATGATGTCGTTTTGTAGTATACCTACGCGATATTGCATATTATATAGTATTAAAATCCATCATTTTCGTATAATATTCACACGGTTGTCTGGTTTCTCGCGGTTCCATTATTATAATAATAATAATACACTGAGCTAAGTTTAATAACTTTTTGAAACACTATTTATAAGACGATCGGAAGGGAAAGAATTTTTTCATTATTATTATTATTTTTTGTTTTTTTTTTTTTTATTTGTGTACTCACAACACGGGTGCTCAGATATTAGAATGACGCGCAAACATTTCGTTTCCATAAATATTCGTTCGCTTAGCGTACCCCGATTATAAGATTTAACCGTATTGCAGTACGCACAGTATTTCGAGAATGCATATACCACGGAAATTATTTAAAATATTATATACCGGGCACCAGACATAGCTACCTAATAATAATGCTACAAAAATAACGTCGACAAATCTATTCGTATTAAAATATTTTATAATAAAAAAATATAAAAAAACTCGTAATATTTATAACTGCACACAATAACAATATGTATTCATTATATGATTTTTTTTTTTTAGATACACCTAGTTTACATATTTTGCTCTTATATTTCCACTCACTGAACTGTTATGTTGTCTACAAAATATTTACCACTCGTTTCAACTGTGATTTTGGTTATAGTCATTTATAGGTACATCAAACAAAACAATATTATAATAAAGTTATATTCATTTATTTTACAATATAAAAAAAAAGTTTGGAAATATTTTTTGACACATACACAAACATACCTCTTTCTGCAACCATACATCATATTTTTAGTAATCTGACATTTGCGTACCTACCTATACTAATATTTATTCGAGTTGACCGCACGTCACGCGTAATATTGTATTTTTGTCTGAATATATTCAATATTTTATATAAAAAAAAAGAAAAAAAAAGAAACTGCAAGCAACAATCTAGGTGAAAACATATACAATATATAATTCATGTACCCTATCAATAAAAAAACTGATATTATTTTAAAACAAAATCCAATACTACAATCGTTGTCCTTATTGTATTAAATATATCCAGCCGGAACAAAAAAATCAAGGAATAACAATTTTTTTTTTAATAACTTGTAATAATGTTACTTTTATGTGAACATAATATTTGTCCAAGATAAAATGTATGCAAATTTAGCACTAAGATTCTTCTAATATTAAATATAAAAAAAAATTGAGCACAATTTAGTCATTTAGTATAAGCTTTTTAAGTTCAAATGTTGATAAACATCGTAAAAATCGAGACATTTTAAAACATCTTTCACCGAACTTAGAATCGCATTTCATTTGCAATGATTTATCGTTACGTCAGATAGCGGACATAAACTAAATAACTGTATATGTATTCTACTATCTCGACTTTCCACGAATAATAGTGTCACATTCATTAACAGTATAAGCTCTTAATTTTTTTCTCTGAATACTTCATTCCGGTATTATAGTTTTTTAATAAGGCTAATTGGGAATTATATTGATTCGTGAGTAGGTACCTACCAATCCTTTAATCCTTACGCAAAATATTTGAATCGAGATAGTCGACGACGATGTTGTGGTGCACAGGCCATATTTCTTTGTACTGCAAGATATCACAAAGGACTAATAATATTATTATTATTAATATAAAAGAAAAACTGATGGATTTTATAGAATACACCTCCGTCACTATACGCAATAATATTCTACTCGAAATTTACGATTTATCCACATTCATCAATATATAATATTTTGTTTCGGGATTTAGTTTTATTCTCTCTCTCTCTCTTACACACACACATTCTATGTCTACCCCGTTTTCTTGCAGATTGATCCGTTTCGCCAGTGGCGTCAGTATACATAATCGCGTGGTAATAGTGCGCGGCGTTTGACATTATTAAAACACGCGTTCGACACGTTTTCTCCGCGAGGTCGTTTTCTATATAACCAGAAAACTCATTAAAAGGAATTTTATTAGCACGGCTAAATCCACTCCCCCACACCCCGTCACGCGTGTATGCATCCGAGTAGACGAAGGATTCTTGGCGCCGGCCTGCGAAATGTGTCTGATGTCGATCTGCAGCAGCCAGTTCAGAGTAAAGTTAATCAACTACCGACGACGACGGCGACGGTGATGACGTCACACGCCCTATTCTTTTACTTCGCCGCAGTTGTTGTTTTTCAAAGTTTTATTATACAAATATACGCGTACTACAACTATTACACCGTGTTTAAATGTCGTCTCCAAAACGCCTAAACAAAAAAAAAACATTTGTTTACATTTTGTATGCATTTTAAAACGGAACGACAGCGTTGGTTTTTAGTTTTTCGACAACTGCACAGCATTGAATGATATCGATATTCGTACCAATAAATAATTATCGTATCAGTGTTCGATTATTTAAGTGAGATTAAGTCACAATACAACTTTTCGAACGCGTCTATCGCCCCTTATAAGAACCGTATGATCGAAACATAATCACACTTCGTTATACCACCCTTTCCGAAACTGCTCGGAATCTTAAATGTATATAATGAACTTTTCGTTTAAAATTTAAAAAATATATAATATAATGATTTTCATACTTTGATATGTGATTATTTTATTGATTGGATCCTTTTTTTTGAATTTTAATCAATTTTTGTTTTGTGTTTTCATATATTATACAGAACGTCATGTTTCCACCGGAAAATATGACAAACGAGACAACCACGGCCATTATGATGTTGAGCACAACGTTCATAAACGACGGGCCGATGGTGGACAGCGACGCAGTATCGCCGGTCACGCTTAGTATGGAATGGAGCAGGGTCGCAAGACTGTTGATCATGATCGGCCTATCCGTGATCGGTAGCATCGGCAACGTGTACATGATTAGTTCGGTAATGATTGAGGATCATCTCAACAAGAGGGGTAAGTGCATCTCAAACATTAAACGATCATATTATTATGTTTGACTTGGAAAAAAAAATAGTAGTATTGGAACTCTATACATATTATTTAAAAAATTGTGGTGAAATATACCAGATACTAATATATTATAAACCCCAGGGTTGTTCCGCAGTACAAATTGAAAAATGTACACTATAAATTTTGCATTTTATTTATTCGATTTCTTTGTCTTATTGCAATAGCAGCAACTGCACTATATCGTCTATATGTTGTCAAGGTGACACGTTTGTTCCTATTTATTATTAATTTTATTTCGAGGTTTTTCGAGTCTTTATGTAGTCCGTTGGTAATTTATCAGAATAGATAAATTTCCTATAAATGATTTTAAAAGTTTAAACAGATTTTTCGGACAAAGACAATAAAACTCGGGTATAGTATTTGGCTGCAGGATTTTCAGATTATATGCTCTAAATTTGAGATATTTTCGTTACAGGACATTTTCAATATATACTATATGTACAGATCGTGCAAATAAATCGCGTAATAAAATAAAGACAAAATACTAAATAATTTTAAAATACTATTTTGTCTATTTTATATATAGTAGACATATTCTTTGCAAACAAAAATAAATAACCGGATAGGCACTATCATAATAAAATACAATACTATACTTCGTCCAAAAAAAAAAAAAAAAAAAATGGTAAAATTGAAACCCCTAAAAGGCAGGTCATTGAAACCAACGCCAACGCATATATAATATACATTTCACCCCATTGGCTTCATTTTAAGAGTTTGTAAGGGTGTTAAAAGCTAAAAAAAACACTGACTACACGCAACAAAATGTTTAAATCCATATTGAAATACAACCCTAATTTTACCACTTCAATCCGCCAATAAAACCGCTTTAATTCCCAAATTTAGGCTCATCTGGTCCAAAAGGAACAGCTTAACGTTTTCAAAAGTACTGGGATCTATTATATATATATAATAGATACTAAGATACAGCACATTGCATTAGTCTCTACTGTCAGGAAAAACTCAAAAAAAAAGACAAACATTTCTGGACTCCTTCAAATTTTGTTTTTAGACACACGACTTGGTGAGATTACTGGAACAGCAATGTGTGGGCACGTGCGGCTATATAATAAAAATACTCTGTATCTTTCCGTATATATATATTGTGATGTATTTCTCTATACGATCTCTGTATTTACCTCGGTTGTGGTTACGCAGGCTATTATATTTTATAAGCTGTTGAACGTTCTTATATTATACGGATAGAATGACGTTGAAAACTTTTACGGGGCGGCGTGGCGGTTCTATAACGGTAAATTTCGTGCCGGGATAAATCTCTCTCTCTTTCTCTTTTTCTGTCTCTATCTCTCTCTCACTCTCTCGAATAAAACGTATACAATATACTATTATCAATAAGGTAATTTCTTGAATTACGCACCACCTGGTAAGTATATATAGATTCGTGTAATGGTACATAATAATATATTATTGTGATATCGGGTTGCAATTGCTATTATAATATTGTAACATTTGTAACCAAGTGTATAAAAAAATTATAAATACAAATACAAATCACATTAGAATTCAATTTTAAGAGGACTTCAGTCGTTGAAAATAATTTGAAAATGTATTGAACCGATACATTAAATAATTTGTATTTCATTTTTCGGTCTTAAAAATATTTTGTTTAACAATCCTTATTAGATTAATTAAAAGGTCAAATGTTCCTCTACTGTTTCTATGCATAACAACTTTCTTCGATTCTTTTTACAGATTATACAATCCTTTACTAAATCGAATATAATCTGATTCATAAGTCTTTTCCTGGTTTCCTTTCGATTTTTCCTTCAATTATTAATATTTCAGTAAATGATTTCAAAGTTCAATAATATACGACACCCGCTAGTTAAATACTATTTAAAATATTTAATATTAAATACTCATTAAAAAATTATAGAATTATAAAAAAACACATGTAAAATAGATTCTGAAAGGTGAAGAATGTATTGGTTTTACTGAGATATTAATTTTTTTCTTTTTATTTTTTTTTTATTTTTTTATCTTGTGTACACAAAGTCTACCAGAAACCTTACTTAGATATATACGCGTGGCACCATTTCTGAATAAGAATGTTGGTACTTTTGGGAGGTCATTTTTTGATTTTCTAAGTGGTTTTCATAATATGTGGAAAAAAATCAGGAAAAAAGTAAGAAAAACGAGAAATGTACGAAATTAATGCTTTTATTATTTTTAAATTTTGTTATTTGTTGTAATTCAGTTAAAAATATTCGTAGAGACAATAAATTTGGACAGCAAACATGTATTTGCATTTTCTAGACGCGGTAAAATTAAAAACGTTTGAGTCATTTTTAGGCTTTTTATAGAAATCGTGATATTTTTGCTGAAATTCAGTTAAAAATATTTGTAATGATTCTACGGACCTAAATTTGGACAGAAATATTATATTTGTCTTTTCTAGACGTAGTAAAATTTTCAAAATATTTAAGCCATTTTTGAGCTATTTATAGACATTTTAATTTTGCGAGTTTTGTACGTAATTTTTATTAGATAGGTACTCTGTGGTAAAATTTCTAGACTTACACAGAAATGTTTGAAGATTTAACAGGTTCATTAGGAGTCTAACTTAGTAGTAAAAAAAAAAAAATTGAGTTTATTAAATTAAGAATTAAGAATTAAATTGAGTTTAATGTAGATATTTTTTATAAGAGAATTTTAATATTTAATTTTTAAGAAAATCGTTTGAGTAAAAAATTATGTGGAATAAATCTAATTTATCATTTTTTTTTTTTTTTTAAGTATATATATTGCCGATTTAATAAACGATGGAAAAGTCAGAATTAAACGGACTGACTAATTTTCGAAATTATAGCTTTTTGAAGTTCTGATATTATGGCGATATTATATGTCATATTAAATAACTCTATATTGTACCTATTGAAGCATATTTGTTGTGATCTAATGTTTATTTATACCTAGGGGTATCATCCTAGGGGTTCCAAGTTCAAATCAGTAAATCATGAAAAAATAGTTTGCATTTTTTTTTCCTTTTACCTAAACAAGAAAAAAACAAATGCATTTTGGGTGTACTCAGAGACCCAAGCCATCGCTCGCTTAGATTATTTTAATCGCAAAATACTTCTCGATTTGTTGTGCAAACTTTTCTACCAGCAATTTCTTTCCGATTTACAATGATGGCACTTTTTTAAAAAAGAAATCTGATCAGTAAGGTACTTTCGGAAGATCATTTTTCGATATTCCCAAGAGTTTTTAGAAGGTCATTTTTTAATTCACTCAAGAGTTTAACATCAAATGTGAAAAACCGAAAAAAAACTGAGGAAAAACGGGAAAATGTATGAAGTATATTAGTAAAATGTCACGATTCTTTTTGAGAATAACTTTTCTACCAACAATTTTTCTCCAATTTACAATAATAGTACTATTAAAATAGGTTGATACGTAATATTATTATATGCACACGTAGTTATTCTGATATGCATTTGAATAATCTACTTTATTCGATATTATGCATTCAACTCGATGTTTTAATTAAAATCACGTACCCGTACCTATAGTTAATATTAATATGCTTGACCGCACATACCCACTCTTATTATTATAATATCTATAATACGGAATTAATTCATAAGCCGGACTTTACATATATACGCAGTGTCCCTGCTTTGAAAGACGCGAGCGATGCCTGTCAATGAATAAATAATAATATTGTCGTTGAAATCGATACTTACCAATCGCTTATACATACCTATTTTTCTGTTACTCTGTAAACATTTTCCATCATAAATCATTCAGTGTTCTGAATTTATTGATTATTATTTCTTGAAAATAATCTAATCGAGTATAATATTTTATGCGGTGTGGCAATTATTAAAGTATTTTTAATTTTGTTAATTAATTTTATATTTACGTATTATGCTATAATATGATTTATGTGGATTGTGCTCTCTGTGAATTTTAAACGTAACAATACTCTTTAAAAGTTTAGTTTAAAAAGTCGGTTAACTTCGCACGTAGGTAGGCCACTGTTAGAGGTGAGAAGTTTGGAAGATAGTAGAGGGGAAATTAAATGTATATCTGTAAGCAACGAATCCCACACCTTTTTTGCACGTTCCAAAATCTGCTATTTTTACGTGTCAGTGTCCTATAACAAGTTGTCTAATTTCAAATCACTAACAAATAATAAATGCATCATATTAATAACAACGGCATTTATAAAAATTATATTGAACATTATACTAACCGATAAATGATACTATTTTCATGTAAATACCGTAGTCCTAAAACAACACAAGCAACATAAAAAACTGCTCTTGGTTCTGTAAACGCCCCGTTATTTATGTGCGTATTTAAATCACCACCAGCAACATATTCCATTACAAAACAAATATCAGCCTGTAAACAATAAACCAAATAATTTTAAAATACAAATAAACAGCCAATTTTTAGTACATTTACATCTGTTTGAAAGCGGGTGAATAAGTTTACTAAGAATGGGTTTCGGTTATCATTAGCAAGTTCCAATACCTTATTTTCATAGTGTAACAACTCTATTACATTGTCAGCAATTATATTATATTTTTTTTTTAGTGTTTTTATGGCGAAATACTCACTTGATTTTCTATGTTAACACAATATTACCTAATATGAATGGAAATAAAAATATGAAACACAAATTACTTACTTATATTCTAATTATTTCTAAAAATAATTATTATCTTTTCAAAACTGCTTCTACCTAATACGCGCAGAAGTCTAAAATCGTCCATTGACATTTATACAATTTTTCATCTACCTCGGAACTTTGTAAATCTTTGGCATCTTTTACAACTACAGCTTCAATTCATGAACGATTTCGTAACTTTACAATACGTTCTTCTAAAGGAATTTCCAAATATGATTCAAACTTTCCTAAAATAATAATACCGTACTAATTATAAATACCTGAAATTTATTAATATGAAAATTCCTAATAACTGCACAAACACTGATTATCACTATGAACCCCTTAGAAGACTTGTAAATATCAGCTCTCTAAGTTCAAGACGTGTATATTATGACGTCATATTTATTTACAATATCTTACATGTAAGATGTGCCATGGCACAATAAAAGATAGTTTTCTTTTCAGTTTAAATAATATATCAGTTCCCACATATTTTTCATTCCTCTCAGAAAACTTTACAAATTAGTATATTATCTTTTTAGCTATTTCTTTTTTCTAATATATTATATACTAACTATAAAACTTGAGCGCTAATAGTCTCATTTAATTTTATGTATATTCCGCTACCTGTCTATATGCGCTTTTTGTCAAGCTAGTATAAGCATCTAATTTCCTGTACTGTATGCTTATTACCTATTTGAATTCCTAATTTTTATTGTAAAATATTTATTAATTCTTTAAAGTTAAAAATAGATTGATCGATAAAAAAAAAATGTATTGTTTAATTTACTTTGTAATTTTCATTACAGCGATTTTAATGAAAATGAAATAAATTCAAGGTGTCTTTTTTTTGAGAATTTAAAATTTAAGTTAGAAGTGAATAATGGTATTGAGATGAAAGCAATAAATATATATCTATATACAATTGGGAATAATTTGTATTTCATAATATTTGAAATCTAATTATCAATTTCCAATATTATTATAAAAACCAAAATATAATATATGTTATTAATTACTTGAAATAGAATGATCCACTGATCCAATAACTCCAGGTATCGTGTGTATGCCGGACAAAAAATAATTATTCGAAATGCCAGCATACGATTGATGTCTGATTGACGATCCATATTGAGAACGACCTAGGACTCCAGTCCTTGTAGTTGCTCTTGTAACTATAGCACCTTAATGTGAGATTTTCTCATGATTTCCCTGATACCAGATAACGGATTACAATTTTTCATAACTTTTCGCAATTTCTCGGCACGTTCTTACATTTTGACCTCGCGTTCGATTTCCCACCAAATGGATTCCTTCAACTATTAAGCAGGAATCAACACATCGATGGAAGATTGGTCGGGAAATGCACAGTTATTGTTGTTTGATACCAAACCGTACGCAAAAACCAATTCATATTGAACGGGATTACACGAGTATTCACCCTGAAAATAATGTATCATAATTAAATTAAAGTAATATGTCTTGTATGTTTGAGATTTTAACATTCTTATATTATACAATATACTAAATAATTGTTTGAAAAAACACGACCCTATCATTGTTTTGGATTAATTATATATTAACAAAAGACAAACATATAAATTTAAATTTAAAATTAAATAAAATCGTTATAAAACGAATTTATGTACAAATGTAATACTATTAAAAGCAAATGTTATAGAAATACATAGACTTCTATTACTACACATAGAAGTCTGTGATTAATTGTTGAGTACAGACGTATTATTAAATTCCCCTCTATATCCTACCTTCCCAACAAGAAAAAAATAGGCATCCTAGGATAATGGAGACGGGTGCAGCCACTGTTTTAGGTAATTTAATGTATATTTATAAGCAACGACAAACTATTGCTAACGAAAAAACGATTCTGAGCCTAATTCAGTTGATAGTAATGCTTTGTCAACAATATATTTCATTTTAAAGTAAAATAATTAAATTGGCTTTATATATTTTCTTTAATAATATTTGTTTGATGCACCGATTTTCCCTTATTTTTCCCAGTTGTCCACATTTGCTGGAAAAACACTTGGCAAAATCGAAAAATGACCTTCCAAAAGTACCTTGCCAGTCAGATTTCCTTTTAAAAAAAATACTTTTGTTGCAAATTGGAGAAAAATTGTTGGTAGAAATTTTGTTCACTGGAAAATAGAATCGTGACATTTTACTAATATATTTCGTGCATTTTCCCGTTTTTCCTCCGGTTTTTTTTTTCGGGTTTTCATATTTAATGTTAAACTCCTGAATGAATTGAAAAATGACCTCCTTAAGTAACTTCCTACACCGAATTCCTTTCAGAAAAGCTACACTTTTTAATCGGAGCAAGATTTCTAGTAGAAAAGTTGTCCACAGAAAACAAAAATTAAAATATAAACACCTTTGTAAAACTATAGCTTCTTCCCTTCACTCAAAATCTTAAAATTATTATGTTGTTTTAGATTGGTATGACTATGTCGATTTTAATTTCCAACTGTTGTTACAATAACCACATGACGTAGATGATTTTGCAAGTTATTTGTTTTCGCTAAATTTATTTATGTTCACCGAAATTATCTGCCGTTAATTATTTCCTACCTATAAATTATTATGTGTATAATAACAGTAAAAACCGATTTGCATTAGGAAAGGCATTTTTTGATTTTTTTTTAAATTTTTTTTCATTGTATTTGGATAAAATTTGTTTAGCTTCTCAAAAATTTGATACATTTAGCTAATAAACTAATATCACTATTGTTTTTTCTCTATTACTTACTCTCTAGTAAGTACTTTCGTTGTGCGTGGGAAAATAAAGTAAATAATTTAACCGAAATCTAAACAAACTGAAAATTTGAAACAATTCCATAAAACAAATAACATATTATATATATATAACAAAAATATAAAAATAATTAAATATGCACAATTTTAGTGATCCTTGTCCTCTGCAAATTAGGTGTGGTTCAATCATTGTAAGGGATGCTAATTTTTTGTTAGTCTCATAGTCTCTATTCTTTTATTTTTCCAAATTAAGCACTGGGTATATACAGTATCAATATACACTGTACACTATACTACAATATTACAAGTCGTTGCGTTCAAGTAATAAATAACGTCTAAACGGGAGCAGATGAACACACATCGTTTTCGTTTTGATTTACTGAACCATATAATTTAAATAACTATACTTACAGTAACACGTCGTGTGCATATATATATAATTATATATTTCATTTGTCACTTGTTATTTGCCGAACACATAACACTTCAAGCCATTACTTTTAAATGTGTATATGGAACGTTAAAACATATCGTTTTAAGTCGAAAATCGACCGAACGGTATTTGAAAAAAATATTAAATAATTATAGATCGTAATATAATAAAATAATCTATCCACGAGTGGCATTGCGATAAAACTGTTTTTCTGAGGTCATTTCCTGTATACAAATTGGTGATTAGGTATACTAGGTGATTGGAAAACCATGAAATTATAGAATACAATAAAAGTCAAATTAATAGATAGCTATAACGAGTGATGAAGGCGAGGGAAAGGAAGAAGAAGAACTATAATAACAACTTATTATCGATACTGTTTATACTATTTAATGGAAATAGTTTTGACAACTATTGAGCCTTACATTAAAAAAAAAATGTTCTTAAACGCATCAATTAATTCTATCCACTACAGTTGTATGTATATATTCGTATAATGTGTGGCCCAGAGAAATTGTTAGTTATCCCTCAGAGGTCCAGAAATATAGGTACGTGGTTACAGGATGGTTACTTATATTATTATTATTTTGGTCGTCGGTGTGCCAATATTTTTTATTATTAATATTTCTTTTTTTGTTTATGAAAAAAGTTTTGGGCCGTGTCTGAATGAAAGAGACGTGCGGTGAGTATATAGAAAACGCGTGACCCGAATGCGGGCACACTATGCACGCAAACCGTCGCAATGAAAAATGAAAACGTGACTTCACAAATTTAAATATATGCTCTCAACCTAATTTGCCTATCTGAGAGGCTAGATAATCCACTGGGAGTAGTAGATAGGCCACCACGGTTTCTTTTTTTTTAATCTTTTACAGTGGCATTTCGTTAGTGAACTTTTTTATTTTCTAACCAATCCCCCCTTAATTTCAACATTACGGTTTCACAATAATGTCTAAACGAAATATTAGTATATTATATAGGTACGGGTGTAATATTTCAGCAGTTTAATTACGGTAAAATTCGCAGACAATAAATGCGCATGTATTGTGGCCCAATGTACGATGAAAATTTATTAGATTAGGTAATCCGACACCTCTCTCGAGTCTCGACTAAATTTATTTCCGACTTTTACTTTGTTTCGATATAACCTTTATATCCTCGCAAGAATCTACAATATATATACCTAATATTATGTATACTTTTTTTTTCGTAAATTATACATGAATATTTGTTTTTGTTTTATTTTTGTATGTATACGCTCAAAAAATACACAAACAATTTGTAAGTGTAATGGACAGTGTGCGTACCTAAACTAAAATATACAGTATACACATAATATAATTCCTAAAAATAATAATATCGAATAAAATATTCATGAAATAACCATAAAAGGTTTCTACGTTAATGTATATCAAACTAGGCTACCCAATGGCCTGTTTAAATAGAGGAAAGGTGTAAGGGAAATATATACCCAGCCCTCATATCTTTTTTTCCTTCAATATTTATAATACTATAATATATTACAATATTACCTATTTATTTCTCAAACAAATAGAATTATCCCCGAAAACCGGGGGTCGTGGACATGCCAAACGGAACATGGGAAATAAATTGGTAAGTACACGAAGTATGTGAAAGAGAACAACTCTGATCACGAGGACAGCCAATTAAAACATTTAAAACAATTTTATGTTTTTCTTATTTAGTCCTCGGGAGAGCCGTACCCATTTCCATGCGTTATCATATCGAATGCTCTGTCTAGATGTATGTCTAAGTCTATGACTGTAACTGAAACTTAATAATATATACAATATATATTCTGTAAGACGGACGTGGGAGGTCAAACTAAATGTTTGTCTAAGTTTTCATGGCGAAGAAACAAAAGTTTCATGCCAAAGACAAATGAACGTTGTTTATCACGTAGACGTGAACCGGAGAAACGAGGTTCAGAGTGAAAATTAATGTCCCCGCCCACTACAATCCGATGATATTATAATATAACATGACGCTATTATATTCGAAATCGCAGAAGACGGGAAACGTTTTTTTTTTTTTTTTTTTTTTTTTTTTTTTTTTTTTATTCGTCCAGTCAACTATTATCCGACTTGAAACGTGTAATAAAAAAAAAATTCCCGAGGATTATTATAATATATAAAGAGTTTTATTAAGTACTGTCGTGGGAAATAAAACGTATATCCTAAAAGGCCTTATAATATAGATGCAGGCATCATGGTTTTATTACTGCGATAGATATCTCGAATATGAAAATAATAAAAAAATATACACATAAAAATACGGCACATATATGTTTACCTATGTATATTTTATTTTTTTTTTTTATTGCCAAAACTGCGGTTTTTCGGTATAAATTTAATTAAATTAAAAAAAAGTTGTTACTGCTCTCGATAGGTCGTTGTAAGTGGGTAGTTAAGAAAAATCGATAAATCGTTTCAAACAAAAAACCATTCTAAGCGGAGTTGTATTAATACGAGTATTTATACAACGTTAAGAATAAGAACGTACCCAGATGGAGGACCAAAACAGGTTCACCGCTACGCTAGTCAGCTACAATTGGTTTACAACTATGACGAGGTATGCTCAACTTACTATGACAAGGTTGTAGCTGGGAATTAGTCGCTGCTTGCACTACAAAGTACGTTTGTATTCTGAATGGGATAAAGTATAAGTCAAGTTCCTCATTCCCCCTTGTAACTCAGAAATCAATAAAAATAAAACTAATATATCTTTCAACGTATCAATATTTGTTGTTTATTACGTATTAAAAATTCCACATTTTTCAAAATAGGTGTGATATGAAAAAATCTGATCATTTTTAATATAATCAAAAAAGTGTTTTCCTAGAAAAAAACACACATCGTAGTAAAATTAATAGCTTTTTCGCTACTCTCAGAACATACAAATATAAATAATCTATGAATTTATGTATAAGTATTACGTTTCGGAGCGTTTTACAACGAAATTCAATATACTGTATGATAACAACAACCTTTGATATCGAATAATTTCAATCGTTTACGGCCATATACTTTAAATCGCATATAACTATACTCCGTTCCAAATAAGAACGCACCGGGCAGCGGACGATAATCGGTCAAAACTCGCGCAGCCGATTAACGTAGAGCAAATAGATTCAGCCAAAGGGACAGGACGTCGCTCCACGATGCATTGTGTTCTTATATGAAACAGAGCATAATAATTTCAACTTGAATATACACCGTGGCAAACTATATGTACTTATACAGTTTTTCCAATTTCATGATACAGTCAAATTTTTCATGAATAACTTTTTTTTTCAGTAAATGACTTACCTATGTAAAAACTTTTAGAATTATATATCATATAATTTTACTTTATCTTTATTTTTGAAACTCCAATTTTTTGGGATTGAAACGGTTATCTATTTTTGATTTTCAAATGGCAGCTGTTAACGAAATATTCCTTTTTTAAGATCAAACACCGTGAACTGCGCTGCCATTCGCCACACAAATGAGGCTCCACCACTCTCACCTTACCCAAACTTACAAGTAAAATACATCGTCAATGGGTTGACGGAAATAAAAAATTTCAACATCAAAATTTATTTAAATTAATTCTTTATATCAAAAGTAGGTAACCGATTCTGAATGTGGCTATTAGTTTTACTAAAATGTGTATGATTTTTTTTTTTTTTTTGGAAAACACTTTTCCGGTTAGGAAAAAGGCTACGATTTTATCTTGTGATACATTAAAAGGTGCCAATTTATTACTTAATTGTACTTTATTTAAAATATTTTTCAAAATTCCAAATACTTTTCTAAAAGATTAATTTTTATAACTTTTTTGGTTAGGTAATATTTTTTCACGCATTATCTCAAGAGATACCGATTTTTTAGAGTACTTTATTTGGAAAAATATTTAATATAACTACAAATTTCGGTATATCGGTTTTTTTTTATTATTATTTCTTGGTTACCTTTACTATGAAACAAAAAACATTATTAATACTACACCGTTCAGAATCGTGTTTTATTTAAAATAATTTATCATTGCGTATATTAAAAAAACTAAATTACACTATACATATATATATCCTGCCTATCAAAATACTTACCTTCAACAGTGGTCTATACTTGAGCAATATCAACTTTCAATAATTTGTTTGAATATATACAATTATATAATATAACAATATAATGTATAAATATTCGACAAAATCTAAACAATGACTAGGAAATTTTGATTGAAACATAGGGGAAAAATATTATTCTTTCCACAACTCATAATAAACTGCAATAAATTGTCGTCGCAATTTATGTTCGGAATTAAGATGGGATTTAATAGAAAGTTATATTGAAATTAAGTGTCGCCGGCGATATAATAAATAAACATTATATTTCGATTATAAGACGACAGCCGATAATACAAACATAGAGTTTTTTTTTAATAAACTTTATAGATTCCCAATAATATAATTGAATACTTAATATATATTAAATTCCGTAACAAGTTAGATGTCTCGATTTCTCATGAAATACACTCGAGTTTTTTATTTTTCTGTTTTATAATAATAAGAATAGACCGTATATTTATACAAATTAATAAAAAAAAATTTTTTTTAAAAATAGAAAAAAACTGTTTCATTATATTTTTATAGAATTTTTTAATTACAAGAGTATTTTCTACATAAAAACATTTTTCTGGGTAATAAATAATAATCAAATATTCATAATTTATTCATATTTCTGTATAGTTCAGCTACGGTGTTTAACAGATGATATTGAACTCTATGGTAATTTAGAGACGTGGTTTTTGGTTTAATTTCCTACTTCAAATTTTAAAACCAGGATAACTGTGGAAAAGCACAAAACCAAAATCACTCATTGTTATTTAAATTTTATTAAGTCTGTGTTTGTAACAATGACGTATATTATCTACCTTTGATTTTCGTCAATCATAGATAAGTGAAAAAGTTACTATCCAATCTCTACATATTCATTTTTCTAATACCAATTTTACTCTTATTAAAATACTAAATTAAATAAACTATAACTAAACCTAGTATTTCTATGGATTATATTAATTTAACTGTAATAGACATAAAAATACTACCGTTAAATATTTAGACGTTATTAAAATTCACATTATTGAAATAGGTTAGTCGACAGCTAAAAGTTTTTTGTTTAATTTAATTTCTATTACTTTTCCCTTAATACTCTGGAAAGTTTGCTTTATCGATTTAACATAATATTCTGTAAATTAAATTCCTAATATATATATATAGCATTAGTTTAAATAATTGCATTCTTATTATTTATTTGCATAATAATAATATTATCAAAGGCCGTGTTTATATTTATACAAAAATCTTGGAAGTTCTACATGTATTCGTTTTTTCTTCGGCAAACTTTGAGACTCTCCCTTTTTGAAATAATTTAACATTCAGGGCTCGATTTTAATCAATTACTTATCTGAAGAAGAAGCAGAGATATAAGAGTAAGAAAATTTGTGGGTGAATTAGTTTGAGTAAAAATAAACTGGCATGCTTATTGGAACTTGGTCTGGCGCTCTGATAAATATGCTGGCAATAAATACCAATAGTATATTTTAAATTTGGTTTTGTTATTAATTTATATATTATATACTTATATGGTCCTCGCAAATTTGAATATTACTTTTCGTACGTTCGTTTCATTACATTTTTTTCCCCCGACCTTATTCTTGTATCGCGAATTTGCAGTAGGTATAGCTGGTACTTTATATCGTTTTACCGCAGCAAAACTGCACCATTATACCCCAATAGGTACCCTATTAATATATATATATATATACAAAAATGTCTAACAAAAAAACATCGACTTTCTTTTTCGAGGGTCCGAAATATTGTCCGACCGGAATTTTAATAACGCCCGCGAAGAAGAAGAAAAACCAAAAAAAATTAATAAAAATACATTCGTTTTTATTATATGGTATACTAGGTACCTACGAACGACCCGATATTATACGCATTATTATACTCGTCTGACGATATCTATAGTAGTTCTTACATATTATCGATATTGTGTTATATACAGAATAGGTATACCTATCACCTTCGAAATGGCAAAAACGTAGTCGAGTTATGTAATAGATTCCGAACGTGTTTTTTTCTTTTTTATGACGCAGAACCGTTGGAATATTACGAGAAATAGGTATGTAGGTAGGTAAGTAATATGGGACATCAAAATCGAATTTCACTACCAACTCAAAGACAATACTTTCAATAACGTTTTGCAGCGCGACCATTAAACGTCACCAAAAATGTCATATTATTATTATTTTTCTACGACGTCAATAAATGCTCCTTCATATAGTTTATAGTACCTATATAGAAATCTATTACTGTATACTACAATATTACGAATGTCGTTCAAATTTATGTCTATATACATTTACGTTGCGATGCACCCTGTGTTTTTATAAAAAAAAAAATGTAAAATTCATTTCCACTCATATTTACGAACTGCTACAGTGTTGTATAATACATTTTAAAATATCTAGATGAACATATTAAATGACAATTAATAAAAGAATTATCTAGACGAATGTAAAAGATACGTACAAATTCCCAATAGATATTTAATGAATAATCAGCAGCTTTATATTTAGATAACAAAAAGTAATTTTTTTTTTTTTTTTTTATAACTTACCATAAATAATTAAGTGGGAAAAATTGTACTAGATCTAGGAACACATTCAGTTTTTAAAATGTTTATATTGCTACAACTCTAATTTAGTAATTCATAAGCCCAAATTATAATTTACATATAAATTAAATACTTCAGCTATTATTTTAAATTACTATATTGATTATAATAACAATACAAGTACAAAGATTTGCAACTCCTCAATAAACATAGCTATAGTGACGAGGATTTTTATATGAATTTATATTAAAGGAAATTATAAATAATAAAATAATAAAGTAAAAACAAAATTATTAAAATGGTTAATACTATTAAATAAATATATAATTAAAAAATTATACAAATTGGTCGTTTTACATAGAAATAATTTATTTGTATAGGCTAGGTTATTTAAAATTAGTCATTATAAATAATCTCTCCTATTAAAATAAATTATTTCTATGCAAAACGCCAATATGTATATTTTTTTTATGTATGTATTCCTTCATTTAATTATTATATTCAATCGCGTTTTACATTTTGACTGTGATGTACCTGATGATGAATTTTCAATTAAAAGCCAGTTGGAAATTATAAAGTTTATAATATTACTAAGTTTCCATAATTTACAATGATCAACTATAAATTAATTGGTGTAAAATACTGAAATTCACAGCTTTTATGTAAAATTTTAAACATTCAACTACATTTTTGAACTTATAAATTTATCGACGAACTTATAGTAATTCACATTAATTTGATTGTTAATGAAATAGCTCTATGTCATACCAAAATTCTTATAAAAAACCAGCATATCTTACTTAGTATTTGTTTTGAAATTATTTTTTTGTATGTGTGATACACTTTTGATATTATTTCTAAATGTATAAGCAGATAACAATGCATTCTTAAAATATCAGTTTTTAATACTAGGTAAATTAATAACGGAGTAGAAAAATGTATTATTTATGAACCTAAAATAATCATCATAAACTAATATTTGATTGCATTCCTTAATGTATTTTTCAAAAGCTGAATATGAGACTGATATACTTGACACTAAAAGGCAATGCCGTAACTAACAATTAATAATTGTACAAAGAATAAATAAACCATACACTTCATATAAACATTACATTTATGACGTATATCACCAAAAACATAAACAAATTTTCTTACAATATTACTTACATGATAATTCCATTTAAGTTTACTGTCTAAGACCTAAGTACTTAATATAATTTATATTTTCTAGAATAACGCAGTAACCGCAATTATTTGTATATTGACAATTAAATGATTAAATTATTATACATTTGAAAAAAAACATCTCTATAAATGATATAATTATATACCTCAGCTAATTTTTATCTGGATAAGATAAAAGATAAAAATATGTACATATCTAGATTATAGATAAAACACAACACTTAGTCATTTATGAATAGTGCATATCATCATGAAATATGTAGGTACAAATGAAAATCGTTCGTGCACTCGAATATTAAAATATATATGAATTTTCTGTGTATAGCTGTGCGTATAAATACTCGTACCCTCACGTGTATACAAATAATATTCGAAAAAAGTAATGGCCATATGGGTTTTTCGGTGCGAGGCATAAAAAAAAACTTTTGAAAACAGCATTATAAATTCAAATGCGAATTCGATACTTTACATTTTTTTTAAACAAGTATAATAATATATCAAACTTTAATACTTTATATAATTTCGAGTTACCTAATACCCGTTTTACTTATATTTGTATAACTCAAAAGTATAAGGAAATATTGTTATTTGAAAATGTGTAATACGGATTTGATAAAATGTATAAATAATAATTGATAGAATATAATAAGTATATTATACGCAAAAACTTTTATGGTAAAGTTTTTTTTCAAACTTAAATAATCAGAACATATAATATATATTCTACATGTATATATTTTGTTCCCAAAATCTTTCTCCCTATACTAAATAAGAAAAGGAATTTCGAAATTATATATTAGTTTAAACGAATATAAAAGAAGTATATGTGGAATAACGGAAAATTTTGAGATTGATATAAGTATGCATCATAATTCGGCTTTGAGCCTTTATCTGTTTTCTGTAGTAATGGATAAAAGTACGAAGGAAATACAAGGCGAAGTACTATGGTGCATGATGTTTGCAGATAATATAGTTTTGTTAGAAGAAAATGTGGAAGAAATTATTAGTAATAGGCTTGAAGAATGGAGAGTAGCACTTAAAGGCAAGGGGTTAAGGATAAGTAGAAATAAAATAGAGGATATAGAGTATAAGTTTAGATATAGAGGACATTAAACGACGAGTATTTACAATAAGTGATGACGAGAATAGACGATGTTAAGAGTATTAAGTACCTATCTAGAATCTTTTGCACTAAACCGGTGCGGCGGCAATGACAAGAATATTGTGAAAAAAGCTGTCCTAGGATAATGAGAACGGGTGCAGTCACTATTATAGGGAATTTGGGAAGGTAGGATACAGAAGGGAATTTAATATATATCTGTAAGCAATGGTAAACCATTGCTAATGAAAAACGATTTTGAGTGGAGTTTAGTTGATAGTGATTCTTTGTCGACAATATGTATAGGTACCATATTATAGTAAAATAATTGAATAGGCATTATATATTTTCTTTAATAATATTTGTTTAATATTGATCCGCTTTTCCCATTTTTCCCGGTTTTCCCACATTTGTCCCAGTTTTTCACATTTGCTGGGAAAATCAAAAAAATTACCTCTATAAAGTACCACCCCACACCGATTTCCTTTCAGAAAAAGTGCTATACTTGTAAATCGGAACAATATTTCTGGTAGAAAAGTTGTTCACAGATAAAAAAAATAAAAAAAAATTAACATCATTGTTAAACCATAAGCTTCTTCTCTCCACTCAGAATCTAAATAGGATTAAACGTAATTGGATAAAGTGATGAGTGTTTTATGTTACAAGTGAATTCCAATGAGACTTAAATTTAAGGTCTACATAATTGTGGTGAGACTGATTATGTTCGATGGTTCGGAGTGTTGGGTGGTAGATGAACAAATAAAACAGAGAACGAATGAAGCAGAAATAAAAATTCCTAGATGGATGAGTGGAGTGACGAGAAAATATAGAATAATGAACGAGTATATAGGATAAGAGTGGATTTGAAAATATACGAAACGAGAGAAAATGCACAGAGATGATTAGAACATGTTATAAGGAGAGAAAAATAGCATTAATAGTGATAATGAAAATAAATGTAGGATGAAAAAGGGAAAGAGGAAGACTCAAAAAAAGGTAGTTGGATGCAACTGAGAGTATATGGAGAAAGCAGGTTTATGCGGGGACGGTGTAGGGACGATAGGGTCAAATGGAAGTTAGCAGACTCCAAATAATTGAATTGAAGGCAAAGAAGAAGAAAAGTCATAATTATAAATTTCTTTCTCGTCCATTATTATAATATCATAGTATTATTATTACCAATTACAATACGAATAATGCACAATATATTCGCATATATCATCATGTAAAAATTAAAAAGACATTTCAGGTAATCATATTACTATCAATTCCCAAATGAATAATGTAAGGATTTGGAATTTATTGCTTTTGGTAAATATTATGCACGGAAAATGTCGATATACGCGAAGTTGACAGAAAAAAAAGTCATTATTATAATAAGTATAGGTACCCGAATAAACATATTAAAATGTAGCAAAATACTTACACGCGACATCTATAAAATTCGATGGATATTCAATGGAAAGTGAAGTGAATTTATGTATACATTGTATGAATTCGTATAGGAATTAAAGTCGTATTTGTTCGCGTGCGTTTACACACTGATTATAAAATTTGTCAAAAGAATAAAACAAAAAAAATGGTATTTCACACCGAAATTATGAGGTAGGTACGCTTTTTCCGGAACCGTAAGAATAAAAGAAAGATTAAATTATATTATGCCAACCTATTTTTTTCTCTCTCTCTCTCTTCTTATAGGTAAAGGTAGATGACATCGTAGCCGACGCCTAGTCCCCTGTCGTGGAGACGTAAGCGCCAAAATGAGATTAAAAAAAAAAATCAAAAATTATTGATTTATTTCAAATTCTACAGAGTATGAAAAGAATCAAAGAAGATTCTATATAAGGAAACCGGAAGTTCATTCAGCCTTTTAGTATATTATAAAACATATGGTCCGTTTCCATTCGTCTAGTCTCCGATTTTTCGCCTCTATTCGGAATCAGAATTAGAATGATGATTTTATAGTTTATTCTCCATTTTTTTTTTTATCTCAAGTAATCGATACGACCTATCCCCTATACGGCTATACCTAGTTAAAATGTCCCTCGACGACTATAATTTATCGTTTCCTCGGATGACAACGAAAACAAATAAATCAACGGCACCTCCCTTCTTATTTTGGCGAGCTTTTTGCGTTGAAACTATTAATTTACTCGATACAATTTTTCAGGCAACACGTTCGTGGCAAACGTGGCTTTGGCCGACCTGTTGATCAGCGGCCTGGTCATCCCGGCCTCGGCCGTCGTCATCCTCGCCGGTCTACAGGACTCGCCACCGGTATGCCAGTTCCAGTGGTTCCTGTCGATCCTGTGCTGTCTGGTCACCGTGCTGACCATGGCTGCAGTAGCCGCCGAAAACTACGTGCGGCTATGTCTGACGCCCGAATGCTACGCCAAACTGACCGTCACGAAAATCACCACGCTGTTGTTCGCTATATGGATCGTTAGCTCGATTCTGGTCACTTTGCAGTTCATTTACAAATTGGGACCCGATTATTGTGCCAAAAGGGTACGACGAGTGCGTTTGTATAAATATTTTATATTTAATGTACATAAAAAATTATATATATATATGCTTTCTTATATTATCATATATAACCAGTGACAGTTATAACTGAAGTTGAAGTAGGAGTGAAATTAGTTAAATTTTAAACGTCCAAAAAGTCATACTACCGTTTAAAAGATAATAAATATGAAATCATTAATTAATTACTTGCATATTATTTAACCCATATCGCATATAACTAAATAAATAGTTAAATACGGATAATATACCGCCGTTTGTACGTTATGAGTGCTACGGTGTGAACCACCAAAAAAAAAAAAAAAAGTATAAGTGCCCTCTAAAATATACAAATGCGGAAATTCTTTAAAATCCAGTATAAATGAAAATTAATTTCTAATTGATTTCAAATATATATAAGGAAGGCCGTATAATTCCAGAAAGTTATATTACCGACCGTATAATTACGGAATTAAAGTGTAATAGTCCGTAAAATTCCGGGAAAAAAATACCCGACCGTAATGCCCCCGACCGTTTTTTTCCGGAAAATAAAATACGTAAACCATATTTTTACCGATCGTAGAAGTCCAGAATGTAAATCCACCGACCATATTCTAATAGACAAAAATAATATGCGAACCATATAGTCACAGAAAGTATAATTTTGAAATTTGAAAATTTGAAAACCGTATTTTCACCTAATGTAAAAATCCGGAAATTCACAAACGGTATAGTTCCCAACTGTGTTTCACCGGGAAAAAAATTACGCAAACTGTATTATTCCCCGACCGTATTATTCCCGAGTTTGATAACTTTCATACCGTATTTTTATCAACCGTGAATATCCGGTGTTACCAGTGTAATTTTTATCTGCCATAATACGGTCGGAGTATTTACATTCCGGACCCCTGCGATCGGTAAAAATACTGTTTAGTATTTTATTTTCGGGGGAAAAAACGGTCTGTGGCATACGGTCGGCTATTATACGTTCTGCGTATTTTTTTTTTCCAGCGAAAAACGGTCTGCTATTATACAGTTTGTGAATTTCCGGATTTTTACAGTCGGTAAAAATACGGTATGAAAATTATCGAATTCGGGAATTATACTGGAACAATACGGTTTACAAAAAAATAACTCCGTAATAATACGGTCGGGAACTATATAGGGTCTGCGAATTGATTTTTATACCGAAATATAATCTGGAACTATACAGTTTGTAAAATTCCGGATTTCTACAGTCTGTGAAAATACGGTCTGAATATTTACAGTCTAGAGCCTTCGTTATGTACGATTATTTCTACATGCGAGTTTCTACGTGCGTCCATATATAATACGATTTTACCACAGTCTTTTCGTTGTTCTCGTGTTTCCTGTCGACTAATTTTCTAGTCGACTATTTGCATACCGATTTTCTATATAGCCTTTAATATTTATACCTTCGATTATATTACCGCGACAGTGCACATAAAAGAAGATATTGTGTTCTCAATTTACCCTCATCGAAATATCTCTCTCCATAATGTGATGAGAATACTGTTACAAAATTGAATAAAACATTTTTTTTTTTTAAAGTTTTTCAAAACGGATAAATATCTAGTCTACGAAAATTATTCACTATAAAGCTTCGAATAGTTAATTTTTAAAATATGAACTAAGCTATTTGTTTGCCGTAAAAAAAAAAAAAATAATAATAATAAAAATAAAAATAATTACAATAAAATCCTAACTAAAAAGACGGACATACTTCGCACATGGATAAACCACTGTTATAGTTAAGAAATTGGAAAGATAGGGTATTGAAGGAAATTTAATGTGTATCTGTACCCAACAATTAACCATTGCTAATGAAAAAACGATTCTGAACAGAATTAAGTTAATAGAATTGCTTTGGTAACCAATATATATATGTCAGATTATGGTAAAATAATTACATATTTTCTCTAATAATATTTGTTCAATATTGTATCTATTTTGCCGTTTTTCCCGGTTTTTAATGTGTTTTTCATTTATTAGAAAAACAAATAGAAAAATCAAAAAATGACTTTCTTAAAGTAGCATCCCATTCAGATTTCTTTTCAGAAAAAGTGCTATACTTGAAAATCGGAGCAAAATTGCTGGTGGAAAAGTTGTCCACAAAAAAAAAATAAACATCATTGTAAAACCAATATATTCCTCGCTCCGCTCATAATCTAAAATTATATCTAATAGCATTATGATTTTATATAGTAATTTTGTAAATATCTGACCAAGATTAAAAATTAAAAATTAATAATCATCCGGGAAATGTATAAGAATTTTCGTTAAAAGAAAGTACTCGCAATGCGAGTTTTGCTACACCTATTATTATATTAACTATTGAAAATTACACTTCCGGAAGAGCTTCAATTTCATAATAGAAATGTCTCGAAACGAGTTCGACCGTGATAAATTATAAACATCAATGGATTTTTTTTTTTAATTAAATTAAATTATTTAACGATTATAATATATATTATAATAGGTACGCTTCCTTTTCTTAACAAAAATAATTATTTTAAACATAGCTGCAGGTGGATAATACCTCTGTTATACCAAAAAATAATTAAAATATCTGTCAAGTAGCGTCACAGTGTCTGAGATGAGGTAATGCCCGCATGTATATATACAACAACATGCTATCTTAATGAAAAGAAGTAAATGTTTTGCTAAAGCTTATTGTGATGACACCGGCCAAACTTTCTGAAAGCGTATTTTTTCTTTTTTCGTCTGCATAATAACATGCATCGAACAACAAGTAAATAGCATTGTTTTATCTGTATATATGTAGTAGGTATATTTTTATCTTTTATCCAGATAAATGGGAAAAAAAATCATCTAAATTTTAATCTGATATAATTAAATCATCTTTAGAAAAAAAATGTTTAAACTGTACCTAATCAAAATATTTACTAGACATAATAAGTTAAATATACGTAAATATAAGTTAAATTTACATACATATACGTTATATTAATATGCAGGTTTATAAATTAAAATTATTCAAATAAAATCAATAAGCTTTTTGAAAAATTAACTTCTACTGCATCAGTAAGCATCTCGGTTTTTATAGTTTTATAGAATAATCAAAAACATTATTTAAATTATTTTATTTCATTTAATTCAATACCGGTAATGTTTAATTAATTTAGTATACTACATTTATAATATATTTTATGAAAAAAAAAGAGCTAATACTGGAAACGGGTGCACCACTGTTTTAGGTGAGAAGTTGGAAAGGTAGGACACATCAAAATTATTTAATTTATACCCGTAAACAACGATAAACAATTCCGAGGGAATTTTGGTTATGCATATTTTGAAAAGCCGTAATATTTACCATTTTCGTCATAATTTTATTTTAAATCCCTTATAAAATACTACCTACATTACACTTAATTTTTTCTATCGGCCGCTAAGTATGACTTATAATAAATAAACTTCTTGTAAAATGTTCAAGTATTTCTGTTTAGTCTATCAATTTTATTGACAGAGTACCTACCAAATAAAAATTACGTAAATTACTCGCAAAATTGAAATTTCTATAAATATCTCAAACATATTTAAATGTTTTTGAAAATTTTACCACGTCTAGAAAAACAAATATGTTTTATGTCAACGCTTCACATCTCTACGACTCTATCTTTCTTTTTTGCCAAAAAAGGGACTACACTCTATACAGTGGAACAAAATGTATTTTAAAAAAGTTGTTTACAGACAAAAAAAAACACACATATCATAATAGTAAAACCAACAAATTCCTCGATACGCTCCGAATCTAAAATGCAATTATTGTCATGTGTTATTGACTGAGATAAATACATTATGTTGATAAGAGTTGTTGTCATTCTCGTAATTTACAGCGTGTCCACGAATCTAACAAGTGAATTATATGAGTTAGAGAATTAGAACTAGAACAAAACATTATCGAAAATACTTGGTTTATTAATATCGATATCAAATATTAAAATATGTGCTATTGCAATGTACAAGCGACGTTATGTTTTATGATAAAAAATGAAAAAAAATGATCCGGATTAAAAATTTCGGATTATACGAGTATCGAAGTATATCATTGTCTATCTTTATAATTATTCTAGTAATTATTAATTATAATTTTTATTTGGATGCTCTCAATTTGAGAATTGTATATACACAATACCGACAACAAGTCACCTGTAACCATACATTTGATTGTCGCTATAGTACCATAAGTCCAATATTTAGTTATAGGAATTACCGTTTTAAAACGACCGCGTTGTAGACACAGCTAACGTGGCCAGTGCTAGAAGAACAGCGAAGAAAATAGATCTTAAAATAAATACTGAGAATACAAAGATAATGGAACTTATTGAGAGTGAAGAAAACCCCAATGAGATGGATTTAACCAACTTAACCTACGAAAAAGTTGGCGATTTTAAATATTTGGGAGCAATGTTAAACACAAAGAATGACTAATCAAAGAAAATAAGTATTCGGGTAAATAAAGCTCAAAAAGCTTTCTACTCATTGAACAAATTCCTAACATCCAAAATGATGTCTAGGAAAACAAAGGTGAGACAGTATGTGGCTATTATAAGACCGACTCTCATGTATGGTTACGGGACTTGGACGATAACCAAACAAACAAAGAGAAACCTGAGGACTTTTGAGAACAGAGTATGCCAGAAAATATGTGGACCCATCATCGATGAAACAACGGGGAACTGGTAGAAGAGGTATAACAGAGAACTATATGATTTGTTGGGATTAGCACCAGTAACAAGGTTTATTAAAGGCCAAAGGTTACAATGATTAAGTCATATAATAAGAATAGGAGAGAACGAAACAGTTAGAGCAGCATTGAAATGGATACCGCTAGGGAAATACCTAGGGGAAGACCTAAGAAAAGATGGATTAATGTGGTGGAAGAAGATCTAAAAACCCTTGGAATTGAAAATTGGAGATTACAGTTCAAGATAGAGATAGGTGGTGAAGTGTAGTAATGGCAGCAAAAACACTTAAAGAGTAGACATGTCAAAAGAAAAAGAAGAAAAGACCATTATAAAAACGAATGGCGTGGTTTTGAAAATCCATATTCGAAATTAAATACGGATGGACAAATGTCGATTACATCCCTAGTGGCGTGCTTGAAGTACATTTTCATTGCCGTGTGTGTTATGTAATTAATGAATTAATTATTCAGCATTATTTAGTCCATAGCAAAAAAAAACGACCTTTAATAATTGCGTATATAGTCACTGGTAGTTGGCTCTTCTGTAGTGAATTCCCACTGCTCGTTGAAAATTCGTATATTTTACTTCGAATAAAGAATAGTTTTTATTTTTCCGGAAATGTTGATATCATATTATTGTATGCTGCATTAATCAAGCTTTAAAAATGCGAACTGTAATATTATTACTTTACGTTTACTCGGTAGAAATGTATATTATGTATAATTTATTGGCATAAACTACGATAAAAAGAAAAGAACTTTAAATACTATAGTTTGACGTTTGAAAACAAATATTTATTCTCAAAGCCGTGGGTAGCGTATAACAATCGATTATAGGAGTAACTGAATTGTGTGTGAATAATATGTGACGTATAATTTGGAGGAGCTTTTTAAATACAATGACTCATCTACAAGAAAAATGTAAAAAAAAAAAACCCACAGAAATCCAATTTACTTAAAATATTCACCTAATATGGCTGGTTGATATTAAAAACGAAAAAAAAGTTCTTTATATAAATATAATAATATAACATTAGGTACCTATACGGTTTTGCGTAAAACGATGATCATATTATTATTAAACGTCAAAGTTACTGCAGCTGAAGCATCGTCTCGAACAAAAAAAAAATCCATTTATCCGAACGCATAAAAGGGTATATGAAAACGATTCCTTCCGTTCTTACAAAATAAAAAAAAAAAAAAACCTTCATACCTATACAATATTATATAATATATTAATACAAGTTTCTAGAACGCCATCGTTTGACCTTTTCAATTATTTATAATAAATATTTATACACATACAGGGTGATCGACACAACATAACATGTCGGAAAGTATTAACTAGTTTCGGAATTTGTTTTTTAGACCACTTGAGAAATAAGCAACTCTAAAATTTTACATTTAGTTTATTTTTCGTCGTCCTTATTTTAAGGGATGTAATCACTATTTTTTTTCCTCGATCGTTTGTTTCTTATGTGTTCTGAAACATAAATTCCGAAAAAAGTTAATACTTTCCGAGATAATGAGTTTCTTACGTTATGTCGATCGTCCTGTATATATAATATTATCGTATATGCGATTCTCGCCTCTCCCCCAATCCATTATCACTATGTATATGCCCATTTTTATTTTCATTTCCGGTGTAGAAGACACTCGGGGATTAGTCGCGAGGAAAGCTGATACTTACCGACAAGTCGACAGCTGTACCATAATAATATTATAACCAATTTCGGTCTATAGTGTATACCGTAAGCTCATCACCACGGTTACCACGTTATATACTTCGACTTTGATAATATTACTACCGTTATTATTATTAACGTTTTATCGGACAATATATTCGGTTAAAGTAAAAAGAAATTGACAAAGCGTTTTCGTTGAGATTTCTATTTATCGATAAAATATAATGCTTAAATTTATAATACGTTGACGACAACGTGTCGTCATTACGAATTAGGTACCTACCTACGTTATAGGAACTCTGTTCTTTTTTTTTATTAGTAACAATCACTTTTTACGTTGTTTTATACACTTTTTCGGTGAGATTCATATGAGATTTGTTAAGAAAAATCGATAACAAATGTCGATGAATCGGTTTTATTTGTATTGATTTTTGAATAGCATAAAAAGAGAAAACACGGCTAACACTTTAATTTAAAACCTTACCAGATTACCAAACTCCACACATAATCGTTTTTTTCGATTTCTCGTTGCTCTCAATATATTTTTTTTTCTATTAGAATAATATTTTACAATGTATTATTATTTAAATTACCCCATTAAACAGAGCTTATGGCAAGTGAAATGAGGTTATAAGTATACAATATAATCTTATAAATAATTTACGATGTATAAGCTTTAAGAAATTTTTAAAAATAAAGGTTATCTAAATAAATTGATCTACGTAGTGCATTCGATTTTAAGTACGAAAAACTCAAAATTTAAGGTAGGTAATATTAATTCAGTTTTTTTTTTTTTGCGAGGAGCGTGGTTTTGACTGTAAATACTACCGCTAACGATATTCTCGGGTTGTTTTTTTTTTATTTTACGTACTTACATTTCCCTAACGGTCCACAAACAGACCGTATTGACTAATTAGTATTCGTTATTTCGCGGTCGGTTCAGAATCGATATCCATCATTTAGAATGTAAGTACACTGCAATAACGCAATATTATTACAGAAGGTTTTCACTGCGGACTAAAATACGAAAACGTTTACGTTCTTTTGGTAAGTTATGCGATCTGTCGAAATGTATACAAGTATACGTGTACTCTATATACGTATATACTTATATACCTATAATACGAATTATACATGAACCTTTATACGTCGTATTAGACATGCAAAATACAAATTTACTATCCAAAATACGTTTAACACAATAAGAACCTCGAATATATTATGTTTAGCAAAATTAAATTTCGAATTATACTTGGTAAACCCTGTTATCTTGAAACAAATGGCATGTATCTTTCTTAACATTTAAGAAAACTTAAAACACGTTCGATATGAGGCAAATGAACGAATTTTCTGTTAATCACTAAAATTATTTGACAAACCATAGGCCTGTTTAATCTTTCATAACTGGAGGTGCAACTATTTTTTTTTAAGGATTCCTATTAGAGAAGTAAGAACTTACGGCACTTAAACTTCGTATAAACTGAAAAATATATTAATATACCCAATATCTTATTGAATTAATATTACTTATTATCTTAGTCTGACTTAATAATTGATATTTTGATTTTCATACTGAATTTTTTTTTAAATATTTTAGCAATGGGTACAAATGCATTCTTTTTCATAAACATGCCTATGAATGAGACTAATAATTCGATTCAAAACCTTGTTTACAGAAAAATTCAGGAGTCCGTATGATTATACGTGTATGTATTAATAAACTACATTGTACTCATCAGGGTTCGTCGCCAGTGGCATGCAGCAGCGTGCCCAGGAATTATAAACAGGCTGCTTTATGGCAAATAAGAATTGTAAAGAAATCGTAAATCGCCTTCTCTACCCAACTTAACTTTATTAAAAGCCGAATCTAATAAAAACCAATTTCCAGTTAATACACCACGTTTTTCCTTGTAACTTGGCTAAAACATATAATATTATATATATTTCAAGATTAAATTACTAAATACTCATGGCGTAGAGACATGAATAAAAATGTAGTGAAAAATTGAATTTTTATTTTTTATTCCTTATTTACTCAAAAAAATAACTTTATTTTTTGATTTTTTAAAATTTTCAAAAAAGCCAATTTGTAAAATTATTCTTAACATTTCAATATACTATACTTACATATTCGATCAATAATTTCTTAGTAATAGCCGTTTCAATTTCTAGAAAATCTATGTGAAAACAATAAATATACAATAAAATATAAGGAATTTCCATGCTTGATTATGATTCCATATCGTATGTTATTCTATTGAAATTTAATTATTTTCATGCCAATTTTCATTGGGACATTTGTGTCCCCCTGACAAGAAACCTGACATTTAAAAAAAAATAAAATATCGACAGAGTTATTAACATTCGGAAAACACTGTAGGACACTATGTATTTACGTACCGTATTCCAACATGAAACTTTCCAAATGGTTTGTAACGGACTGTTTAATTTTCTGTATTTTAGCAATGAAATAAAAATAATATAATCGAAATGAAACAAGAATAACACTAAGTCGCGAACATATTAGTTGGAAGTGACACTTTTATTTACGGGTAGGTATTAGGTATATTCATGCCCGTCGTAAGATATTTTCCGTTCTAAAGCAAACATTTTATTACCGTCTTTTTGACGGTTATTCATTTTATTTTGCCGCTTCAATTTCTTTAAAACTGTATGCCTCCCTAAAGCAACGCATGACTTGATTGTACCCTACCGACGAGCCTGGGTATATTAATGCAATCAATTATAGCCAATGAATTATTTACTAAGAAAAGTATTTTATAGAATACAATATATAAGAATATAAGAATTTATTAAGAATTTATTAGATAAATATTTTAAAAACACGATACAATAAAATCCAGTGAAAAATTTTAAAATTAACGCACGTGTTTATTTATTTATTTATTTATTATTGAATTTTTAAATAGTATTATCATGAATCATCAAGTATTCTTAAAACTTCAAAATCACTAAACATGCAAAAATGTGCACTATAAACTTTTTATATGTATGTTTTTCGTTGTTTCGAAAGCAAATGCATGTCCCAAACCCTAATGACGACTTTTTTTTTTTGCTCCTTGGCCTTTTCTAATCTTATCTAAGTTTTAGTTTTGCCACTGCGTATACTCACTAAAAAATGTACGACTAAATTATTGGATATAACCCCTAACCTCCCCTCTATGCACACGCCACTGGTGGTATACCCTGGAATTTTCAGAGAGAAATGAGTGAGAGAATGTAGTAAATAAATGTAGTGAGTAAATCATAAAATCTTCTTTTATACGTATACCTAATCCGACGAATGGTGTTTACAAGTTAGATCCAAAAGAGCCAATTTTTATCTAACAAATCGAGCGTTTACATTTAACTTGGTTAAAATATGTAACACACATTACAAAACCGTTAAATTACTAAATGAATACTCATCTAGTGGTTGTATTTTTAAACCAACGGGGGATAGTTATATGTAGGTATATGTATACCAAAACCCCGCCAACTCCCATCCTATGCACACCACTCCCATACACGAAAAGGTCTTCGGGTCACTTTCAGAATTTGTGCGTGGTGTTCGATATGATAATACCATTACAATATTAATATTTATATGGTGACGGGCCGTGACGAAGTCCCATGAGGATTCACTGTATAATTTTAAAGATCAATCGAATTCGCGTAGGCCGTATAATAGGTAGCTACACATTTACACGAACTCTCGGGGGACAGACCGACTCGTTCGGCAGTCGTGCCGCACCCGAATAAAATAGACTGTGAAAAAGACGAGACGACGTTAGAATAATTAAAGCGACAAACATAGGTTCGCAATAATAGTATGTAAATAGTATTATACGAATTATGGGTGATACTCGAATATAACCCAACCCATATTCAATAATAATATCGAACATATCATTAGGGGGAGGGTATACAATTCTATAGTGGTATAGTAATGATTTTATCCTGAGGAGGGGTAGCGATAATTTGTTAGGTAAACATCGTTTGAGGGCCCCCCTAAACCACCCATAAAATCTGTGTTTTAGATTCTCAGCGTAATGAAGAAGCTATAAGTTTTACTAAGACGTGTTTTTTTGTTAAAAAAAATTACATAGTAAAAATGCTCCTAATTTTTCATGTCTCGCATTAAATAATACAATATGTATCTCGACTGTTTATGAAAAGTCAAACGTTCAGAAGCATCTTTCCAATCATTAAAACCTTCATTAGAACCAAATTGACTATCACTTGTAAATAATCTACATACTGCGCAAAATAGACAACCAATTTTCGCAGAACAAACTCGTACTAGCTACGTACGTTGGACATTTTCATTATTTTCGAGTTTTTTGATAAAAATGTCTTCTAACAATATCTATTGACATTACCATATATTCTAAAAGATGATGAAAAATCACAATCAATATTTTGTTCATAAGCATTTCGTGTTATGTAATCTCGATGACAATTTTTAGATTTCAATTTAGTTAGATCATTCCAATTTAAAGATTGATTTACATTTAAAATGGAGACTGGTAGTGCTAAAACAGAATCGAATCTAGTAGAGCAAAGACCTATGGGAAGGTCAGGGATGAGGCGAAAAGACGTATATAGTGAAAAGGGACGTGGAAACTTCTCGCGATGAGATAGCTGACGGGTTAGTTTTTAGATCAATCAAGGTCATAACTGGAAAATAACTTCGAGTGGGGGGGGGGAAGGTCGTAAACTAAAAATGGGCGATTTTCTAATTTGATTGAAAATTGTTTTAACTGAAACAATTTTTTTCCCACAACACAATATAACGTAAAAACCTTGACACACACAAAAAAAAATTAAAAGGGGTTGAACCTCCGAAACCCCCCTCGAGATCAATTAGAGTGATGATCCTAGGGGCCGAGTAACCGAACGCAAAAGAAATATGGTAACCCATCACTTGTTTGAAAACAATTTGGTATAATATGTTCATCGTACTAGGTACCAACTGTATAATAAATTATTTGATTTACTTGTTTCAAACCGTATACACAAGTATTAAGTAACTATCGGCGACTTGTTTTGCTTATTTACTTGCCCAATTTACGTGTACTCGGCTTTAAACGTATATAATATTAATACTAATAACATCGTGTTGCATAGGTGAGCAATATCATGCCAACCCAGATCCTGGTGGCCGGAACCATCTTGTTAGCACCGTTACTCATCACGGCCGCACTGTACGTGCGGATCACGTACCAGGTGCACGTGGCTCGGCTGAACCCAAGCTTCAAGCCGCCGCTGGCGTTTAACTGGGACTACTCGCTGATGTTAGCCAACGCGTACAGCTTCGTCATGTTCATCGTGTTCTGGGCACCGTTCGCCGTCGTCCTGTCACTGGCCACCGTCCAGATAATGTCGGCCCAGGTGTTCTACAACCTGGCGTGGCTGGCGCTCAGCAAGTCGTGCTTTAACAACCTGGTATATTGCGCCGGGAACCGGCACTTCCGGAACGCGTACGTCAACCTGTTCCATTACTGCTGCTGCAAGACCACGGTGACGTTCTCGCGGCGGGCCCGCGACGGTGCCAGCCGCCCGTCCGGCGACGTGCGCGTGCACATCATACCCGGCTACAACATGTACTCGTACACCAGCCCCACCCGGTCCCGGGAGTCGGGCTCTTGCCCGCTCCAGGGCAGGCCACGGACCCGGGCTAACGGCGGCGGGTGTGGCGGCGGTAGTGGCAGCGGGGGTGGCGGCGGCGGCGGTCGAGACGTGTACGAGCTGTAAGGCCGCCATATTGTATGCAGCTGCAGTCGCCCCACACCGCCCCCGACTTATGTATTATTATTATTATTATTATTATTATTATTATTATTATTATTATTATTATTATTATTATTATTATTATTATCATAGCGCCGTACGCACTAAATGGTCCGCGCGTACGACGACGTCGCAACACACACACACACTCGTGTATTATATTATATATTATTATATTTTTCTTTAAAATGTATGTACACACACGTCGCAACACACACACACACACACACACCCTCACACCCACACCCACACACACATACGTGTTATTGTAAACCCTTCTTCGCAGTATATTATTGCCAGTGCCCCGCGGTACCGGGCCGCCGACAAACGTCGCCCTTTCCGCCCGCGGGCCAAAAACTTACAGCGCCGGACGGCCGCACTCGCCTGTGTTCGTTGCCGTCGCGCGAAAGCGGTTCAAAAATAGAGCCGTCCGTCATCGCGCGACGCGAGCAAAACCGCGCGCACGGTCCGCAGCCGCCGCCGCCCCGCGTGTCAATGAGTCTGACGCGCACTGTACACTTACAGTAATAACATTAGTATAAAATAGCGATAGCAACAATAATAATATAATACGTATTAATAAAGTACATTCGAAGAAATCGTCTTTCGGCTAACGGTTTGGCACGCCGGCCGAGACGCGCGCGCGAAACGCGACACTTTATACATACGGCGGCGGCGGCGACAAAATTAGAACCGTCCGCCGCCGCGCCGCGGTTGAGCAAATTACTCGGCCTGCACGCCGAAGCGACAAATAATCAAATACGATTGAGCATAACGTACACCCGCGTGCACTCACCTTGCCGCTATCGGAGATAATACTTAATATCCCGTTGGACGGTATTCATAATATTATTGATCGGTTTATAATTTTAGGCGAATGCAAAATCCGAAAACGGGCGAGTTCGACGTTACCGGAGATCGCAGAAACGTTGCGGTTTTTAAACGTCGAGTTGGTAAACGTTTGAAACCGAATGGAATCGAACATCGTTTCCGACTTTTTCCAACTTCCAACCCCCTTCGGACAAGCAGAATTACGACCTTTTTTTCTGCGGACGATTCTGAAGGGATACCACTTTGAATATACTACCCGAATCGATTTTATACGAATTTCGTACAATTGTGCACGTTTTTTATTGTCAATACGCCTTGAGAAAAAAAAATCCCCCCCCTCCCCCGTTGATATTACGTACCGAATTAGTTCTTCTAATCAATACTACTCCTGACCTCACACTGTAGTATAATATTCCGACAGACAGTCTTGACTTATTCCATAAATGCGTCTAAATAATACATAATAATTGAATAACAGTACATTTTCCCTCGAAATAGAACACTGAACCGAAAAACGTATATTTTTTTTCTCCAACCGTTTTCCTATTTTCGACACCGGCTATCGTAATGTGCGTCTTTTTAAATCTGATTTTACGTTCGACGGTGTATTATGGAGTAAAAAAAAAAAATAAACAACTAAAATAAAAAGGCTAAAAATGCTCAATCGTATTGCACCGCGAGCCCGCCGTATAGATTTCCGGTGCCCGCTGTGTGCCTGCCGATCGTCTATTATTTCGGGTATTTATTATAATTCGTCGACCTAAAACTAGAATCTGTTTGTTTTTTTTTTCTTTCTACTATACGCAATTATACGGGAAGCGATTTTTTATTCAATCTTACTGCCACAAGATTTGGACATCGACTCTATATACAATTGCTAATCTTAGCGCAATAAGTATACTAGTAAAATACGTTAGATGCTTTCCGGATCGCTTATATTTTGCTGTCCCGCGAATAAAAAAAAAAAAAAAAAAAATATGTACCGAACAAAGTTTAAAACAACTATAACTACGATAATAAACCAATCCAGTGGCGTAATTGGAGATATAAAAAAAAACTTGTCCCTGCAGAGCAGGGACAAGTTTGAATTTCACGCCCTATACTTGTAATTATACACTTAGTCGGCTTTTTCCTAGGATAAATTCGTTTTGAAATTCTTCCCGCACGATTCATATCGTAGATAGGTATCCAAACAACGTTACATCGAATCCCACGATTCAAATCCAAAACGCGTCACACGTTTCAGTTTCAGTATTTCGCCTCGAAAATCCAACATCCCATAATTTTTTAAACGATCAAATATTTCAAATTACGGCGACCCGCGGGCGTTTCCCCTTTCCCTTCTTCCTTGTACAGCTGCGTCTCCACACAACCGTAATCCGATTTCAAGCCAAATAATTATAATATATCGCGCGTTTTTGTACATTCCGAAGCGGACCTCTGCAACTGTCGCATTATACAGGAAACAATGCATTCCATCGATCTATACCTATGTATTATTTTAATATTATACCGTTCCCGTCCAATACTATGTATATTATAATATAAATAATCACTGTCCCGAGCCAAACAAGAGCGCGAGTCAATTATAATATTATCGTCTATTTTAAATAGTGGGTAGGACTCTTGTTACCGAAAACTGAATTCAAAGACTCCTATGAATAAAAAAAACCCGCCCAAAAAGAAAAAACAATAAAAAGACTATAAAATCCAGCCGTAATGTCCACGTCATAATAACAATATGGTACGACCGTCGTTTCGGACAATGTGTCGTTGGGATATTTCGAGAATTTGTTGAAATGCGTGTATAATTTTTTCGTTGCCTGCCCAATAAATATTTGAAAAAAAACCACCTACAGAAAAATCTTATCAAAATTCTTAAAAAAAAAAAAACTACAATATCTTAAAAAATAATTATTGAAACTAGTATACACTAAAATCGATTAAAATTATTATGAGCACACGCTACACGAGAATTTGTTGTTTCCATCATGCAAAGGTGTGACATACGCGAATTATGTGCTGTTGTTTTAATATTATACTAGTGACTTTTTATCAAACTTAAAAGGGATGCCGTATAATCATCTGTGTGTATTTAAATTTTTATGATAGGAAATTTTACAAGAACCTTTGTGAGAAATATTACAACTTAAACATGTTTATAGTTACCTATATCGGTAATAGACACAGATAATTTCGTTTAAGTTTGATAATAGAACAGTTTACTCCAATATTAAAACTAACAACATAAAATCGATTCTGCTAAACGTAAATTTGCTATATCATAAACAGCGGCACCGATTCGCGTTTTAATAAGGTGGGCAAGTAAAAAGTTGTATAGACTACCATGCTTATTTACAAAACAAACTCCCACACAACACTTTTAAAATTAATATTCCATACGAACTAATTCGATAAAAAATATGGCTCAGGTACCCATCACGGATCCACTTGTTTGGCTTCCCTCATTTAAGCATAATACAGTGGCGTATTTAGGAGAAGGGATGAGACGCTAAGTCACTAAGAAGATATATTTCCTAGTTCATTTTCGTTTTTATTAATAATTGTATGGCTTCCGATACAGTTCCTGTCATTTAAATTCAAATTTATTTTGATTAGAACTCGCAAAGAAAAACAGGAAATTACAAAAAATATAATGAAGTATAGATTAAAAATGAAATAGATTTTATTTTTTTTGTTTTCTAGACAACATCTCCTCCCTTGATATCCTTATCATATAAATACACCATCGATATACTTAATAACAATGACTAAATAATTTATAATATTATTGCCTGTATATAATTAGTATACACATCAATATGTAAACTGCGCCCAATTTATGTATAAGAACCTACCAGAAAAACTGGTTTTTTGGGTGGGGGAAGGAGGAGGTGAATCATAAGTATACAAATTTACAACATTTTGGACTATAAAACTATGGATTGTAAATTATAATATAAAATTTATTTTTCAAATTTCGGCTGGTGAACCCCTAACCCCTGTATACTTGTATACCTTCCTGTATAGGTCCGTACATACGAGTTTTTGTTCGTTAAATATTTATCATCTTTAAATACAAACGTTATAGATCTAAAAATAAAAAAATAATTTTAAAACTGTAAAAACCGCGATAAATCAAATATTCTTCTAAAATGTATGTATAAAATGTAAATATTAATTACGTCATATCCACATGAATTCCGTCTGTTTCGCTAAGTATTGTATTGTATTGCAAAGTTTTGCCAAGACGCGTCAAACAAGTGAATATCAGGAATGGGTATATTATCCAATAATGTTTACGAGACCCACGTGTAAGCTTTATATTATTTTAAAATTAACCTAGTAGGTTTTATAAACACGTTTATAAAATTAATATTCGGTACTATCTATTTAATATTATTGATTTTTACAAATACCTATACAGATATAGGTAAATATGAAATACACAAGTACTTATAACCTATCCATAAGTCTATATTTTGATGTGTGAAGCTGGTACCATTTTGTTTTATATACATATAAAATATAGTGGCGACAGTAATACCAGTGGCGCCATTTGTCCTCAGTTCACAGCGTAGGAAGATGCATATATAATTTCACCGCAAAAATCGTTAATTTAAGGTAGGGCAATAGGGGTAATTGTCACTGGTGACACATTTCGAGCTTTTACATACGATTATTTTTTTTTTCTCATCACATAATACGCCACAAGGGTGCAAGTTGTGTTATAACGATATATTTCGTTACCTACGTGATAAGTCGTAGTTTTAATGATTTTTTTTTTTTTACTCGTCGATAAAACTAGTGTTGTTAATGGGCGTTCAAGTACAATATCCTGGGGCACTCAGGGTGTACGTCTCTGTTCGCCCACTCCAATAAAATAGAGATAAAACTAAGAATAACAAGAGCAAATATTCTAAATAAATTTGCACTAATATGCATTAATCCCTTTGCGAATAAAAATACCTATGTAATATTTTAATTTCAAGCAAATACAATTTCATTATTTTATAACATAGGTATCTAGTCAGATAGATATCTATTAGCTTCAAAAATCATTCGAAAATTTATTATAACTTTATGACGTCATTATTCACTACACAAATTACGTGTACCCAATCCATATATAGCAACACTCTACGCCTACAGAAATTTAACCAAATTTTGTTTTTAAGTTATGTCTGTATGACAGGTATCGAAATGAATAGCAAAATTATATGGTTAGGTTAGTGTTATGGGTCAATAAAATTTCCATTTTGAGCACTGGTAGAAAAGTAAAAAAAAAAAAAAAACATAGATAGAGGAGATGAACCTTTCCCCTACACGCTTATAATGGGGAAAACGAGTCTCAGGAAATACAGACGGAGTAACCGTGGAACGTTACATCTATATTTTTGTGTCCCCTCTCCCCCATAAGAAAAATAGTTTCTACGCATCTGTAATATACAGCTTCCGATTTCGTTTAACGTTTTCCAACAAACCGCTGTGATGCATAAGTAATTATAATGTCAGACAAGTTTTATGAACTTTACATCTAACTGAGCGGCGTTCGTCATAACTCATAACATAACCATACATACCAAACATTTTTCCAAAAAGTCGGAATTGAAATTGTTGAACGTTTTGTTAACTTTGTGGCGCCCGGCTTCAGCGCGAATAATACCTACAATATTGTTATTTGAAAAAAAAAAAAAAAAAGTTATTAAATACGCGTATAATATTTAAACCCACCTACATTATAATAATACGATATTGCACAACCCCTGATATCTTAATTTATATGAGTCATAGTTTTATATACTTATTCATTATAATATATTGAACATAATTTGTATTATATACAATAAAAACTAACTAGCGTTTGGTACTAAATACTATAATATTATATAATTATTAAAACATTAAATATCTGATTGAATAGGTAGATATAATATAATACTGAGTATTACATAGGGATAAAATAGTGGAGATTTAAAAAAATAATATGATTTACCATCACTCGAAACAACCAAGTATCTAAGACTAAAATTAATATTACGTGTCAATTTCGATTTGTATAATACCTATATACTATATTATTTTTGTTTTATCTAATGATACTATTTAATTAGGTAATGTTATGGGAATTGTCTACCTAGCTATACAATGGGTTGATACATGTGTCATGTACTTATTTATAAGTTACCTAACCCCTCCCTCCCCTCTAAAACTATAATTTAATGTGTTACAAATTTGAAAAAAAAGGTAATTTTTTTGTATTCTCCAAAGTGTGTTGCCTATATAGGTAACTACACTTTTAGAGTAGGTAACGACTCGGATAATGTTTTACGTTTTCATAATACAGGTTGTTTTAATTTCTAGCTTTAAGAATCAATATGTTTCCGCTATTCTTTCACATACGTTTCCATCAACTATGTTACAATATGTCCATGCAATTATTATTATTATTATTATTATATTTTATTAATTTTACTACATATCATTTGCGGTTATTTTTACTACTCGTGGCAATTTGCGTTACATATTTTTATTTTGTAATAACAGAATAAAATTCGTAAACATATATAAATCTTGTGAAAAATTAAATAATAATGGGACCACAATATTTTTTCTACTAAACATTTTCAACACCATACATTTATGCAGGTTGCCTAGTGAAGGTTTTTTTTTTATTCATTTTGAAAACTGAAACTTAATTATTGTATTGATTCAAATCTAAATCTGTGATACAATAAAAAGAGCGATTTTTTTTTTTTTTTCGAAATTTTGCTTTAAAAGGGTAATTATTTTTAAAGATTATGTTTTATAAACTTTTAAAAATGCCATACTGTTCCAACACATAAAAAAAAAATTATACTGTAAATACACAAAAAATATTTGTTTCGCTCAAATATTGTTCACTATTAAAAAATTCATTAACAATATATTTTATTTGGTCAGGTTAAAAATGATTATTAAAAAAAAAAATCAATAATCAAAAGATAGTTAATTGTAAACTGAGACATAATACATCATAAAGAAAAACTAGCTAGTTTTAAAAAAAAAATTATATGTATCTATCATATAATACAAAATATTAATTAGAAATACTTCAGTGACGTTTTGTTTTTGAAATATGAATAAACTAAGTTTGGAGTAAGGCGCAATTTGTACAGTAAAAATGAAACACCGGTTAATCAAACCGATGTTTAAAATAATTTAACCACACTTAAAACTAGGCTAATAGATATATAAAACAAGGACATGTAAATTAAAATATTTCAGTAAAACTGTGATACAAAATAATTCTTATATATTTTAGTTTAGTAATGTAAATTTTGTTTTTATTATAACATTAGTGTTACTATGTATCATTTATAATATTATATTACTATCTTGCAGTTTAGAAAAATAATTATTATTTCTGTTCCTAAAATAATACTTTTTATGTTTGCATTTTTATATATTATATCAATGCATATTATATTTTTAAGCAAAAACAAAACAAAACTGTAATTTTATACTACCTAAATATTTTGTGTGTGTAGATCTTTAAATATATATTAAAAAATATTTCAACTATGTACATAGGTACAATTTTATTATAATCTTAAAATAAGGTGCTTTTATGTGTATGACTAACATTATAACAATAATATAACGCCTGTTTTAAAATTTGAAAATTAATTATCTATAAAATATATCTATATAATTATACAAATACTTGAATGGTTTATGTGTTGTTGGTTTTTATTCTATGCTTATTAATAATATGTTTATTATGTAATATGTGCATTAATTTTGTTAGAACTTCATACAATTAATGAGATAATTAGACATAAACAAACAAAAAAACTTGGTTATTCTCATTAACCGAATATATTATAACGGCCAGAATATTATCAAATGTGCATTTTGCAATTTGTTTTAAAATGTGGACCAAAGCATATTATTCTTTTTTTAATGAAATTAATAATTACATTTTTTAAATCAATGGATAAATATTAGTTGTTATAATCAAACTGAACATATGGAAACCTAGACGAATACATTTTCGTTTATAACATTATTAATAAATTATAAATAATAAATAATGAATTAGGTAAAGTCAATACTAATAAATTAAAAATAAAAGATTATAATTATAATTACACACGTGGTAGTTTAATCATTTAATTTAATTGGGGGGAACTAAGTATTGTATTGTAATAGTATGCAATAGTATAATAACAAAATAATATGTATAGTGTATACACTATATAACAAAAACTATTCTTCTTATTTGAGTTTTATATGTACGGATTCAAGTGCTTCAATGCACCAAGGTGGATAGTTCTTGTTTGGATACAATTTAATCATAAAATCCTGTACAAATTCTGGAAATATATTTTTTTTAATACTATCTCGAATACCTTTCATCAATTGCATTTGGTAATTGAGATTATGCACAGACAATAAAGTACTAGAGACCACCTCTGTAGAAACAATGTGATGTATATAGGCTCTGGTATAAGTCTTGCACGTTGAACAGATACAATTTTTTTCAAGTGGTTCAAAATCCATTTTATATTTCGCATGTTTTAAACTAAGTGTTCCATATGAAGTTAATGCAAAACCAAACCGGGCCGTTCTAGTAGGGAATACACAATCAAACATATCTGCTCCTAAAGCACAACAAATTACCAAATCTACTGCAAACCCCACACCCATTACATATTTAGGTTTATCAAAGGGTAACATTTGAGTGGACAAAAGAACCATTCTCCAAAAATCTTCTTTTGCTTCCCCACCACTGAGACCACCAATAGCATAACCATTTGCTTTTCTTTCTAAATTTAAATTGGCACTTAATTTTCTTAAATCATCTTTCAGACCTCCTTGTACTATTGGAAATATATTTTGTTTTTCAGTATTTTTGTGAGCACTTATGCAGCGGTCCAACCAGCGTGTTGTTCTATATGTAGCTTCTTCCATTCGTTCATTGTTTTTCGAAGTAGTCGGCACAACATCGTCCAATTGCATTATTATGTCAGCACCGATAACGTTTTGTATTTCAATGGACTTTTCAGGAGTCAACAGAGATCTTGAACCATCATAGGGTGATTCAAAATTAACACCTTGTTCACTGATTTCAGCCATATTTAATAACGAGACCATTTGAAAACCTCCAGAGTCAGTAAGTAGAGCTCGATTCCAACCCATAAAATTATGAAGTCCATTTGCTTTTTTCAATAAATCTATTCCGGGACGTAATCCCAAATGATATGTATTTCCTAAAATAATTTGACAATCAATGTCTTCTAGTTGTTCCGGTAAAAGCGACTTTATCGAACCTTTGGTACCAACAGGCATAAAAACCGGTGTTTCCACTGTATAATGAGGTAACTCCATTGTACACGTACGGGCATGCGACGTACTGCATTTTGCGATCACATCAAATTTTAAAGATGTTTTTACCATTATAATACTGTTTTAAATGTAATCAATGATTATTCCTAAAAAAAAAAAATTAATAATATCTCTAGTATACAAATTATAACTATTATATTTCCATATGTAAAACCACTAGATTTGTAAAAGTTGTGTTTGAAATCAACTATAGTATTTTGAAGTGAATATTTTAAAAGGATCGGCTAATCAAAAAAGAAAATTACTCTTATATTCCACTTATATAAAAAATGATACTGAACTATGGAGATATTACGAGGAAAATTAATGTATGATAATAATATAATATAATACAGTAATATACTATACTATACTATACAACAGTAATACATTCCAGATGTTGGAAACATTTGATTAGTATACACCCTCATAAAAGTATATATACATTGGACAATTAAAAGTACATTTGTTGTATACATATAAAAAGAACAACAAACATTGATAATTAATAAAAATAATTTAATACTAAATTGTATCATAAAAATTATGAATTTAAACTATTTTATTTTAATAGCTACCACACAACACAAAACAGTACCAACCGGGGTATTTACCTATTCTGAATAAATACCGTATTTTAGTTTCTATTATTATTATGTTAATTATTAATAATAAATAGATTATGATGGATACGAATTGAATATATTCAACACATAAGGTGTATAATTTATTTTAACATAAATAATTAAAAGGACTTTTTAGTACTTAAGAAAAAGGTTAGCAAATTTGAATATAATTTTTTAACATAGCGAAGTAATAAGGCTACTAATGACATTTAATTTTGAATATTATAATTAAACTAGATGCTTACCTTATTCTAAAAATTGTATATTAATATATTTAATATTGTCCAAATGTGTAATGTTGGTTTGTTTGCAATGTTTTACTAAGTAGCTATACTAATATGCAATCTTTCACAATCTAATTCTTCTGATATCCAGGTAAACAATTTACTATAATTATTTACCTAAACAAAAATTAAAAATGATTAAAACAATAATTCCTGATACGTTTACAATATAATTGGTGAATAGTTATTAATTAATATCCTTTTTTTATACATATAGTGGCGTTTAATTAAAATCACAAATATAGGAAACCGACTAAAAATTTGTTGAAGAAAAAAAAAAAAATAAAATTCTTTATCAAATAGTAGGTAGGTACCAAATCGAAAAAGTTTGAAAAAACAATTAGCCCATTATCGATTGAATCTGATCAATAAAATGTAACACACTTAATTTAGATACCTATATATAAATAAAAGTAAATTTACCTGTTATAAATTAAATAATTTGGAAACGCTTTCAAGTTTCTATTATGTACTTACCTCAAAAAAAATACCCAAAAGATTTACTTGTCTGATTGGTACAAAATAATTCAGTTAGGTATCAAATGTTTTCGCAAGATTTCGTCATTTAAGCGAACAGACTAGGTAACGTAATCAATTTACAAACGTAAAGGTAATTAATAACATTCGTATTTTGTGTACATTTAAACAATTTAAACACCATTCTTTTTTGGTTATCAGGTAATTATGACCCCCACTCCAAGCACGGCGGAAACCTACAATAAAGGTGTCAATTTTTCCACCACGGCAGTACATAAAAAACTACACGTAAGTACTTATATTATGGACAAAAAAAAACAAAATAGACGAATTAAAAATATTAACGTCGAAAAGAAACAAATTTCGGGATGAAAACAAATTTACTAACAAAAACGTTATTCCTTATCGTTAATCGTTATCATTACCGGTAGAGGCTATAACGGCGCATGGAACTCGCGTGTATAAATCCAGTTCCGGATCGTAAATAAATATTATTGTAAACAACGTACAACATTGGTTACCCAACTGCGTTGGGTTACAGTACATTACTTATAGAATTCACATCGGGTAATGACTAATGAACACTGATTATAATATACTATACTCTATTCGAAACGAGTTTGGAAAAATTCGCGCAGCTGCCTTTGCGGTCGGACCGCCGTCATCGGCTGGTGTAGTCGGCATACGTCGTTGCACGTCGCTACTGCGGGCGTCCACGGTCCGCCGTTGTGTATACAGAGAATCGTAATTACGATTATTGATATTAAGCGCGATCGCAATACCCGCGCACGCTGCGCGGCTATATCGTTATTATTGCTCACGCATACGACGTACCTTACTTGTTTTTTCATATTGTAATTTTTACGGACATTGGACACGTATCTATTATACGCTTATAGCCATACGCGTCATTCATTCAGTTTTTGTATAATAGGTATTATTTTTTTTTTTTTTTTTTATAAGCTTTAACCAAATGCTGTGGACGTGTCTACAGCTTTGATATAGTCATTTTCGGGTAGGTGCTACGCAAAAATAAAATTCGTATTCAAATTCGGAATCATTATCAGTTCGGTTATACCACTTATCACGGCTATAGATACTATGGTCGCCCGTGGACCAGTGATTCTCTTACTTGAAGAGTGTCTACCGTGCTACAACTAATACTTGTGGTACGATATCAAGGCCTATATAGATAATCTAGTATTACCATAATAATAGATTATGTTATCCATAAACTTTGGTACGGTACTACTACTAGTAAGTACTTACTACTTGTACCGTAGACACAGACAAGTATTCTAAACAGTCTTTGCATTACACATAAAATAAACCAATTTCATTGGCCTATTCAAAACGGTGCGTTTTACCCGTAGACATATTGAGATAATATGTTAAGATAATATGTCTATGGCTTTACCGCGTTTTGAACTACAATAATGGTTGGCATGGAATACAGAATTGATAGTAATAGGAGGCGTGGTATAAATACGATACTTTTCACTATAAATAAGGAAAATACTCATAATTCGTTGAAAACATTCAGAATATATTAATGTAATTAAATTACTCATGATATTAGTTATGGTTATTATTGAATTAATATTATAAGTTATGACACTATTGAGTGTAGGAAAAAAATCCGAAAAAAAAAAAAAAGACGATTTATTTATTGTAATTATAATTACAATAACAAAAATATTGTATATACAATTTCGTATTGATTGGTTGAGTTTAACCTGCAGCGTTGTGTCTCCATAATAATACCTAATCTAGATATCGTCAATATCAATATAGGGTACCCGTGCAATGGAATCACGGACTAGGATATCGTAGTCCGTGCTATAAACCCTGGTCCATTTTATCCATAGACTTAGCCATAGTCTATTCCATAGATGGAACATTCACCCCGTGGTCGGTCAGAACGGATCAAGAGACATAAGCTGATATGAAGTCTAATGTGAGAAAGAGTAAATTCGTATTCCGAGAACGGCCAATTTAAACATTCCGTTTGTTACCTTGCGTGTTTCTGTCCTCGAAACGAAACTTCACCTACCTACTGAAATGCGTTTGCATTCTGAATGTTCCGTCTAAATGTATAAGTCAGAAGTCTATGGGCCTGTGCAACGAGCCTCAGACAATAATGACCGCTTGTATGCGTCCGTGATAATGATCAAATGTCCAAATCAAAGTCGATTAATCCACCCTTAGATCATATACTATAGTATATGATAATACATTGATATTGTATGACTAGTGTATACTTGTACCCATAATATGAACTAAGAACCTTGGTCCAAATAACACTTTTAAGTAGTGATGAGCGATTTGAATCGATTTTTTGATGGTCAATTTATCAATTTTAAAAACGATTCGATCAGGGCGATTTTATCGTTGAATCGATTGTTTTTTTTTTTTTGTTCAATTCGGCCGATTTACTTAACATGGATTTTTTTTATATTTTCGTGTTAGTTATACAGAATGTAAATTCTTTCTTTTTTTTGTTTTTCTACTTTTATGATATTTCGAGCAGTATATGCATCGATAATAAAAGTACTTTTATGCCCGTATGGACATCTTTTCCCGAAATCGACTTATCATGTTATCAGTGACAAACATGAACATTTTTTACAAAATGGCTATTTTAAACAATTTCTAAAGTGTGTAAATAAAGTAATTGTATTTTTTTGTGTTCAAGAAATGAAAATAGAAATGTATTTTTTCTCTAAATCGTTATTCCTTCGAAGTCAAACTGAATAAAAAAAATAAAATTCCAAAAAAATTGAATATCAATATTTAATTGTTTAAAATTAGAAAAACGTGATGGGGACAACTGTATACTATACAAAGTTTAAAAAAAATCGATTGTTAAATGAATCGCCTATCACTACTTTCAAGTTTTAACTCATTAAACTGTTTAAACAAAATCGTTATCATGATAAGTGATAAGAAACAGATTTGTATGGAGTCTCGAGTCGACACCGCGCTTATAGACAGATACAAAGTCAGTAAATAAATCTATATTATAGTTGTCGAGGTTAATATCTCAAAGATGATAACAAAAATTCGCGCGGGACAAAAATAAATATATTGGTTGATATTAAGGTGGTGTTAAATGGTAAATTGATTGGAATTATCTTAAATGTATAAAAAAACAAACTGTCCGTTTTTGGACCGTACACTACCCAAAATTACCGTAAAACCCGAAACAGACCGTGTCATTGGCAACACTTGAAACAATTTCACATTCCGAACGAAAACTCGTTTTTTTTTTTGAAACGGTCAAACTTATTACTTATTTCAGTGTATCTATTATTATTATTATAGTCTTTGAGCGTTTGCTACATTACCTCTACCGCTAATCGATAACGTAACGCTCAGATTCAGTGACATCATGGTTGTAAGCTGAGTCATTATAAGTCATAATAAGTAAATACTTACGGCCTGAGCGCTAAAGAATGTTGTCAAACGCCAAACCGAACACCGAAAGTCGGTAACGCTGATAAGCGTCTAAGCGTGGCTATACGATGATATGATAACTGCCAAGTATCAAGGTGGAAAAATATCAATCGATAAAAACTGATAATCACCTTGCAGTGTTAACAGTATTCTTTGTTATCTTAGCTATGATAACCACTCGACACAGACTTCCCTCTAGAACTTCAATCAAAGTTTAAACTCTAAATCAACGTTGAATTAGACTACGAAAATCGAATTTGTGTGTTAATTTTTAAACTCCTCAAGTGGTCGACTGTTCCTCATTCAACGGAAACAAACAGTTCCAATACAAAAATGTCACCAAGGTAGATTTTTACACATTACACTATAACATTTAGGTATATATCACGATTTAAGACTTAATATTTTATGTAAAATCGCGGTGTAAGTATACGCATAACAAACATTATTGTATAAATGTCTAATATATAAACCGTTTATAACGATGCAAAATGTAACAAAAAACAGTGACAGTTTTTATTTTGTATCAACTAATATGGTTTTACCGCTTTTACTTTTAATCAGATAAAATGATTAATCATTGATCAAGCAAAATTTGTGGTTTTCCCAATTAGTTATATTTATAAATTTTTAATAGTGCCATTATAAACAGTTACTACACTGTATTATTGTATTTAAGTATCTATACCATTTTGTAAATAATTTAATAAATTGTATTCTTATGTCAAATATTAAATTTTTTGTATTAATATATTATTTTGTACTGTAGAAAAAAACGTGGAGGGATGAGAGGCCGAGGTAGAGGTAGAGGTATATCGAAAAGAAGGGGACCAAGACCACGTCAGCCGTCATTGACAGCAGATGATACCGATGCAGAAGGTACATCTAACGATGGCAATGTATCTTTTGAGCAGTTACCATCACAATCAACATCATTACAAGGACAAAGCAATGCTGAATATAACGAAGAAAGGGAACTATCATTACCTCGACTTAAACCAACAGCCATTGGTGAAAATTCTACTCTTGCATCAAGTATAACAAATTAAATACATATATATTTTTAAATTTAAAAATGAACAACTAATGTGTATCATGAATAAATTCATAATTTTAGTATTGAGCCGTGATCGAAAATCTGACTATATAATGTCTGATGATGAAATGGACCACGTTCAATGGGAACTTGAATCAATGTTAACTTCTTTAATTCTTCACAAGAACACAGTAAAAGATGAACTCAGTACTTTCGCATCAATGCAGTTTAACCGATCTCAACAAAAAATAAATCAAAATCCTATGCTTCCTAAAATTGTAAGTGTGTTTATTATAAAGTAATATTACCTTTCATTTAATTCATTGACCTTTTAAAGGAAACTATTTAACTAATTTTTTAAGGTGTTAAAAAAATTTACATTGATAACTTTAATTTTAAAAATATAATAGCTATATTGCCGTCCTAAGAAAAAACGCCGTAAATAAGAAAAAAAAATAAGAATACTAGAAACATGTGTATAACTATAATATTAAACGTAATACAGTATTTTTTTTTTCGATTTACTGCTTTTTTTTTTGGGATGGCAGTTTGTACACTATGTAATTGTTTGTTGGAAACACTCAATAACTTAACAAATATTGAATATATTTGAATTCTGTTTGTTTTTGGTGCTTAACAAACTTTGTTATAACTTATTAAACTAATTGAACAATTTTTATACTATTTTATTTCGTGGATGCGCATAACAACTTTTTTTTTTTTAAATGGCAATCTCACCTTTTTTTGGTTAACTTTTTTTACTTTTATTTTTTATGAATTTCAATGGTAAAACTAACTTCCTATGTTAAAAAATATGGATATTTCAATGTTTGATATATTTTTTTTTAACATTTTTGAAATATTTATCAATTTTATGGCTTAAATTATTCATTTTTGTACCTCGTGATATTTTTTAGTGATATTTTTTGTACCTACTTTTGGAAAGTATCCTTTTCCCCTAAAGAAACTAATTTTTTTAAGTTTGTCTCCTTTAATTTTTTTTAGTTCAAAATTTCATTTATTTATCGTTTTTTATGACTGGTTTTGTTGATCAAAATAATAAAACTAATTTTTTGTTTTTCTAAATTCAGATAGGCAACATCCGTCACATAGTTATTTTCAAAAGTTAAAAAGGAATTTACGAAATACTCATTCTTTTTCTAATACAAGAGTTATTGTTAACCAATAATCTAGACGAGTCAATAAATTAAGGGAAGATATTGAGCTTCAAGTGTTCGCATACATAAGAGCAAATCCCAGAGTTAGTATGCGTCATGTCGGCTTTGAAATAAGTATTTCTCATAATGCTGTTTATAAAATTTAAAAAAAAAAAAAAAACATAAATTTCATTCATACAGACCTAATTTAGTTTAACACTTATGCCAAGGTGACGTTGAACGTAGGATTATGTTTTTTTCTTGGTTGGTAATTCAATTAGAATACAATCTTATTATTTTAAAATTACATATTATGGACAGATAAATCCAAATTCTCCAACAACAGTATAATAAATAAACAAAATAATCATTATTGGTACAATCAAAATCCCCATTGGGTTTTTGAAACAAAAAACCATTGTGTCTGGGGAACAAATGTTTGGTGTGGTTTTATTAGAGATACATTGTTGGGACCTTTTTTCTACGATGGTATCTAGAATTTCTAATGAATCAACTACCGATCATGCTAGACAATATTCCTCTTTCAACAAGAAAAAATTTGATTTTGCAACAAGATGGAGCCCCGGCACATAATGCAATTTTCTTGAAGAATTATTTAGATAAAAATTTTGAAAATTGTTGGATATGAACTAATGATATAATAAAATGGCCAACTTAATCCCCAGATCTTTCATCACTAGATTACTTTTTGTGAAAATATCTAAAAAAAGGCGTCTATGCGAACCCATCTACTAATCTTGTTCATTTGAAATAAAAAATTATTGTGGCATGTATATAACTTACTGAACGGCAAATTTCATCTGCAACAAATAAAGAATTTCTACGGAAGGCGGAAGGATGTTTAAATTATAATGGAGAGCAGCTTGAAAAATTTATAAGATGAATGAATGTAGTTTTGAACTAATAAAAATAAAAAATTAAAAGACAATTTTTAATCACCTAAGGAGACAAACTTAGAAAAATTAGTTTCTGTAGGGAAAGAGGATCTCTCCCAAAAGTAGGTACTAAAAATATCACTAGAAGATATCATGAGGTACAAAAATGAATAATTTAAGTCATAAAATTGATGAATGTCAAAGATGTCAATAATGTCAAAAAAATAATATCAAACATTGAAATATCCATAACTCGTCTATTTTTTAACATAGAAAGTTGGTTTTAACATTAAAATTAAAAAAAAAAGTTGTTAAGTGCATGTGCGAATTTAAATGGCATAAAAATTGTTTAATTAATTTAATAAATTATAACAAAGTTTGTTAAGTTATTGAGTGTTTTCAACAAACGCTTACACACTGTATAAAATGAAAAATTTGTGTTATTATTATTTACTATACTTGATATGGGTATTTTCTGTGTTATAATAGAATATGTGAAAATCAATAAAATATTGATAGTTAATGTTTACAGTGTAGTTTATTTAATACAAAAATTATTTTAAATATTTATATGCTTTCAGTATTTACTATAAATAACTGAAACTTTGATTATGTTAATTTATTTAAATATTATAAATACCTACTTTTAAAAAAAAATATAACTATTTTTATTATATAGAAATTACAGTTTGTTATTTTAATTTTATTATAATTGAAGATCATTTGTTCTATTTTATTTTTATAGACACCAAGAGCTGCTGCAGAAATATCTCCTGTAAATGAATGCCGTAAGATGAAAATTGAATTTGATCCCACTAGTAAAGTAAGTACTAGTATGAAAAATAGTTGAATTATTAAAATAAATAATTTAATATAAATTAATTTTTAGGAACTACCTCCTAACAAAACCGAATCAGCAAATAGATTCTGGTCCCAAGTTGAACCTTTTCTAGCTCGTGTAACTAAGGAAGATGTTAAAGTATGATTATTTTTATGGTACAATATTGTTTCATTAAATTTATATGTGTTTAATTTTTCAGTGGTTAGAAAATTTGGTAAAATCATATGATCTTAATGATAAATTGTATGAAATACCACCTTTGGGTGAACATTATTCAAAGATTTGGGCCAAAGAAGAGTTGGAAATGCAAAAAAACCAATCATCATCTTCACCTCGGCCAAATAAAAAAATTAAACTCACTGAGCGAATAACTCCTGATGTTATAGAACTAGTGAATAGAGTAAACTCTGCTTTGTAAGTTGAATGTTAAATTGTGGTTGTGTGAAATGAAAATATTACTAAAATCAACATTTGATTAAAATTTTAAACTTGTGTTTTAAAAAAAAACTTGATTTAACTATATTTTAAGTATTCAGTAGTTAATTTTTAATTACTATGTTGTATAATAGTAAATTTTTCATTTTAATTATGTAGATTTTATAAAAAATACCAAAAAACTAATTGATAATCCATATAACTGTATTTTTTTTTTAAATTATTAAATTGTAGACATGATGGTATTCCTTCTACACCAGTATATCAAAGGGTTGTAAGTGCTCTTAAAGAACATGCACCATCAGAGGACACCGAGGAACATTTTCTGGAATTTGATGGTATTGTTGTTTTTTTACTATTTCCGTAAACAATAATATGTGTTTGTATGTTTATATATATATATTCATATTTTTTGATTAATAAAGATGAAGACAAACCACAGGAAATGAACAATACTTGCAAAGAATTTTATGCAGAGCAAAATGTTAAGAAGCAATTAAACAAATTAGGGCTGCTTGGTCGCTATTCTAAAATGGTACCACCACCACTACCACCACCACCACCACCACTGCCACCACCACCACCACCACTATCATCACAGGATCTACCTTCTACATCAGCTATACCTGATGAGGTACTTGAAATTAAAAATGATTGTTTGAATGATTATATTAATGTGTATTTTTTTTTTTTTTTTTAATTTTAAATTTTTTTTTTTTAGGACCATGATGAAATTTTAGAAGAAATACTCAAGTGTGATAGAGAGTTAGCTCAATTACGAGAATTAAACAAAAATAGCTTGACAAAATTATTGGAAAAATGCCACATAGATTATCGTCAACAAATTATAAAAAAAAAAATTGAAGTTGTAAATGAAAAGGTACAAACGGTTATTTGTATATAATTAGATATAAAATATATCCCTGAAATAAACTTTAAGACATTTTATTTATTTTGCTAGAAAAATTTTAAAAAATAATCATATTATTGATTACAGTATTTTGTTTTTAAATAACCAAGACAATATTTTCTTTAGATCTGTATTTAAAGAGTTGTATATTATTTATTATGTAGTTAAAGAAAATAATTTTAAAAACATGCATAAAATATTTTTAAAATAATATTCTTTAGATACGTGTGGGTAATAAATATACTATTCTATATAATTTCATCTCCTATTTTTTATTAGTAAGTTTATATATTTCTCTCTATATCAAATGCATAATCTAGAGAAGGGAGTGAGGTTTGCTGTTCAACAGTCCAAACACTCCTTTTCTCTCACTTTTTATTGTCTTGTGATTTCTCACTTAAGGTTCAGTTTATTAGTAAATAGCTCTATGGGTATTATATGTATAAAATAAAATTTTTTTAAATAGTAACCAATTAAATACCTAATTTAAATATTTGTAAATATTTTTATATTTTTTAAATACCTTAATTTCTACCTATACGTAGAAATTACATTTTATCAACTGTCAAATAGGTGACATGTATTTTTAGTTAAAAAGATAGGTCCAATCTAGTACTATACTATTCATTTAGTATAAATATATACATTTTAGAACTTGATTTTAAATACAAGAATTTCTGTTATATTTAGATTATACATTTTAAAAGAATGCAAAATGAATCATGGACTAAGGAAAAACAATTGGCCCAAGCAAATAAAGAAGACGAAGAATTGAGTTTTTTATTAAATGATCGCAGTGATTTACTTATGCAATTACAATCGATACCATTTGATCCTAGTAGCATTTTAAACCTATCGGCTTCTGATGATTCAGAATCCAGTGATGAAGAATTTGACTCATCTAAAGTAATTAAAACTGAAAAATCTGAACCTGATGTAAACATAAAAGAAGAACATGATGATGAATATCAAACTGCTAACGATTTCGAACTTCATATTAAACAAGAGGTTATTGAAGAGAATATAGTTTGTGAAGAAGTGAATGAGGATATAAATATGGAACTGGTCATAAAAGGAGAAATGAATACTGAAGAGATGGAACAGATGGTAGATGAGACAAACGAAACTGAAAATATTAATGAAGACAAAACCAATGAAGATTATCGAACTGGACAAAAAATTGATGAAACAGCTAGTATTAACTCTGGTCGTTCGGATACTCTTAGTCCAAACTACTTTGATATTGCGAACTCTAGCTGTTTGGATAATACTAATTCTAGCTGCTTAGACATTGTTACTGAATGTATGGAACCAGTTCTTAATTGTTTAGATACTGCCACTTGTTTGGATACTAATACCTGTTTAGATATTGCTAATAGCTCTTTAGATACTGTTACTAGTGATTTAGAGACTGTTACTGGTTTATATTCTGCTAGTAGTTTAGATAATGATAGCTGTTTAGATACTGCTAATATTAACAGAATAGATAAGATTAATGTAGAAGATAAAGATAACAGTAATACATATGAACCAGTTATCAATCAAAGTTGTATTGAGGAAATACAAAGTACCTCGGGAAATGTACAAACATCTAAAATTGAATTAAAAAATTCAATTGAAATTAAAACGGAACCAGTAGAATATGAACAAGAATTAGACCTTACAGAGAATAATGCTATGATTGATGGTATTAAACGAGAACTAAGACCTCGAAAATTAAATGAAACTGTATACTTTGAACAATATATTGGATCTTCAAGTGAAGAAAGTGATTTTACTCTCTCAGATTAATGTTCCTATTTTTATATATTAATACTAAACTTAAGTAAACAACAACATAGTTGTAATATTATAATATTTTTAAAAAATGATTTAAATTAGAATTGTTTTTACATTAATATGATTAACATTAAAATATTTTTTTTTTTTATTCTATTCATATAGGTTTTTTTTGTAATAGCCAAACAATGTTTTGATTTTTTTTATTTATTACTTTAACTTGTTTGTTATTTGAGACAATTTTCCTATAATTAAATTAAACAGTGATAATATTTATCGTTTATTTGACAATAAATTTATAAGGTAGTTTTGTCGAATATATGAAATACAATTAAAATAATTAACATCCCATTGATGGTAATTCATTCTTAATACAAATATTACAAATATTCATCTGTTGTATTAATATAGTACAAACGTTTTTATTACCTATCTACATATAAGATATAAATTAAGAAATTTACTATGCACTGTTATAAAAAATATTTAATAGCAATAAAGCATATGTATTTAAATATAGTAATTTAACTAAATTAGTATTTTTGTAAATATTGCCATTTAAAATGTACATTTATGATGTTTTAATTTCTCAATTTAAAGCCTAATAAAATGTATTATTTATTGTTTAAAAATTAGCTTTTATAGCAGTTCTATGATAGTTTTGAATAATTGAATACAAATATATTAAATACTTTTTAATTTAACTTTGAAGTATTTAATAAATATTTGTGTTTTGGTAAATAAGATACAAATCATATAGGTACTACAAGCTCGTATTTAGCTTATAGGTGTACATTTAATAAAATGAAAATATTATTTTTTCAATATTAGAGAGTACTTTAAAATTATTTAACTATACTAACATTTAATAAATTATATATTTTGAGTAGGTAATGTTTGAAACTCAAAATATTACCACCTAACCATTAACACGTTTTAGTATTAAAACTTGCCATATGAGTCAGAAAAAACTCATGCCTCGAAGAATTGACAGGTTTTGATAATTTATATTTTTTAATTTGAAAAAAATAAACATTATACAGATATACTTATATTTTTAAAATGTAATTATCAAATAACTAAAATAAACATCTAAAAATGGTTAGTTCCTAATTAAGGTATATTTCTAAACATATTTTTCTGATAATATTAGGTTATATTGAAATCAGACTGCTATAATACATAAATGTTTACTGTAAATTAAGTTTCCTACGAAAAATCACACTGTCCAAGAAAAAATCCTACCTTCTAAAGTTGTGAATATTTTTTTTAGAAATAATTATTTGAAAAACATCCATAACCAAATTTAACACTAATTTATATTTCAATATGATTTCTGTATTTTATATTTTTTATTAAACTAAAAATAAAAAAATGTATTTATGATAACCTTGGTAGCCATTTTAAAAATATATTTTGAAACAACAGCGTTGGTGTTACACATTTTTACCAATAATCTCACCAAATAGGTAACTTATTCAAGATTATCTGAGCATTCTAATATTGTAGAAATTAAATTTTGTCAGTTTTATACGATTTTTTTTAAATATCTATTTTTAAAAGAGGCGAATTTTAAAATTCAAGGAAATCAGCTAAAAAAAAAAAACATTTACTACTCGTGGTAATTATAACATCAAAATCAACTTTAGATATACAATCAATAAAAAGCTGAGTAACTAATACCTACCTCGCAACTCAAAATTTAAAAACACATTTTTGCTTTATAATCCGTTAAAGAAAAACATAAACGACAAATGCATAATTGACGTCCAAATTGATTGTTTATCAACTTAAATAACAAACAAATTATTGCTTCGTTATTTATGGACAAAAATATCATTAATTATGCGATGTAAAAATAATTATTAGATATATTTTTAGTATAACCAATGCAAGGCCAATAGTCCACTAATTGTAATAACCATGTAATAATTTTAATTTATATTTATAGCATAATTAATGCTATTTATAATAATTTATACACTGAAATAATATAATTAAATTAAAATTATTTATGAATAAAAGAACTAGCAATTAGAAATAGGAAAATCATGATCACTCTAAGTTTTTTTTTTTTTTTGTGAATGTTATAACCGACAGCAGTAGATCTGTTTTCACTATACTTTCTCACTGTTGCCATCGTTTATTAATAAATTACAATAATATATACAAAACCTATTTTCCTTTTCGTGGGGTAAGCTCACATACGTACAGATTTACCTAATTAAAAATACAAATACAATAAGTTAACCTAACTTAACTCTATGTTTATATAAATTATTATAAATTCAGAAGGCTATAACTTAATCTTGGATCTAACTTAACTGTGTTTTTCAAACGTCAAAACTTCCCAGCCTGGTTGATGAACCCAATGGCTTGGAAGCCCGTTCTATCCATGCACTTCGTGACTAGGTTAACAAAACCCATCGGTCTAGAGTCACGTTCGGGAGATTACACGACGCGTGAAGCAAAAGCTCACCGACCTGTTCGAAAGGTCAAAACGGCAGAACTCCGGTTAGCCCACGTCTCGGCTTCCCTATTCCTCTCGTCCTGCTCTTTGAGGCCCTGGATATCCATTACCGAAGAGTAGAAAAACTGAGCAAAAGCAGACAAGAGCTGATCATGTCTGACGTGGTCCTGGTCCCGAGATGGGATGTTGGGAGTGATGCTCTTGTTGCAAACGAACGCCCTAAATGACTGACAGAAGCAGTGGCGCCAAACTTAATTTTAATTGGAGAAGCAATAACATTCATAAGATACCTACTCACAATCATAGGCGTGACTCGGGGGGGGGGGGGCCACGATTCCACGTCCGGATTGAGATTTTATAATAACTATTATTTTCTTAATTTTACAAAAATAATAAAATTGTAAGGAGAAATGTAGCCTTCTATCACAGAAGGGTTCTCAATGAGATCAATCAAAAATCGTGTATTCCGCCGTGTCTTCAGGGACTGATAGTACAGACACTCTGCAGCGTCTTGAGATCGTCCCATATACGACATAGGTATAGTGTCTGAAACAACCTTGACCCGACAGAGTCTGTGTCACGTGATAAGTGAGGTCCTTGGGACTTCTTGTAACCTTGTAACATCACTTTAGATTCGGCAATATCCTATGAGTCCAAGCCGCATTGTTTGTGTGGCCTTACCTATTTGACCAAGCAACAAAGACGATGGCACGCTCATTTCTTCGGATCTCTAAGAAGTACCCAGCGAAAAGAAAGACCACGTCAGTGAAGACACACAATTTATTTTTAGGGACATATTCCGTTTAGTTTTAATAGTAGGTTATATATATTTGTAAAAAATGTGTACAATTTTAATCGTATAATCATAGACTTATACATCTAGACGGAACATTCAGCATGAGAACGCGTTCCGGTACATGGAGTTTCATTTCGAGGACAGAAACGCGTGAGATAATAATCGGAGTGTTTTAATTGGCTGTCCTCGAAGTGTAAATTTGCTTTTTCTCATACTAGGCTATATATCAGCCCGACTGACCACGCCTCTCAATCCTTGGAGTGAATGTTCCGTCATATAGATGTTTATGCTTATAACTAAAGCTCGGATGTTAATGACCAAAATTTCTTTAAAATATGCATTTAAAAATTTCAAAATATGCAATTATATGCTTTAAAATATACTAAATATAATTGTTTTTCAAGAAATATATGCAAAAAAGGTGTTAATATTAATTTAAGATAAATTGTACACTCTTTTAATCGTGCATGGATTAAATATATCGATTTTTTAAAATATTACTAAGTTTTACAAAAGACTTGGTTAATATTAATTCAAAACATAAATGATTCAAAATAAAAAAAATAAAATTCAAAAATTTAAATGTTACATACTTAGGTTAAATACTTTGTTTGGTTAATAGTTGTTGTTAAATCTAGAAATAATCAATATATGCATTTATATGTCAGTAATAACTCTTATATATAAAAAGGGAGACAAATTAAACATAGAAAATAACCGCTCCATTTCTCAAATTTCCAATGTCGCTATATCTTTCGAAAAAATAATAAAATATGAGTTAGTATACTATCTAGAAAACTTTAAATTATTATCAAATGCATAATTTGGTTTTAGGGCTGATAAAAATTTAGGGCAAGTAATTGCAACAGTATCTAACTATATTTTTAATGCATTTGAATGTCAAAAAAAATGTGCAACTGTCTACTTAGATTTAGCTAAAGCATTCGACACTATAGACCATTTAATATTACTAAATAATTTTAATAAATTTGATATCCAAGGTCCAGCCTACGACTTATTAAGCTCGTATTTAAAAATATAGGAAACAAAGAGTTAGAATAAATAATTCCTTAAGTTTAGAAACACAATCAATATGTGGAGTACCTCAAGGTACTAACCTCTCTCCCACCCTATTTAATATTTAAATTAACCAAATAAACGATTTAAAGATACATGGTAAACTAGTCTGTTTTGCTGATGACACTGTTCTTTTTGTTAATGGTAACTCTTGGGACAAGGTATTTTCATCCATGCAAGATGAGCTGAGAAAAACCAATAATTGGTTATGTGCAAATAACCTATTCTTAGCTAATTCAAACCAACCAGATATAACCAGTCTGTGTATTCACGAACACGAATGCTCGAATCCAAAATCTTATATATGTCAAATATCATTAAAAATAGTAAATTCTTGTAAATACTTAGGCATTGAAATGTGCCATAACCTCAAATGGCATGACCACATTAAACAGACAACGATAAAACTAAGAAAAATAATCTATGCTTTCAAAAATTTAGCAAATTTGAAATTAACTTGAAATTAAGAAAATTAGAACTGTGTACCGAGTTCTAATAGAATCCATAATTAACTATGGTATTATTATTTGGGGAGGTGCCTACGATACAACACTAAATCCATTAAAAAAAATACAAAATAGAATCATAAAAATTATTTTAAAAAATAATCATTTATATCACACAGAATATCTGTACAAATAATTAAATGTTTAACCATTAAAGAAATCGTTCTATAAAGCATCAGTAATTTATATAATTAAAAATAACCTAACACCTAGTATTGATCATGAATATAACACAAGACAATTATCAAACATTACTGTTACCTAAATGCACAGAAAACTAACTCGATCTACTTACTTATATGTAGGACCAAAAATATATAATATGCTACCATTAGACTTCAAAACAACTCTATCGTTTAATACTTAAAAAAAAGAAAAATAATAACTAACTGGCTGCAAAATTAACCTTTTGAAACTTTAAATATTTGTATATCTTTAATCTAGTTGCTTGCATTTGTATTTTATCAAACTGTAATATAAATTAAGTCTGCATGTATTAATTATTGTTGCCTACGTTGTATATGCTCAAGTTAGTTTCATAGGTCTAAAATTGTAGAAAAAAAAAAAGTGAAATTTAAATTATTATTTGAATGCAATATTTTCTTTGTTATAAATTGTGAACTCATGGACACCCCCCACACGAACCCGTCCAGTGGGGCCCATTATCTTTTCGAAGAAATAAACAATAATAATAATCTGCTCGAAAATGTCAAATATGCAAAGTAAGTTTGCACATTTGAAATCTAGACTTAAGGAATCGAATTTATATCATGTTCGGCTATAATACTGATTGCGTTAAAAATATGCAAAGTCATAAGCATCCGAGCTCTATTAATAACGGTTAGGTACCGCACTCGCTGCAGGATGTTATAGTTTTCTTTAAGCAAAGAGACAATCGGGACTTTAATGAATAAAGGTACCTATGGTATCTGAACCACAATTAGTTTAATACCAGCTAATATTACGGGTAGGTATTGTAGGCGTAATAACAAAATTTGGCAAAAATAAAACAAAATGTCTAATATTTTTCTGACCGCCGCGCAACATTATTAACACGCGCATCGTGACATGTCGACAAGGTACCGTCGAATTGGTAATAAATTATAATGATATGTCTGCAATAACAATAATACGGTTGTATTATACAATCATCGTTATACTGTCGTTTGCGTGTTCAAAATAAAATAATTATTATTCACCGTAGAATACCTGTAGAACCGGTAGATAATCATTGTGCAGGTAATAAAATAGTATTATCGTAAATTCAAAGCGCATGTGCGTCACAAATGAGTAGAAGGTACGTTAAAATATCACATAGACACGGTTATACTCACAATACACAAGACAGTATGCCTGCAGACGCCGGGACGCGAGTATTCGCTATTAGTATTTGTCGGTTTGAGCATCGTAGCTCAAAAAGTAAAAATAAAAAACCACTGGAAAAATGGGCAAGTTAAAATATTACATCGCCGCTTTGACGATCACTGTGGTGGCGTTGGTTGTCTACCGAAAAACAACCGATAACGTCAAACCGGAGGTCATGACCGAGGATGTGTGGTGGGGACGCCAATCCGAACCCACATCAATAGATGCCAAAGTTCGACCGTTTCAAATAAATATTACGGACAAAGTACATAAATTACATCGATATCTATTAACTGTTATTATTATTGCGATGAGAATAATGTCGAGACGGGATAGGATTATTATTGTTTCTCGCTTGTGATCCGGTTGATTTTTTTTTTTTTTTACTTTGAATCACCGATAGGATTTTCCGCTCATCCACCCATCCAACCTCAAATGCATTGGAATTTGTCAAATTTATCAAATTTCCGCAGTCTGAAATTTTTTCAACGACTTGTTTTGTAAAAATGTAACAATTTTTGTTATATTCCTGAACACCCACCACCTAAACGGTTTTTTTGTGGATCGCGCGATTCAAATATACCTCCTTCGAGCCGTCACTGTACGTAGCAATTATGAATTTGTTTTGAATAAAAATGTTGATATTACCTACAAATATTTACTAATGATGATGGCTTTTTTCATAACAATTTGATACTTATACGTACCGATAGGTTATATACTGCAGATAGATTATACCAACATTTTCAGTCTATCGTTTTTTTTTTTCTCTCAACTGTTGATTTCATTTACACGAACCTATATTTCCAATCTCGATATGTTTAGGTATTGTAATATTATACCTATACGATTCAAATAAAATAATTATTTATTTTTGAAAATCGTTGACATTTTCTCATCCCAGACCATATTGTTGTAGAATTTATTAATATAGTGTACTAATATTGTTAGATCATCTAGATCTATAAGTTTTCGATACCTATATACATTTGACTTTGTGTGTACAGGTTACAAAAGATCTTAAAAACAGATTGTCCAACATCCGACCGCTGGTTAAACCGCTGGAAAATATAAATTTCGAATATGGATTCAACAGTGATCATCTGATGAAAATCATCGACCACTGGTTGAATCGTTACGATTGGACGGCCAGACAGGCGTACCTGAACACGATGCCCCAGTACAAGACCAGAGTTTACGGTCTCGATTTGCACTTCATACACGCCAAACCGCGTATATCTTCCTCGGGTAAAATCCGAACGTTACCACTGCTAATGTTACACGGATGGCCGGGTTCGGTGGTAGAGTTTTACAAAATTATCCCGATGTTGACGGAGCCCAAATCCGGCGACTACGATTTCGTGTTCGAAGTGATCGCTCCGTCGTTACCAGGCTATGGATTTTCGGACGCGGCCGTGAAACCCGGAATGGGTCCCGCACAGATTGGTCAAGTTTTCGTCAAACTCATGGAGAGACTGGGTCACAAAAAGTTTTACGTCCATGGCGGCGATTGGGGAGCGGTCATAACTGATGCTATTTCAAAGATATTTCCCGATAGGTAGATAACCACTCGTATTTATATAACGTCAAACGTGAATACGTTACGGGGCCGTGGGGTCGCGGGGATAATAAAGAGGGGTTTGTTTCGAAATGAAAAAAAAAAAAACATTTTATGACCGACCGAATATATCTGCGCTAAATTAAATATTAACCAAAAGATTTATTTTGTATACGGCTTATAAAATGTATTTAACTGGAACAGTGTAATATTTAGTTGTTTTTTTTAAAGACATCGTAAAATATGTTGATGAGTCACGTCACTGAGGATTGTTAATCAATTATTTAACTGCATTCGTTTTTTCACTAAAGGGTATACGGTATGCACTCCAACATGTGTACTGCGTCTTTGACGTTGTGCGATTTCACTAAATTGGCGTTTGGAACGTATTGGCCTTCGTTGATCGTTAGTACCGAAACCGAAAAATCGAAAATATATCCGTTGAGTAAATTATTTTCGTCGTTTTTAGAAGAATCTGGATACATGCATTTGCAAATGACAAAACCCGATACAGCGGGTACTTTAATTCAATTATTGATCTTGTTTTCAATGAAATAATATTATAGGTACCTAATTCAAATTTCAGGAGTCGCTCTGAACGATTCGCCGGTCGGGTTAGCGGCTTATATCTTAGAAAAGTTCACCACCTGGACTAATGCCGAGTGGAAACATTTGCCAGACGGTGGCTTGTCAAAGTACAACTTGGATGAACTTTTGGACAACGTTATGATTTACTGGGTTACCAATTCCATGACCACATCGATGCGCCTGTATTCGGAGTTTGCCAGTAAAAAATATCAGTCACTACCCCATATCAAGTACCTACACAGTTTAAATACAATTGGTCACGAATTCGCTTGTTTGTTTATTATTATTATTATTTTTTTATTTTTAGTGCTCGAGTACAAGTACCCGCTGCTTGCGCTTTGTTCCCAAATGAGATGCCTATGGCGTTGCAGCTGAAAAAACTATTACAACGTAAATACATAAATTTGATCAGTTCTACAGAAATGAAGGAAGGTGGACATTTCGCTGCGTTCGAACAACCTAAACTATTATCCGAGGATATTTGGTCATCAATATTTCAAATGGAAACTATTAAAAATTAAAATTGTTTGTAATATTTATTACGTTTGCATTATATAATTTTTTTAAATGGTTTTTTTTTTCTTTTTAAAATTATATTCTGTCCAATGTGTTCTTTTGTAATTTGCGATCACCTATAACCGGAAGTGATTCTAGTCTCGTTGGCTTTTTAATTGTATTTTCTGGTGATAAACGCCTGTGGCCTGTAAAAAAAAAAAATGTCCATAACTACTATATTTTAAAATTTTAGATTTTCTGAGCGGAGCGAGGAATGTATTGGTTTTACAATTTCATTTGATTTATGATTATTTTATTATTATTATTTGTTTTTTAATCTGTGAACAATTTTTCCATCAGCAAATTGGCTTCAATTTTAAATTATAGCACTTTTTCTGAAAGGAAATTTAATTGGAATGATACTTTAAAAAGGTCATATTTTGATTTTTCCAGGAGTTTTTCCAATAAATGGAAAAAAAACGTATGAAAAACAGGAAAATATTTTACCATAATATGATATATATATATATATATATATACTGTTAACAAAGCAACACTATTAACCGAGCTCCGTTCAGAATGGTTTTTCGTTTGCAATGGTAAATCATTGCGTACAGATAAACATTAAATTTCCCTTCTACCTTCCTAACTTCTCATCTACTACAGTGGCCCACCCATTGTGCAAATTATGTCCGTATCTTTTAAATAACTATTTGTATCTTGTACTTATTAATAGTTATTAGTTATAACGCAGTATTTATTGTACCTTTCCATTTATGAAACGGTCTACCAGACTCTCCGTGGGATTGTATTAATAATTCAGTAGCTCGTTTTGGTTTAAAATAATTACCAGCAAAATCGTCTTCTAAAAGTTTTTGATATTTCTAAAAAAATATAATTACAAAATAAAATATATTAATATCCCACTATACAACTAAAATATTTACTATATTTACTGTCTTACTAATAACATTATTATACAAAACTCATGTTCATATCTCTAACTTTGACAAAACAGCGTGTCCCGTGAAGATACCCATTGTAATATCTTGGGAAATAATAAAGATAATCAAAATTCTGTTTTTATATTATTCAAAAGGATAAAGACTACAAATAATTATACTTCAATTAATTTTTCATGTTTAAGTAAAAACTTAAAATTCTATTGTTTTTGAAAAATTCGAAGATAGCCATTTTATAGGGATTATTATTCTTCTGAAAATGTTTTAAATTTTTATTTTCATCTAATTCTTGATTTTTTGATATACTTTCTAATGGTATAATTACCAAAACTTTTGAGACACTTTTGAGCTTTTAGGGAATTTTAATTTTTGGGAGTTTTTCTCTGTAATTCGGTTATAAATATACGCAGAGATTTAAAACTTGGTAATAATACTTATATTGGACATACCTAGACATGGTAAAATTTCCAAAATCATCGGATGACTTTTTTTTTTTAACAAGCGTTTTGAAATCAAATTTAAACGAAAATCGCAAAACAAATTACGGCACTTCAAATTATGTATTACCGAACTGCGCTCGGAATCGTCTTTCGTCAAGCAATGGTTTATCGTTGCTTACAGATATAAATGAAATAACCGTATGTATCCTACCTTTTTAACTTTCCACCTACAACAGTGACTACACCCGTCCCCAGTATCAGCTTTTTTTATATTATATATTTAATCGTCTAATATGCCCAATTATAGTATATAACAATGTGTCTCAACCTGGGGTTCGCTAACTAATTATTTATGGTCGCCAAAAAAATAAAATATTGGTTGGTTGCGTACAAAATATATATTTAAGGGTCACTAAAAAATTAAATATTAATTTAGAGGATTGCGGTGGTAAAAAGTTTGAGAAACAGTTGTGTATAACATGATATTTGTATAGGAAACATTAAAGCGATTTGACGTACAATGTTATATACGGATTACGTATAGATCAGACGATGTGGCAGTAAATTATAAAATACTTATCAAGCATAATAACTGCACACATGTATACAAAAAATACTAAATGTGAGTTATAATAATTTTGAAAACTATAATACTCGTGCACTACATGTGTCACCTGATCGAAGACCGCAGGAACATCTGGCGACGACGACCGCCTACTGCTGTCTGAACTGGAAGATTTGTCGAACGATAGGCCGGCCAACGTGTTGAATATGCCCAAAGACATTTTTCTTCGGCCATTATCAAACGTACTAAACGCCGCAGAACCGTTGGCAGGCTGCGTTAATGTGCCTACAAGAAAGTCGTGCTAAAGCCATAAAGCGGAAGCGACCAAAACACCCAAATCATCTCAAACTATTCTTTCTCATATTTCCCCTGCTATACCCGCACTACTCTTGGATTACCGCTTATTATGTATGCATAATATAATAATATAGCCTAACCTTAACACATTCTGATTTCTGCTATAAGTACCTAATTCCATTTGTATTTCATACCAATATTATTTTCTTTTATTCAATATTAATTATGACATATTATCACTGGCCTCACAACAGTTTTCCGAAAATTCCCTTTTTACCTTTTTATTGCATATTTTTATCACACAACACTTCATCTGATCATACCTAAATCTATTACATCCTCTTCAATTCCTCCAATCAGGCACCATTCTACTTTTATATATACATTTAATTTTGAAGTTGTACACCAAAAGTCTCGTTTGCGTAAACGGTCCGTTGGCGCTTACAAAATCAAGCCAAGCCAAGCAAAAAAAAAAACCACAACAAATAATAACAATGAAACACAGATTAACCACACGAAAAACCATTACTGTGTTATGGGGTACACGCTTGTTTATCAATATAACCTGTAGTGGGTGGAACGTATAAATGGCCAACGAATTGTCAGAGTTTTCTAATCTAGCCGGAGCGGTCACCGAGTTAACATACTGTCTTGCCGAAGATACACCTACCCATCAAAATTCGCTTTAGACACACTGTTAAAAAAATAAAAACAAAAACAACTCTGTTCATAAAAGCTTAGGTACCCGACGCTGGAGGTAGTTTTATTCTTGTAAGATCGGGTAATTTCCAACTCTGCGTGTCCTCTTCCCATTCCGCGTCTTCTTTTAACCTCTCTAAATTACTAAACGAATAAAAAAAAAACGTAAATAGTGTGTGTTTGTGGGCACAGTCTAATTCCAGCGTCTAGGTATTACCTGTAATTACATTCTTTCGATAGTGTTGGCACGATTTTGTCTAAAATTTGACTTTGCAATTTGATCTGTCGCTCTTGTTTTCTAATAGTTTCCAGATAATCTGTCCGTTCATTTTCAAATTCGCTTTGGATATCCGCTATTTCTCTGTCCGACGCTTTTAACTGAAAATGAAAAAAATCAACAAAAATACTTGATTTTAAAATGTTAGTGTAGACATATTACTTTTTGTTTGTATTTTTTTAACGCTTCATTTTTGGCCCTCAGTTCTTCCTGTATATCATCGTAAACACCCAACACTAAGTTTGGCCCCTCTTCAGTCTCGACATTGACCAGTGCTCTAGCCAACGCGTTCAGCCGTCTCTCGGCCGCTTTTTTCTTACGCATACGGCGTTCCTGAAGTTCTTTGTCGTTGACTCGTTCTCCGCCAACCATACTTTCTTGCAGTTTCTTCAACCTATATATAGTCAAACACTACGCATTTGAAACTTTGGAACCGAACAATCTGAATCTAAAAATACCTTTTTAGAATTTCTTGTTGTGACGAATTTAGTTCCACTCGATTACTTTTCAGGGCTTTTTCAACAATATGCTGAGGAGAAGAAGCTCTATTATCGTTCTGAAATATGTTTGATATAAACACAATATAAATTGTAGTCATGTATAGTCCTACAATAAGTTTAATGTACGCACAAAACATACTATATTCACAAATTAATGACACAAAAAATGAATTCTGTAAAAAACCTCCACTTTAGAGAGGTCATTTTTCGATTTTTTCGGGAGTTTTTTCAATAAATGTGAAAAACCGAAAAAAAAAAACAGAGGAAAGGCGGTAAAATGTACGAATTGTAGGTATTGGTTAAAAATATTACGACCTTTTTTACTGCGAACAACTTTTCTACCAGAAATTTTGCTCCGATTTACAACGACAACACTTTTTCTAAAAGGAAATCTGACTTGGGAAGTACTTTAAAAGTGGTAATTTTTCGATTTTCCCAAAAATTTTCCCAGTAAATGTGAACAACCGGGAAAAAACATGGAAAAAACGATACAATATACAAATATTCAAGAAATTATATAATGCCTACTTAATTATTTTACCATAATATGACATATACATATATATTGTTGATATCAATATTAAAGCATCACTATCAACTGAACTGCACTCAAAATCGTTTTTTTGTTAGCAATGGTTTATCGTTGCTTACAAGTATACATTAAATTGCCTATAACAGTGGGTGCACCCGTCTCCATTATCCTAGGACGTCTTTTTTTCTTTTTCTTTTCCTGTGGACAACTTTTCTACGAACAATTTCACTCAGGTATGTATAACACTATCTAAAAGGAAACCAGACTGAGGAGGTATTTTAGGGCGGTCATTTTTTGATATTCCCAGGAATTTTGTGAGTAAAATGTGAAAAACCGTGAACAAAAATTAAACATTTTTGTAAAACCATAAGCTTCTTCGTACTACTCAAAATCTAAAACAATGATAATGATAACAATAATAATAATGAGCACTTTAAAAATCATAACCATAATCAGAATTTTAATAAGAAGCATAATAAATATAATGAATATTTTAATAATAATAATGTAATCAATATCAATCATCAATGCTTTGAATAATAATAATCATCATACTTATAACAACCATCAGTCATAATCATAACAATAAACTAATACCCTTATTAAACTTATGGTTATGATTATTGGTGATTATTTTATTAAAATACTGATTATGATATTTGTTAAGGATTATTATTATTGATGGTTGTTAAAAGTATGCTGATTCGATTATTTTATTAAAATGCTCATTATTATTATTAGTGATTGTTATTATTTATGTGATCATTATATTTATTATTACCTATAATGCTTCTTATGAAAATGCTGATTATGATTTTAAAGTACTCATTTTTATTATTATTATCATCATCATTGTTTTAAATTCTGAGTGAATTGAAGGAGCCTATGCTTATGCAAATATGTTTATTTTTTCACGGTTTTTCACATATGACGAGAAAACTCCTGGGAAAATTGAAAAATTACCTCCCTAGAGTACCTCCCCGGCTTCACAGTCAGATTTTCCTTTAGAAAAGTGTTATCATTGTAAATCAGAGCAAAATTGTTAGTAGAAAAGTTGTCTACAGATAAAAAAAAAACCTCTTTGTCAGAGACATATGCTCCACTTGGAACTTAAAATATTATAGCCTTTTTTTTTTTCCTGTTAACAACTTTTCTACCAGCAATTTTAATACACAGGCGTATAATACGAGTTGGTACCACGAGAGCAATATATATATATATATATATTTTTTTTAGTTATTGTTTTGAAATTTTACGAAATATTTCACATTGATTTAACCTATGCGTGTTTGTTTTCCTGTCTGTAAACAAATTTTCAAACTGGATACTTGTTCCTTTTTAAAAATGACACGAGACCAGTTTATTGTACTTAGTGCATTAGAAAGGTGATTTTTTCATTTTTCATGGGATTTTCAAGGTGGTTGGGAAAACCCGAAAGCAAAATTATACAAAAAATGACAAATATTTACGGCACGCAGTGGCATTTTCAATTTCAATGTTTTTAATTTATACGCACTATATTTTCTAATCAAAATATTTCTTTAATCTAAAAAAGTCATTCCCGTTTTTTGTTGGCAATGGTTAATCGTTGTGTACAGATATTAATTCAATTTCTTCTCGAGCTTCTCAACTTCTTACTTTCAACAGGGACTGCACCCATGTGCGAAGTATGTCTATCTTTTTGATTTTACATACCTTTTTCGAAAAAATTGGGAAAAACCCGAAAGAAAATTATAGGTAAAACGTCTAATATTCACGGCACGACGCCGCAGCGTTAATATTTTAATTGTTTTTAATTTTTGTTTACGATGTCTTCTACCAAAAATATTGCTTCAATCGAAAAATGATGCGGGATCGATTTTGTTCCTTTTCATATACAGAGTGTCCTACAGTGTTTTTCTTATGCAAATAACTCTGTAAATATTAATTTTTTTTTTAATCGAGTTTGTGTGAGGGTAACACATATGTAGAGAAAAATTAAATTTTTATTTTAATCCTTTAATCACTGAAAAAATTAACTTTTTATTTTTCTACTTTGAAAAAATTTTCAAAATAACCATTTTTATAGCCAAACACACAATACCATAATAAAACTAATACATCCCTCGCTAGTCTCCGAATATAAAATTGATCTGGTAAGATGGAATCAGTTTAAGTATTAGTTTTTAATATTTCAGTAAATTTTAATTTTTTTACAACTATACTATTTAGTTAAAGATAATATTATTAAATGTTAAACATATTTTCAATATTTAATTGTACGAGTTTATAAATGTTGTGTATTGTTCAAAGGTATTAAAAATGTTTGGTTATAAAGTTTTTATTTATTTTAAATCAAATTGTAAATTTTTTTGTAAATGTACAAAATAAAACCGCATTTATTTGTTTTTATTTCGTTATTAAAAAAGAAATAATAAACTTATTAATAATATTTGTAACAATTACAAATATAAACTTGAATAAAATAATATAGGTAAATAGGTGTACCATAACTATACCATATACGTACTTGATTAGAGATCTTCGCTAAGTTTTTATCGTATTTCTCTTTTAACACTTTTAAGTCCGCCTGCATCTGACACTTGGAATTGTACTCCTCTTGATATTTCTCCCTCAATTTGACCATTTCGTCTTGATACTCTAGTCGTAATTTTTCCTTTTCTGAAATGTCATTCGAACCGTTGCTCGCGGGCAATTGGGCAGTAGATGCTTCCAACAGTTCTTTGAGTTTTTTTATTTGTTCCTGATACTGACGTAACATCGTGTCTTTGGGGTCTTCGTTCACGTGCGGTTCGTTATATATATTTTTTGCCCGATTGGCGTACCTCAATGTGGATAGAGTCTCGTCGTAATTATTGTCGGCAGGTGACAAACAAGCAACCATCAGTGTTTTCGTGTTACCGCCAAGCGAGTCCTATAAATCCACAAATGTATTATTATGGGTTACCTATATTGTAAACTATTGTGTATTTTTTTAGTTCAAAACTCACTTGGAGTAGTCTAGTGAGTTTCGAATCCCTATACGGTATATGTTTGGCTTTTCCGTCCACCAAAGCCGATATCACGTTTCCCAAGGCTGACAGGGAAAGATTGATTTTTGTGGCTTCCCTGAGACGGTCACCCGAGGCACCGGTTTTCGCTTGTCTCTCACTACCGGCCAAGTCGACCAAACTCAGCTTGCCCCGTTTAATTGACTTGATGTCTTCCACGTCTTGCGACGTACCCATCATTTCCACGGATATGGTGAAAATCGAATGGCTTCTAGACGAATCGGCATTCATCAGGGTCGCGCCCGTAGCCCTGTTCCTCCATCCCTGTTCCATTAACTTCTGGCACTCGACTACGTCGTGTACTGCGTGATGAGACAACTCTGCAATAAACACACTTGAAAATGAATCACTTATATTCAGAACAAACATTCCTCACAACGTAAATTCCATTTAGCACGCGTATATAGTATTACCATGTACGTATACACCTCGTTCAGGGCTCTCCTTCAGCTCCAGTCTCCGTTTATTGTCTGAGCTCAACAAATCCCTCACTTCTTCGTTGTAGATTTCTATATATGAAGCTAACACTAGAAACTTAACGTCATCCGTAACGGATATGGCTTCAAAAACGTGTTCGAAAGCTCGGGGTATTATCCCACGTTGATTAGGCGGCGTGTCAACGCCCTGCATCGAGAAACTCTTGCCACATCCCGTTTGCCCGTACGCAAACACCGTACAGTTGTAACCTTCCAAAATGCCCTGTGGACCAAATGAAATGTGTTGTGTATAGGGAGGAAATGGGGACATTTACTCCGAGGCACCAAACTATAAAACTATAGGGCACTCAGCTTAATATAAAACTCGAAATAAAATTAACAATATTATATTTTATTTATGTATCATGATGTCTATTGGACATGACATTAAAACAATTTTGTCCAAAGATACGTCTTATAAAATTAAAAAAAAAAAAAGTTCGGGGGGATTAACACCCCCAAATCATCCCTAAGTATGGCCTCAAGAGAGGAGCTTAAAAACCCTTGGGCGCTAAATGGCTATGTTTGTATAACAATAATACAGTCCTATTTCACATGTATACGTCCGAAAGTCGTCGAGTTTAGATTATTACTTATTTCGGGATTATAATACCAAAATCCTACTTAGTCGTCACGAACCGTTCACTCAGCTGAAGCTAGTAAGTATATAATACTTACTTCCACAAAAGGATATGCAATGTCATTGTAAATCTGTTCCGTATTGGAATCTGGTCCGTAAACGCCGTCGAACGTAAACGTTTTCGGTGGAGCCGAACTGTCCGTGGGATTGACAATAGAACAAGAACATTTTTCCGAGTCTATGAACACCACGCTCTGCAATATTGTTCCATATAATAAGTAAGTACTGTTACATTTTAAAATTCGGCTTTCGAGCAAATTCCAGCTACAACTAGTTTGCGCACATTTTAAAATTTCTTAGTTATAACCTGAAACTCGTTTACGCACAAATTATTGTAGGAGTAATTATTTGATTGCGCACAACATATTATTATAGAAGGAATCAGAGGCGCAACCAGAACAATATTTTTGGGAATCCACAAATCATTAAGACCTTATAGACTTGTGGGGCTTTGCCCCCACATCTCCTATCCCCTCAAGACTACACTGTAGTAAAAATAATTTTAATTGTATTTTTATACGGGTTAAAAGTTACGAATATCATACAAACAACGGCATTTCGAAACATGTTTTGTATACTTATACACGGGTAACAATTCAATGACGTTATGTATCCTAACTTCCCAACTTCACACCAAAGCACTGATAACAATGGTACGCCCATCAGCAGTATCAGATTTATTTTTCTTTTACGCTACGAAGACCGTATTACTGGATAATATTACGACATAAACGGCCGTCGCCGTTCGCCCACACCCAAAGTTCGCCAATAATACAATTCCTACACGTAATACGACTACACCACTGCTTATTATATTATATACCTACTTCAGTGAAGGAGTCTATTTGGTGGTGAAGTTATAGATGCGCGTATCGCGTGCGCCGCGCCGGTCTGTTTGTTGTATACTAATAAAAAGGTTGTGCTCACTAGGTTTATAGGTCACAGATAATACAAATAAAAAAACCCGCGGTAAATGCGCGGTCGACACGTAAACGACATCTGAAAAAATGGCATCTTCGGCACTCACCTTGCTGTTCAGCGCCCGTTCCCTGGTGTTCATCGGCCGACATCTCGCTATCACTTTGACGTTTTCCGAAGTCATCGCAGCAGCGCGTCAACTGTAATATTATAATATTAACATAATACACACCACACACAAACACAGCATAAAATCATTAGTATAATATCTGACACGTCTAGATCTGTATTGTGTGGCGTGCCCAGACATTTTCAACCTGAAGGGATGTAGTAAATAACAATCACGGTTCATGAATTATTTTCGGTTAGCAATGTCTCACGAACACCGCCTCTGTGGCCGTGGCAGTAGTTTTTATTTTTCTAAAAATCGAAATTTATATTTTGATATTTTTAAATTTGCTACAACGCAGCAGTGAAATTTGTCATGTGACAATTTACCGTCACATTTATTTTATCGCATGATCTACCACAGGTTTCGCCATGGCGATATGATGCATGCACTTAGTATTAAATACATAATATAATGTACCACAGTACCGTAACCACCATCTCCATCGGCTTTGACACCACCACCACCAGTGTGTGAGAACCTTAAATTGACTATAAAATGTTCATACGTAGGTAATTTCAAGATAAAATTACTTAACAGACACGTATAGTTGTTGCATTTTTAAGCTATTAGAGAGGAATATGGCCCTGCGCGCACCACTGCGTTTAAATCTGCGATTAATATCGGTATAATAATATAGGATAGAACTAAGTATAAAGATTATAAAAACCCACACCGGCACACCGATAGTTGGCTCGATTTTCGCGGCTATTTAGCATTCACCGATCGATTTTTTAACATTTCACGACCGTAAACCATAGTACAGAATACACGAGCAATATCGAAACAAATTCAACAATAATAATTATTCGAGTGTTATAACTCGTACATTGCACGGAAAAAGTAATAACCAATAACCAAATATTAGGCGTATAACTATGAATAATGTAACGATGGGTCACATTTGAATCGTGTACATTGGCCTCTCTGACCTTGGAGTTTTTATACACTGACGGTTTGATGGGTTACGCGAGTTTATGACCGATGTGAAAGATTATGTCCACTGAAAAAACGAACCGTACCGCCAAAAACTGCGTAATTTTTCGAGTAACGATCCCGACCGATTATTATTATTATTATATCATCGTTTGTCCGTTAATATTATACATAGCTGGTACCCACTTAATGACGTTGTACTCCGTCCGCCGCCGATAGCTGATATAATCTATAGGTATTCATGCGATATTTACGTTTAACCGCGAATATAAAAAAAAAAAAAAACCGCCCCAATTCGTGACATTGTTTTTCCCGTTGTAATTTAGGTACCGGCTTGTAATCTAATTCCGGTCAAATAAATACGCCCATCGGTCGGAACGCGTGTATATGGTACGGAAATTTGCGTACATATATACGATTGCTGTCGTACGTGTATCGAAGCCGATCAAACCGATAGTCCGGTCGACGATTATATACCTAATTGGTATTAGCCAGGTATATTAGGTATATTATCGGTTCGTCACATCGGAAACGCGAAAAACACTAACGACGAATATTATGGGTACCTTTGTGTACGAAAAATACGCGGTAAAAAAAAAAAAAAAATCACCACGTATTTTCATTATTAATGAATTATGATGATGCGAAGATCAACTGTGACCGATTAGCAAACTCTATTGTTTAGGTGTGTTTTGGCGATGTAACCGTGAGTAAACTATTTACTGATAACACTTTTGCCAAAGGGCTGCTGTAACCTATAGTTACCACTTTTTAGTAAACAATTTAGTACATTTTTTAACCGTTCATTACGAGTTGGCAAGAGGGTTTACTGGTGTTCGTTAACTAGTTGGACGAAGATAAACACTTGTGATGAACAGATGAATAACAATAATAATTTTTAATTTAATAAAACGCGCTTATAGAATGTATACCAGTGGTTTTCAAACTTTTTTTAATTGTGGCACAGAATGATGGGTTATACAAAAAACGAATCATAATCAAAAGAGTTACTACTTCACAGGTATCCGTACGGATCATCGTAAACGGTGATCCATCACAATTTCAAAAGGTCGCAGCTCTCAGTTTGGAAAATACCGGTTTATACATATTATACACTAATATTGACAGTAAATGGAAAATACTCTTAATTTCGTTCATTAACCTATATATCAACACAATCTTGTCGTCAAAAATCCGGTGAACCTTGTTGAAGAAAATCAAGTAAATTGTAAAACGTTTCTGGGATACTACGGTAGTTACCTACCTATATTTAGATATTATGGATAGTACGAGTATATAGGTACACTGTACTTTATGATCCATTCTTTAACATTAGTTTTCGGGCAAAAATGCTTATTCCGAATTACTGAATGTACCCAGTTACATTTTTCGGATGACATATAGGTTTCAACATGATTATGATCGATAATGTTATTAATATCAACATCGGGTTATATTATGCCCGTAATAACTAATTGTTATAATATTAATATCAAAAACGCGATGACAAAAAAAATATGATAGGTACCTAGTTTTTCAATTATATTTTTTATTTCTCGATTGTGATAGTGTTATCAATTATTTCAGTAACCAAATTTACAAATGTATGTTTCGATGATTTAGTAACTGTCTACTAACTGGAATATATAACCGTAAGACTTAACTGTTTGAAAATATTATGCAGTGAAGAAACACGCCTAATATTGGTAGACATCAGTGGCGTGTGCATGGGGCCGAGTCGGTCTGGCCATGACCACTAGACCGCGAACGCGGCCCGGGCCCCCAGAAGTATTTGTGTCTGCAGCCTGTAAGGGACCCCCCATCGAAGTCCAAAATTTATAAAATATTTTCATTTAACTACTGACTGTTTTTTATGCAGAGATTAAATAAACTGATATAGTATTGTTTAGATTTTAGTAGACTACAGCAGACTGCACTCAAATATCACATTATTAATTTATTATAATAACCGCGTGAGCGAGTAAATTTACACACCAATTGCTGAAAACTGTAATGTCGCTGAAAATCACTTTTGTCAATACAACATATTATATATATATATATGTCTCTGCGAAATCCATTGTTATTTTTTAGAAATATGATCGACCAATAAATTCGACTTTTAACCGAATATTGCATTGATTTTCATCTATAGGGCCGCTTAAAACAAATTGCTTTAGGGGCCCGTGATATGCCAGGCCGACACTGGTCCATGCGAGCAGAGGTTAAGGGGTTATATACCTCCCCATCCACTGGCTTAAAAATATAACAACTATATTATGAGCATTTATTTAGTAGGTATAATTTTATCTTGAAATTATATAGGTAGGTATTTAACCCAAATTACAAGGAAAAACGTGCGATTTATTGAACATAAATTTGCTCTCTTGGATCCGGTTTTTTTAAATACTCTCATTTTCAAGTTTAATACCTATAACAGAAGAATAGATTTTTCGATTTATTTATGAGTTGTGATTATTATTTATTATAGTCCTCTACTATTGAAAATTCCTGGGTATGCTACTGGTAGTTACTATTATTATTATTACTTTCGACTTTCGGGCTGCAATATCGCAAAATCGACAAAAAGTTATTTTGCCTTTACATTCCACGCAAATTCAAAGGTTAGTTATATCTACATTCTTATGCTCACACTGACTATTTCTCCCGATATCCGTCGTCTAACCCGCACGCCTCGCATATTTCTCCTAAAATAACCAATATAATTATAGTAGTGCCAGTATAGTGGGTAGCCAACAATAGTAATAGTGTATCGAACTCAACAAAACGGATGCCGAAAGTCGCGAGTTTCGTTTGGAGCTCAACTTGGGGAAAAAAGCCATCAGCAAAGACGAGAACGGCGTCTGGACGTCAAAACGGGTTTTTCGCGGTTTTTAAAGGTTACGGCGACAACAGCTGGGAGGGTTTCGCAAACGTTATTCGATTGGCTGAAATCAATAAAATCGTATACATTATCGTAATATATATATATATATATATATAGACACATTTGGCCCGTTGTTATACACAATAATATGTCAAACACAATCAGTACACACACATACGACATACCTATGTACATACTTTTACGAATTTACACTATTATTATATGCCAAGTCCTATATATACATACACACTTACCCTCTGCAGTTTTGCCCTACCCTTCGTACTTAAAAAAAAAAAAAAAAATCGTTCGCCATCACTTCCACACACCATGAAGTTTCCGAACGTCAATTTTACATATATATACACCTATTATATTGTTTCACGGTGTATGTATTTTATATAGGTGAAATAAATTAAATGAATTAGATATATTATATTAAAAGCGTAATAGCAAATACCTACCTATCCGATACGAGTAAGTATACTACAACTTGGAAGTGTGCAACAAAGGAATCGTTCAAAAATATAATTGCTGAAAATCGAAATGATGAGTGAAAATTAAAAAACTAGGTACCTACCTATAATACTGTTGCGTTATAATAGACATTCTGTAGATATAAGAATTATCGATTACGAGTACTATTTTCACGTGATGCCTATTGTACAAAATAATTACATATCGTCCGTCGATACTTTTTTCCAAAGGTAGTGTTTTTTTAAACGTGTTTTATGTTTTATTATTATATTTTCTTAGAATATCCAAAAGGTACAATAATCAAAAACGTTCAGTGGACATCTGGCTGCACTAAGAACATTTTGCTAAATGTCCTCGAGATATCCAAGTCTGATATTCCAACGATATCATTGGAGACTGGAGAGCATTCTAAATTCTTAAATAGATAAAAATGTGGACATTTTGATGTTCATATTGAGTGTACACAAAAGTTAACTGAAAGTTGATCTTTATCCTATTGTACGATCAACACTATATCCTATGGAGATCCTATCAGGCGCGACATGGGGGCTATGGTCTCCCTAGACATCAAACTACCTATAAATAATAATTTCTTTCAGAAATCTGAATAGAAGTACAGTGTTAATAAATTATAATCACAGTCTCTGTAGATAGTAGTGCTATCACATTAAGCGGTCAGTGGTCACATTGACTGACGTCTGGTTATGTTAGTTAAAAGTTTAATTTTTGGACCAAAAGGATATTGCCCCCCTCCTTTAAAAGATGAATCAAACCCACCACTGGATTCTAGCGCTATTTGGGTTGTAACCTTATCGGCTAAGTACCTATAGTTTGATCATACCGATCGACAACTAGACGTGACGTCAAATATAAAGCTATACCAACCAAGTAGCGATTTTTCCACGTCCCCCTTCTGTAACTGAATAGACTGATTTTGCGTTGGATATGATATTCTATATAAAAAGTAATTGGGTTAGGTTTTAAAAGATATGGACATCAACTAAAGGATTATTATTTTATTTTTTTAATACAATGGAGTGTTTATAACATAGGTGTTCGTAATATTTGCAATCGCGAGTTAATTTACTCTAACTACGACAGAAATCATAATAATCGAAATTTACTGCTAAAATTTTGTATCCTAAAATTATTTATAATAATATTGTATGATTTATAGTTTGCGGAACTCGATATTCCAATAAAACGAGACAGTTGTTCTAAAACTGCTAAATACTAAATATTCAGGTTAACTTTCTTCAAAAACAAAGATGTCTGAATTGTCTGTGAACTGTGAACCATGCAATATATAAGGTAAGTACCTACACAGACGTTTTCATATTTTACTGTTTTCAGAAAAACCTTCCATATTATTGAAATAGATATTAAAAAAATAGTAAGTAACCTCATTTTCAAATAGAAAAATATAAGTAATCAAATTTAACAAATATTTTGATCTAAATAAAATACATTTTTGGGTGAAGGTTACGGCATTTCATGCCCGTCTATACAGTGCGATTTAAGTTACTACCATAAGAAAAATTCAAAATTCAAAATTTTCAGAGTTTGGACCATTCTTTACCCTGAATAATAAAGGTACCTATGCAAGTAATAACTAAAGGCGAAATACTGCAATGAGAGTGGGGAGGGTGGGGTATGCAATTATTGTCTCTGTGCATTTATATTTATTCGATTGAAAAATGCTAACCTCATTAATCTCCTCGTAAGAAAATCGCACATATCTATGCCATCACTAGTGATATATTTATTCCGGATTAATACCTACCTGAAAAAAAGAATATTAGTGCAGTATTAACATAATATTAGTAGTTTTGTTCACGTTTGAAATACCTACACGAATAGTAGGCACGGTTTAATTTCACATTTCGATTTCGAATGTTTCCCAATACATACGAATTACGATTCCAAATACTACCATGGTCAAAATCACAAAAACGAATGAACGTTAAATTCACGGTTCAGGAAAACTATGCATTTTTTTCGTTGGTATTGGAAAAGCCGATATTACTGATACCAGCAATACGAAGCGAATAAAACGGATCGCAAATAAGAATCTTTAGAAAATTGATAGCGAAAAAAACGAAAAATAGGTACCTTGCGATGGCGTCGAACGGTCCAATTTTCGAATATTTCCAAAATAATGTCGTTGAAAAAGAAAACTCTACAAGGGAAGGAAAAAGAATAATGAAAAAACTGTAATAATATACAACGCACGAGAAAAATAAAATATTACATGTGAATAAACAGAAATCACTCGCGACGCACGTCAACTCGGTCCTAGAGCTTTGTACATACTACAGGTGGTGTGGGCGGTAATAATAATTTATAAATAAACATGTCCGAGTGGTGTTGCCGTTGAAAGTCTTGATTGTAAATATAATAGATACGTGAGTAACCATGGGCTACAGAAACGGTAAGTAGTGAAAACATATCAATATAACTATATTATTACCTATATAATATTATTATTAAACAACAAGTCTGGATTCTTAATCTTCGAAAAATCAGTCAAATAATTATATGTATACCTGTAAATCATTAAGAAGTTTTTTTAAAAAAAAACAAATATAATAATGCGCCAAAGTTTTATTGAAATTATATTTTTTATTTAGCAGCGTATCTAAAAAGTTTAAAAAAATGAACTACCAAAACATTTTTATTTTTCAATTAGTTTATTGCAATTTCGACAACATTATTATTGTTGTGAAATACTAAAATGCGCTTGAAGAAAAGTTATCAATGAATCATTGTTATACTGAATACAAACCCTGGAGGTAACAATATTTAAATATAATTATTATTTTCAATATAAAAAAGCTATGAAAAAATAGAAAAATACTTTGCTGAGAACAGAACTCTCATAAGTCATAAGGTTTGTTACTTTTAGCTCTGCTTTCATAGGTGTAAACTATTTTTAGCTTTGTAATTATCTACTCAGTAAACTTTTTTTTTCATTGAAATTACTTAGTTTCAGAGCAATAGTCATATACTTTTAATCATGTTTTATGGTTCTATATAAAGTACTTGAACACCAGATTTTTCATATATCTGAACCTAAATTGTTACGAAAATTAATTATTAAAAATACTTGTTTACATAATTTATTCAAAAATAATTTATTACAATGAAATACAAGTTTTCAATGGCCAAAAATGAAAAAAAAAATATACAAATCAAAACGCAAATTTTACTAAATCTAAATTAAGTTCTGGAATGGCAAACTGAATAATAAAAAAATATATTCTACTAGTTTAAAAATTAATAATTTTTTTTTTTAAAGACTTAAAATATAAATTAAACATTTTTCATTTTTTCAAAAATTATACAATAGCAAACATTAATTTTCTATACTCAAAAAACACAAAAGTTAATACATAATAGTGTTAAAAACATTTATTACATTCTAATGAGCAATTCAATTGTCTAAGTTTATCTTAGTATATAAATCAGTCTGTTAATGAATTTAAAATAACTTTTCACCTAGTTTTCTTTTCTTTTCTTTTTTTTTGGTTTATTTTGTACATGTTTTCATTATAAAAATAATATTATTGGTTAAATATCTCATCATAATAATCATCATTAACATAAAAAAACAATAGGATTTTAACACAATAATAAACAAAACTGCAAAAGTAATAAAAGTGTGGAACATTCAACCATCTACATTGTAATATATGTTTTGAGGACCTGTCCTCGATTTATGTCGATAATATCATTCTTTGTAATGTTATTTGCTTAAGGCACTTAACTTAATAATAATAATGTGATAATTCGTATAATAATAGAATACATAAATATGTCAATTTATACATTTTGATTCGTTATACAATCATAATTATATATATTATTGGCAAAAGCACCAATTACAAAAAAAAAATAAAAAAATAATTTTATTTTAAATATAAGTTAAATTTTCAAGTCATAAAATTTGGTGTTTGGTTTTAGTAATTTACATTTAACATACAAAACAAAATTATTAATATCTTAAACTAATGTTTGTAGGAACCCATAATAATCACCCTGAAAACCTAAACATTTTGGGCTTTAGACAATGTCTTGTATAGTATGCAAAGATAGACTAATTACCCAAATATTCCGACTTATAAAAGTTAAGTTAGTCGTTATAAAAAAACCAATACATTTATACAGGTTTTAAATTAACATCATAATTATTCAAGTTAAAAGTTACTTGATGAAAATAAAAACCAAAATTAAAACAAAATTAGAAGTGTTTTTTTTTTGACATAAAACAAAAACCACTTCATTCAAAAATTAAACTTTATTTATAAATTAGGTTGCATAATCTGATTTTTTCTAAATAATTTTTTTTTTCATAACTATTACTTGTAGGCTTGAAAAATTACCATTTCCATATTTTTTTTTTGGTAAAATCTAGATCATTCACGATGAGTAATAAATCGTTTTATACTTTACTGGTGTTATATATAAAATTTGCTTTACTATCGTATTGTATATTTAGGACTTATAGAGCTATATAGCTTATTTAGAATATTAAGTGCTATTTATAGGCACTATTTCAATAGAATGAAAAAATATTAAATTGATAAAGAAAACAAAAAATATATTGCTAAAAGAAAATCAAATTTTTTTTAATAAAGTGATATTTAAAAAAAAAATTTGTACCCAACAGCTGCATATGAATATGCAAATTAAACAAACTATTTTCATTTTAAAATAATATGTCTAAACGAATTCACAAAAGATGACTGTATTTAGTCGTTATCGCTAATCACATAGTAAAATTCCATTTGTTTCCAATAAATTAATTATAATAAAACCGTGTCAGTTGCATTGTACTAAAATTATAGGATTTGTTGCATTTTTGAGCTGCCGTATTAAAAATTAATTTCTATTAGTACTAACTTTGAGCTCTGCTTATTAGATAATATTAATTAAAATACAAAAGTATTTTACTAAAACATCAATATTGTTTAAATATTTAGAATATAGAATTTTCTTTTTCGTAAAAATGAAACAAATGTTAAATATGTATAATAACTAACTGATTAATTTTAAAATTATTCACAAGAGTAACTTTTTAACCTTAATTCTAACGTTTTAATTAGTTAGTCCACAGCTTTGATGTGTGTATGATTACTTACAAATTATTACCTTCGTAAGATACTTGATATGTATTTGGCACATTGGAAAATGATTTTTGATCTTGTTGATTGTCAACCTATAATTACATACATTTATAATAAAAATTTTGGGTTACAATAACAATATTATAGTAGTTAAAATAATAAAATACAAATTGTATTAATTCAATTTAATATAAAACAGTGAATTAGTTGCATAAATTAGAAATACTGTTATAAAATGTGAAAAGTACTTAATTAAGAAACTTTTAATTAATTCTACTTACTTCATTTTGTAATTCTTCATTAATACTTCCAGACTCAGATAATATTTCATTTTTACAACTTTTTGTATGTTGCATGAAGCGATGAGCGAGTAAAAATTCATTTGTATCAAACTGTTTTTTACAAATATCACATATGTATAGCAACTGGCTATCCTCAATTTCATTATGTGTTGCTATATGCATATCATAGTAGTGTTTTACTATAAATGATTTTCCTAATATAATAAAAATTGTTAACATTAATGTTTTATTAAATTTTAGAAACATGAATAATAAAAGACTAACCACAAATTTTACAGACAAGAGGTCCAGTCACTCCATGTGTAGTTCGATGTTTATGAAGATTATCTTTGCGACTAAAATGTTTATGACATAAATCACAACCATATAATCGTTGACCTGTATGACTCAACATGTGTCTCATAAGATGCTCTTTACGACTAAATGATTTTAAGCAGGTCTCACAGCTGTATGGTCGCTCCCCTAAAAATCAAATGCAAGAAACCATAGAAAAATAATGGGGACAGGCGCAGCCACTGGTGTAGGTGGGAATTTGTGAAGGTAGGATATAGATGGAAATTGTATGTATATCTGTAAGCAACGATAAACCATTGCTTATGAACAACGATTCTGAGCAGAGTTCAGTTGATAGTGATGCTTAGTCAACAATATATATATCATTGTATAGTAAAATAATTAAATAGGCTTTATATATTTTCTTTAGTAAAATTTGTTTAATGTACCAATTTTTCCAGTTTTCCCGGTTTTTCAAATTTGATGAGAAAATTGAAAAATTACCTCTCTAAAGTACTTCTCAATTGAAATTTCTTTTTAGAAACATTGCTATTATTAAAAGTTGGAGCAAAATTGCTGGTAAAAAAGTTGTGCCCAAAAAAAAAAAAAAGGGCCATAATATATTTTAACTAGTACCTACATTTAGTATATTTTCCCGTTTGCATTTCCCCTGTGAATTTCTATGACAACAATGATTTAAAACAAAAAATTAAAAAAATAAAAACTTAATAACAAAAAAAAAAAACAGTTGCCAATTGACAACCTTGCTTTTAATCTTTTAATTTTTTTTAACCTAAAGACCGAGGTTTTCCTAATTATCTTGAATAATAATGAGTATTTCAAAAAATGACTTCTCTAAAGTACTAACCAGAGAACATTTCCTTTTAGAAAAGGTGCTTTTAATGTTTTTAGGTGCTTAATAATCGGAGTATGCTTTCTGGTAGAAAGTGTTCACATAAAAAAAAATGAATAAAAAATTTAACATCATTGTAAAACCAGGACATTCCTCGCTCCACTCAGAATCTAAAATTACTTTGAAATAATCATTTTTGTAGTTAAAAAATGATTTATAACATGTTAGAATCATTACAGAGAGAAACTTTCAAACCCCTACCATTATTGCTCTTTTAAATATTTTATAAGTTATCTTTCAGGGCCTTTTTTTGATGTTTTTAGGGTCTTTTTATGAATTTTAAGTGCATATACATCCTAACCCTAATTATAAGTTTCTAAAAAATGATATGTTAGTTAGATATCTAGATCTTACATTTTTATTATTACCCCATGATAGAAGTAAAAGTAATTTGTAAATAATATGAAACTAACTTTTTTTACATCCCCATAAAATGTTGCAACTATAGAAGATAAATAATTTAAAAATTCAAAAACTGCACTTCCCAGATTGCAACATGAAGACCATAAGCAGTGAACTAAAAAGACATTGAATAAAATAACACTTATACTGTAATGAACTTGAGTAATTTTTAAATAAATTTTGCAACTTAACTATTATAATAATTATGGAAATTTTGAAGATGCTATATTAAGTCAAGTAGTTAATTTTACTAAGCTATTATAACATATAAAATTATTCACATTAAATTTTGAATTCTATATTCAATAAGACAATTACAAATCTCATTATAGTTAATATAAAATATCTATATATTACAACATATTTACCAGTATGAAGTTTCCTATGTTGAATTAAATGTTCTTTTCTTTTAAATTTTTTATCACATGAGTCACACGGAAACCGTGGTGGCATCATATCCCTTGAATTTTTGGTTGGTACATTATGAATATTCCGATGACTTATAGCTCCACATGTTTGACTATGCATCATATATTCTTTCTCACTTTCTAAAACTTTTCCACATGCAGTGCATGATACAAGAGCACTATGTGTTGATAAAAACCCGTTCATATATGATTTTATCTCGTCAGCCACTTCAGATTTACTATTATCTAAATCCGAATCTTGATCATTACTTCTAAACAAATATTACATTTAATAAAAAAACAATAAGTTAAACAAATATATTTTAAATAAATTCAAATTTTTTTTTGGAAAATAACTCACTCAGATTTATCAAATTGAAAATGAAGCATTTCTGGTTCAACAGTTAAAGGAGTTACATATGTTAAGGAATGCATATTCATTTCTGAATCATCTTTATCAGGACTAGGAATATCCTAAAAATATAACATTGTATTAAATTTTGCCTAAATTATAATCAGATGTTAATGTAAACATAACTACGTAGCAACATTTAAATATTTGTCGTTAATAGTTATTGCAAAGTATAAAAGTTTGTAAAACATTGAAAAAATGAAATTTGTAGAAACTAGAAATAAAATGTGTACATTTAAAATCAGTGTAGTATAAAAGAAATTAGTAGTAAGGTTTTAGATTGTACATTTTGATTTGACACATTGACTGTACAGTACTTCCTAAAAAAGTCTATTAATATCCTAATTCTGATTATCATTTTAGTTATTGTGATTATGAAACATTAATTTCAAGTGGAATTCAAAATTTTAAACTAAATTAGTTATATTCTAAAACTAAGCATTTTAAATGTTTAATATAAAATATAAATGTAACAGACAAATTACTATTATTAGCTTACTAAATTTATCACATAGAGTACTGGCTTTCAACCCTTTTAACAATGTGCCATACTTTAACTCCTAAATAATTTTCACGGCACATTAATCCATATAATAATATAAATATGAGAACTTACAGTTTACAGTCTACTCAATACTACTACAGGGTTAGTTGTGAAATAAATTAATACAATGATGAAAAGATGTGTTAGCATAAATATATATTGTATACATTATAATGTTTATATAATGAAACTAAAATCTTATCTTTATGTTTATTATTTGTCAGTTGTCACCGACTGTCAATAATAATAATTATACCTAAACATAGGCGCCATTATGGTGTAACTAGGGGTATCAACTCCTAACCTACCATTTTTATTGGGGTTACAGATTAATAACTACGCTACGGTAAGAGTAATTTTAAAAATAAAGTATAATTTTCTTGCTTTTTTTCATATGATCACACAAATGTAATAATTATACTATTGGCTAATTTGAAAGTATATAAGTACATATTTATATCAATCAACGGATTACTTATAATTCTAAACTTATTTAATATTTGTCTACTTAATTCTAATGAACAATTAAATAAGACCTGACTGATGGTCGACCAATTTATGAAGTGTGGGACACTTTATTAGACTATAATTGAATTAAAAATATTATTCAAGATGATTTTACTTCAATTGACGCCTATGCCAGTAAATACAAACCCATAAAACTATTATGAATTGATTTAATGTGACATACTTCAACAACGCACGCAGTACACTGGTTTAAAACCACTGACATATGCAATGGTAAAAAACAAATTTTAGACCTAATTCAGTGGTAAAATCTCAACTTACCGGTACAGAATAAATTGTTTGAACGTTTTCACTAGCATCATTTTCTTCATTGGATGAATCTGTTAGAGTAGACTGATTTGAATTAGCCATTGTGTAGTTGTATTTCATTGATTCAACTCCATTAGTTGAACTTGTTATAGCTGACTATTGTAAGAAAAAAAATAAATACAAAATAAGTAGTTTAACTAGCATATTTTAAAAATAAAAGTATCAAAATGTGCAAATTGTGCTCAACTATTATTTTATTAAATAAAAAAAAAAAAGGATTGTACTAATACAATTTAATATATGCTAATTGTGTAATAAATCAACCAAAATAATACCAGGGAAGAATCCAGAATCAAACAATGGAAAGGTGAGATAGTAGTACAATTTTCAAAATTCATATAAGACAAATATTTATGATAAAAATCAATCTAAAAGCGAACAAGGGTGATCCACCACTAAAAATACATTCTATTAAAATTAATAATAGCTAACTAACCTGTACTTCATATTTACTAAAGTCTTGATAACGGCTATTTATATCATTAACTATCTGTATAGAACCAGACTGAACAAGATTGGATAGACTTTGCATTGTACCCATAGTTGATGAATGATCAGAGGTATCATTGTTCTCCTGACTTTCAGAATTGTCACTCAAATTATTTTGTACAAGCTCTCGTACATAAACCTGGAAATAAAATAGTTTTACTTTAAAATTTACACAAATTCTGGTGAAAACAATTTGATGTTCTTTATAGTTAAAGGGGGCTATTTTGATACTTATTTAGAAATGAAAATATACGTATGTTTACACAAAATAATGATTTAAAATTGGTATTAAGCGCATATTATAATTAGTAAGATTAGCAGGACGAATTTTGAACATGTAGCTTAATTTGCAGAAACACACATTTTACCAAAATATAGTTTTTACTTATAAAATATACTTATAAATAAGTAAAACTTACCTTTCCTTGGCATTTCAATCGATCAGAAAAACTAAGAGTTGCACAATAGCTTTTTAGTGTAGATTCTGTATTCACACATTGGTCTAAAAAATTATAAAATTCTTCTACTTTTGCAACACAGCTTTCACAAATTCCTTTCGGTAATGTATCTTTTTCTTTAATCTAAAAAAAAAATGTATATATATATATATATGTTATTAAGGGACAGTATTACAATCATCGGTTATAGGTTCATTAACACTCTGGTTATCAAGATGATAGGGGCTAACGCATTAATGGTCCATTATCATAAAGTGAGTATTACAATACTTGGTCTATGTCCATTTCAGTACCCAACAACTCAACTGTTTTAATTAATAATATTATTGTTCTGTGATAATAATTTTTGTTCATGCATAGTACTTATTTTATTTTCGAAATGTATAATCAAATATAATAATAAATCAAAAGAATAAAATTGTGTGTAGAAGAAAAAGAAGAACTAATGAATTATGGCATTAAGTATAAAGGTCACAGTATCCTTATACTTTATATATTAGTATTAAGTATCCAAATCCGTAAAATTAATGAATAGATACATCTTAATGCCAAAGGTAGGTAGGTAAGTACTTTAATAAATAATGAACATCTAAGAAATACTTTTGTAATAGTTATTAAGATAATCTATGAATTTGAATTTTTCATATATTTTTCAATATTTTCATTTGATTGATCATAATCATTTACATTGTTATTTTTGACTAGAAAGTACAAATAATCACAACAAAAAAATATCAATAGCCAATCAAATACTTTTACGCTCAGTCATATTTTGTTAACTAGCCAATTTAAGCCTGTAAGCGTAATTAATAATTGTAAAAATTCTAAAAGTATTATCATCCCAATAAATAATAAATTATTCTGTAAATAATTAATTTATATAGATAATTTGTATCTATATAATATGTTATCTATGTAATATGTATGCAGTGTCTATTATCTAGTATTAAGTACCAAAATATAAATAGGTATATTAGTTAATTATTTTAATTTAGGTTAATTATTTGTAATATAAATAATCAATTGAATGAATTATGAATAAAAAATAAATATTAAGAAATTAGTGTTTATAAAATAATCCTTAAAAGTATCATCCCAATAATAATAATTTGTTTAGCAGCAAGTATTGAAGTTATTTACATAATATATATTATATTCATATAACACCAATCACTAAGCACCTATAATATCGTTTCGTAGACGAAATAATAACAATAATAATTAATACAAATATATTATAATATATATATGTAACATTTAGATATTATGTAAACAAATAAAAGTATTTTATTAAATTGATTAAACAAGTAATCCATAGACCCTGATCGCATAAACTACTAATATTATTAACATTAATTTTTATAATATAATATGTGAAACGCAAAGAAAACGCCATAAGTATAAAAATGAAAGCTGAACCCATGGGCCATACATAATTTACTCATGATGTTATATTATATTAAATTTATCTAATTAAAAATATTTCTATGCGTACCAACATATAAATCACGTTTTTAAAGTATCAAATTTACACCTATGAAAACATTATAGACAATTGGTTTGATAAAGTGCTTTATATATTTTGGAAAAAAAAAAATATCAAAATATCGAAAAACCATTCCTATATTTTCTCTTCGCCTTCTGAATCTCATTCGCATTATGCAGTCAGAATATTTATTTTCAATTACCCACAATAATATGCGATGCGATGTTTCCTTTCACATTACATAAAATAATGTAGAATATTAAATTAAAATACAGATGTATAATAGATAATGTAATGAACTAAGTATAATAGGTCTCTTTGATACAAACTATAACATAAAATATAAACAATGATCTTACAGTTGCAGAACAATACAATATTACGAAAAGTGGTCAGAAAATTCAAAAATCGAAATTTTAACTAATAAAACCCTATTTATTGTTTTTTGATATTTTGACGCCGCTGTATTGATAATGAAATCATATTGCCATAAGACATACGTAAAAATGTAGGAAATTTCACATATTATTGAGGGGAATTGGAAAATAGATATTTTGACTGTAAACGTGAATCGGGTAAAGGAGTGGAATAGAAAAAATAAGGGTGGTTTTTCGATATTTTGACATTTTTTTTTTTTTTTGAACCCAAAAACTCCTTAGTTTACAATTCGGTATTTATTCTTAACATTTTTAAGAATTTGCCAAGCAATAAAATTGCATTGATTAGAATTGTGCACAAGAAAAAAAACCTGCGATTTTAACATACCGTATATCCGGTGGTAACCATACAAACATTTTATATCGTTATCACTTACCTGTAGGGGTATACATTTTTTCAACTTTGACGGTAACTGTCTCTCGGAACTTTGAGGGCTTTTGAACAGATCAAATTTCTTACCGCCTACACACATGCATAGTCGGCACAGATCATAAAAATCCACTTTTTTGTAAATACTCATCATGCGAGACTACCGAAATCTGTGACGAATTTATACGGTTGAACTGAAGACACTGCCGTTCTGGAAATTTGACAAATACGCCATTCGAACCGCTTTTATTTTAGTAGTTAATGTTTTTTTTTTTACTTTTGTCCGAATGTAAGTCGTACGGTACCTAGGTGTTATTGTTGTTGTTATTGACGTTACCGTTGATGACCACCGAGTGCACCACATGCACTAACCTACTGACTGTTGATAACAGCCTCGAGTCAGGAGTTCGCAACGACGTCATCTGCAGTCTGCAGCTGCTGCTGCATCCACTACAGCTGCCATTTTGTTTGCGACAAAAGTAAGTAGGTGGTAATTAATATTAATGTGGTGTGCTGTAAAAAATGAACCACAATAAATTAAAATTAAATTCTTACATTTTATTAATATATAGTTCAATATTTGATATAAAAAATATTTATAATATGGGTGAGATTGCGTTTATATTTTTTTAAATATTAAATATTTTGAATATTTGAACAAAATTCGTTTCTAAACACTGTTATCAAGTATCATACCATGTGGTTACACTGTAAGCCACGTTATCGCATTTCAGCCCCCACCCGTAACGACGAAATTTCAGTGCAAAATATTGCATTGCGGGTTGCGGCATCGCGTATTTTTTAATCTAGTATATTAATTTACTGTTGAAATTATAGTAATATAATAATTATATTATTGCTTATGTGCTTGTAAATGTTAATATTTAATAAAAATTTAATAATTCAATATAGGTCTTCATGTATTAGACAAACAACTAGTGGTTATATGTTTATGTACCTGTATCACACATGTTACAATTATACCTATTTACATGAATAGGTAGGTGACAAAGTTTCTCTAATATAGCTCCTTTTGATAATTAGACAATTATAATAATATGAACTCGAATTAATTTTGGATTTGATTTTCTTACTTGCCATGTACAGCTGCTAATATTGACCGGTAACAACTGATGACATTTGATTTGTGTTTGCTGTGATTTTTTGAGACATTTTCTAAAATATGTCTAGTGATATGTCTTCGAAAGCTGGGTTTGAACCTTTGGATATAGCAGCAGCAGCAGCAGCAGCAGCAGCGGCAGCGGCAGCAGGTAAAGCCTTCCGTATGAGTGAGGGTGACTGGATTTGTCCAAATGCTCAATGTGCCAATATAAATTTTGCTCGTCGCGCTCATTGTAACCGGTGTAATAAAGAACGCGAAGATTTACCAGTCAAAAAAAAAGCTGGTGCTGAAATTGGTAAAGCTGCTGCAGAAAAAAGTAAAGGGCTATTTTCAGCTGATGACTGGCAGTGTAGCAAATGTGGTAATGTAAATTGGGCACGTCGATCTCAGTGTAATATGTGTAATGCACCTAAATTTGCCGATCCTGAAGAACGTACTGGGTATGGCGGTGGCTACAATGACAGAGGCATTGTTGAGTATGTTAAGCGTGAAGATTCGGACGATGAGTATGATGAATTTGGACGTAAGAAAAAGAAACACAAACGCTGTGGATCAATTAGTGAAGACTCTAATAGTCAAAATGGCAAAGAAGATGATAGTGATAGAAAAAAATCTAAAACTTGGTCAAAAGTTGTTGACGAAGAAGTTGATGATGATGATGACGACGATGATGATGATGAAGATGGAGATCTTTCGAAGTATGATTTGTCTGAATGGGATGACTTAGCTGCTGCCCAATCTAAAAAAGCTAAATCAAGATCCAGATCTAGATCACCAATAAAATAATAATAACATTATTTGTAAGTAGTGAATAAAGTTTTGAATTTAATACTAAGTAGGTTATTATTAAAAAAAAAAAGTTATTATTTTGGGTCCAAAAACTGACTAAGGTAGGTTGAATAAATAATATTTTTTTTAGATAGGTACACTCTTTTTTTTCCGGTTATTGCCAAACAGTATTTAAACAATTTATAATAATATAGTGTTCTTCAATCACTGAAATAAAAATGTTTTGGAAACTACTAATACTTAATAGTATTTGATTAATAAACTATACATAGAATTCCGTTATTATTATAATATATTAAATAGCTGTTTATTTTTATTTAAAATGTTTTATATTCATTTTTTAGATGTGGCTGTCTTAAGTGTTGTTGACACGTCTACAATCAATATTTTCCAACGACCAACCAACCACAAATGAATTTAGTTATTAGATTTTTTTTTCTGTCATTTTATTTATTTTGAACACTATCTAAATATCTATAACTGTTACATATTTTTATTTGTATTATTAATTAATATGTCTACCTATTACAATAAAAAAAAAAAAATTTAAAAAAAATACAAATTAAATATATGTCATTAAAATAAGTTGTACAGCTTTTACCAGTTTTAATAATTCATGCAATTTTTCTTATGTGCATACATATTGTAATAGTACAATTTTTCTTTATTTCACTATTTGTTAAATTTATTTATTTATGATAAATGATTGTCACGTTTTTTGAATTTGTAAAATTGCTTGCTGAAATATAATGTAAGTTAATAATCAGTATTAATAACGTTATACTCATGATGCAATTTTAAATAGATGTTTGTAAATAATTTTCTATTTCATATCATACAGATTATTTTAATTAAAATTACTACATTTCATGACATTGTGACTTGGATAAGGTACTTGAAGAATTTGCTTTCTAAATTTTGACTATCTAAATTATTGTTCCAGATTTCTTATTTTCAATTCTGTAATTCTATTATTATTTGACAGACATGTCAGAGTTAAATTCGAGTTGGCCATGGACACTTATGTTTCAGTAGTTTTGTCAATTAATTTCTTGGGAATAAACATTATAACATGATACTGTAAGTATATTTTTGCACATTTATGGTTCATGTTTTGTGTCTTGTCTTGTAATTAACTCATAAAATTAATAAAACCTTTATTTTCATAAACTTTCCTATTCTTTCTATGTTTTTTCGGTATTGCTTGTTTATTATTTCATAATATACATGTAAAATCGAAAAACAACTTTCTAACTCATCAACTAGATTAAAATGCCACAAAAAAGGTATCTAGTTGTTTTGAAATTCACAGTGTTGCTTGGAGCAGCATTCGACGGCATAAAATATTTAATAAAATTGAGACTTTGACATTAAAACTGTTTCGGGAAAGAACTGAGAGGGCTACAGCTATAGTTAAGATACCAAATTGTCTTAATATAAAAAGAAAAACCTTGGCTGCGAAAGATCATTTTTATTTTTTCGATATCAGAACTATAAAATAAGTTATTCAAGTTTGAAAAACAAATAATAAAGGATATTGAAATAATAATAACTCTGTATCGAAAACATAAAGACCTCATTTCACAGTCAATGTTCTCATCTTTCAATAGTCAGGTATTCAAAACTATATTATATTGTAACTCTGATGTGTATACTTACTATCCATGCAAAAAATATATCTCCTAAAATAATAATTTAGAATAAAAATTTACTGAATTATTATTATTATTTTTTTTTTATAGATTTGGTTCCTACTAACTTTACATACTACTACATTAAATATTTTCATTTAAATGATAATCATAATCATTATGCACTCATTCGTTTTTTAGGTACCTAATAATTTAATTACTGTTATTTTTGTTAACTTTAACTTGTCAGGAAAAATTATTTAAATCACGACCAACGTCTCCGGGAAGGTTGCGGGAATATAATATACGTACCTACATATACTCACTTATAGAGTGGAAAGAATAATAATGTTTGCTAATAGAAAATATAATTGTGTTCATTAAATTCATTTGGGGGACAATTTTAGCTGCCTGCGAAACAATAATAAAACGTTCAACCAACTATATTAAAATTGTTTGCTAACACATTTCATTAGACAAAAAGCTCATACCTTTTATTTATACTTTCAGGGATCCCGAGTTCAAACTCGAGTTCCGTAATTTTTTTTTTACAAAACTACGTTGAATAAATGAATTTTGTTTCAAAAAATAAAATTGAGTGTAATGTAGTATTTTGTTTTTATTATAAGTTTTAAAATTTTTAAAATCAAATTTCGACAAAAATCGTAAATATTACGGCCTTTCAATAAATTCATTACCGAAATTTGGTTCGTATAGTTTGTCGTTATCAATGGTTTATCGTTGTTTACAAGTATAAATTAAATAACTATGTATCCCTCCTTCTCCACTACCCATCTACAACAGTGGCCGCATCTGTCTTCAGTATTAGCTCTTTTTTTTTTTTTATTAATACTTCAAAATAAAAGTTTTTTTCAAAAGAGTTCGATTACATTCTGTGAAGGACGCACTAATTTACTGACTAGGATTTTACTGATTAGTGACCAGACTAAATTTGTCATTCGTTCACCGACCGGGTTAAAATTTAGAGAACACATCCGTATTATAAACAGTGTTGAATCCAGGTATTCTACAAGGGAGCAAATGCTCCCTCTAGAATTGTATTCGCCCCCCCCCTGACAAATAAAATAACTGCTAACAAAATGTATTTATTAAATTTACACTACTCGTTACTCTTTTCAATTTAGATAGAAATGACCAGTGAAAAAAATGAGCCCTCCCAAGAGAAATTCTCTGAATTCAACACAGATTATAAGGTATCTAATCGATGTTATACCCAAAAATAAGCTTTCCACTAACATCACCTTTTCTTCAGGGGCTGAAAAACTATAGAATGTATCGATTAATTTCACTGACCAAGTAAAAGGATATAACGTCGATAAGGTTTTATGTAGGTATTTACGGATGTGTTTTCCAAATTGGTTGGGGAACGCCGGGCCCGGGTCGGAGATATTTAGTCTGATCAATAAAATCCTGGTCCTATACTCCTCCTTCTCCTATTTATAAATATTATTAAGTATATAAATTATTTATTTGTTACCTATTTTAGTAGAAAAAAATAAAATACAATAAACATAGGTTTGGACATGTCACGCGGAAAGAGGAAAAAATGGTGGTGGATGCTATTGAAAATGATAATGGAAACGAGGACAACGGGTGTATACGAGAACGATGTGGGGGATCGGGTTAAGTTGAAGTCTAGGACGAGGGCGACCGACCCCAAAGTATAATAGACAAAAAAGAAGAAAAGGTAGGTACCTATAACCCACAGACTTATCGACGATATCGATTAAACAAACGGGCGTAATATAAAAATCATTATTTTTGTAATAAACAAAATTGTAATTTTCCACGCTCGTACAGCGGCTTACTTACACATACCTCAGTGGCACGTGGTTTCGCACTCGATCGCAGTCAACAATACATCTACAGCTACAGGAGCTACATAATAATAGTATTCTCGCGTGCGGCGTCGCCAGTACCAATATGGAAGCAATGTTCTCGGCCGTGTCGCCAGTGGATTATCTAGAGAAACAACAAAAATTGGTTAGTGACAGTAATCGCTCTATGAAATATTCGGTTCATAACTTCATATTATAACTAACTGTATTAATGTGTATAGAGGATTAAGTGATTAACCATAACAATATCGTCTGGATAAATCCGTCAGTCACCTCAGTCCTCGCGGTCTGATAAAGGGTTTTAGATTGATTTTGATTCATATAATACGATCGATTTGGGCGAATTTTTAACCATAGTCGATTTCAGGGTTGAGGACCACACCGAAAAAAAAAAAAACATAATTTGGTAAACAACTTAGATATTAGATATAGCGAATTCGATTTTAAAAAAATTTTGACGAAATTTTTACTGCTATAATAACAATGATAGCAAACATAGACTTATTATTTTTCGGGGATCTGCGGAGACCAGGATACACGATCCCCTCTAAATCTATAGATCCCGTGCTTTTCGGTGCAGTGAGTCATACCTACCTGCAACACAATGGTTGTAGTCTGGATCCGGTTAGGAGCGAGGGGGGAGAGCGGCGTCGGCGTCCGTCCCCTCGGGTCCTTGTGTTATTTCGTCTCGCGAAGGTCCTTGTCCGCCGCAGATAGTTTCCGCTTGTTTTACATAACGCCCGATGTGGTGATTGGTCGCGGTATCCGCGTAACCGGTGAAATCACGTCTATACAATAATAAAATGTACATAGGTAGAGGTATCCGTAAGGCCGTGGCGACAGCGTCCGACTAAACAATACAATCGGCCGCCGTGCCAGAGCAAATCGTGTTTTCCCGTCGTTATTTACCGTGTAGATTTCGGTGCGGCGCGCACCGTATACGCGGCATAATAGAGGCGCAACAGTTTTCCGGAGAGGTGCCGCGAAATATCGTCAGTCGACCGCGAATCGTGTACCCACAATAACTGCTCATTATAAATCTATATTTATAATAATTATACCTGCCCAGCTTTATACCCGTGTGCGCGATCAGACTAGCCCGTAAAACTTTGTCACCGTCATGTCCGTAGGCGACCTGAACTTGACGATGGTAAGTGTATACTTCTATAAAAAATTCAACGCGCGCAATTTTATTATTACTATTACAGCCGTATGATGTGAACACGCAGTCGGTACCCATCGCTCACAAATTATTATGTGTCACTGCGTATCAGAGTAGTACATCTTTTTCTTTTCCGATCAATTATTATTCTTTTTAGACTTTCAAAATTTACTGCTGGAAAAAAAAATCTCGATTTTTTTAATTTATTATAATTTGCATACAGAAAAAAATATATACTTAGTCAAAATATAATTGCATGTGTGATGTTTGCAAATGTGAAGACAGAATTTCGTGTTATTTCACATTTCCCTCTATCCTTAAAAAATGATTGTCACACAAACAATACTCTTCTGTATGAAATTCATATTTTCTTTTAAAAGTTCTTCTTGTCTGTTTTTCAGTAGAGTATTAGAGTGTAATATTTACCTGTAAATATTTAAAACGTTTTTTAATGGAAATTATATGAATATACATATAACATATACTAGTATTTAAACTGTAAATAATTTATTTCATTAGTCGTTTAGCAATATTTAACTACATACGTTATAATATTATGTGTACGGTTTCAATGAAACCGTGAATAACCGTACCTATGTCTGAAAAATAGGTACTTTGTTGTGAAATAATTGTTTTATTTATATTATTAGGTAAATATCAAAATAAAATTGAGTTTTCACGTATAATCGTGTTATACATCGACAATTACACGTACACAAATAAATAAATTTCGAATATGAAATCAATTTTAATATTAAATTATACATGTATGTAGTTATCAGGTATATAGATACTCGGTAATATATTTTAAATATTATTCAGTACAATTATCAAATAAGATCACTAAGATTAATCCGTGTATTATAGAAGACTGAGGTTTGAGGCTGTAACTAATTTGTATAATCATCTATCACACGACCATGACTATTTAAAAACAGTACCTACCCATTGCAGGCTATAACAATTGATTTGGAGGACAAAATCGCCATTCTTTGTTTTTACAAATACCTATGTAGGTGATAGCTATAAAACCTGCTATAGTTATCTATAGACTATAGTTCAAGTAAACTATACTACAGCTATTGTTTGTGTGTATTGGTTTGGTTCCTATGCAACGTTAACCCTTCTGCAGTTCCTGCAGTCGATAATAACCATACAATCTATGAGTTATGACCCGAAATGAAAGGTCCTGTCGTCCTGATATGTATGCCATTATGGCACCTATATATTTACCAACGCGGTTAAATCAAAATCATAATAAATAATAATACAATGTTGTATAATATTATAAAAGTAGAATAGAAATCTAGATCGAGAAAAACAATAATACATTTTTTCTCTTATGATTTCAACGCAATGTTCGTGATATAATTGATCAAAGTGTATGTGCTGTTTAATGTTTATATAATGGTATACGACCTAATTTTTACATTTTAAATAAACTAGGTACCTGACCTAACCTTACATACTCGTGAGTGACATTAGTCAGGTAAGCGTATGTATTCGTTTTCATTACGAACAAATGTCGTTCATGATTAAATATTTCTTTTTTAATCGTGTTTTTAAAATTTTTCTATCAGAGTACCGGATTGACAATATTCGAATATTTTAAAGATGATTTCACTTAAAATTCAAAATGTTGTACCTACTATAGAAAGACATAATATTATAAGTATGTCTTACAATAAACAAAAAAAAAAAAATTTGGTATATATACACTCCACACTCTTGAATTAGTACATTATACATACACTTGGGAGTGGTTAAACGGGAGGAGGGAGAGACTAAAATACTTGGGTCCTGCTCCTTCAAACATGTAACAATAGATCAATTATTAATTTATAACAAATAATACAACATAGTATGTCATTTTGTAAAATATATATATTTATATTGTAGAATATTGTTACCATATAATATCGATAAAAAAAAAAAAATAACAATAATAGTAATTACAGAAAATTCACAAAATATAAATGAGTTTATAAAAAAATTAAAGAAGGGGATATGGCATACTGATCCCTTCTCCTGTGGGCACGCTATCTGATCTATATCGAATAAGTAAAAACATTCACTTCAATACCCGTGAAGTTAACTGAGCATATAGTATTTATAGCGATGACGTTCGGTACTTCTTTTAAGTAAGAGACACGTCGCAATATATTATTCATCCTAATCCACATTCACCACACGACACGTCACTTCTTAAGCAATCGTTTTTATTTTAATCATCATTCGGAGACACTACTTATTATCTGCATTTCATTTTTTGATTTCTTAATCTATATAAGACATAAAAAAAATCGAATAATTATATTAATATTATTTGATCTAATAATATAACTTATAACTGTATATGTAGCACGTATAGGGGCTACGTTTATACATTTTATGCAATTCCATGCATGACTATTTCAATTATTATACTTAATATTTATTATCAATTATCATTATTGATTTTTTTCAGACCAACATTTAAATATACACCTAGGTATATATAGGGAGTGATTGACCTTATAAGTAATTATTTTTAGTTTTCTTTAATTGATAATATCACATGGGAATCATAACCATAGCCATATAATTTATATAGATATAGATACTCTAAATATATATATATTTAGTAAAAATCGATTATTGTATTATTAATAAGTATTAACTAATATAATATTAACCAATTTATTACCAAAACTGTTAAAGACCTTGGTGTAATTTTTTCATATGATTTATGTTTTCGTGAATACATTTAGTGTATCGTGAAGAAATCTTCAAAAACATTAGGTTTTATTAAACGTCAATCGTCTGTGTTTTTAGATCCTAGGTCTTTTAAAGCCCTTTACACGGGTCTTGTTAGGTCTATTTTGGAATACGATTCTATTATTTGGAGCCCTTATACTAAATTAGAAAACGATTCAATCGAAAGAGTCCAAAATCGGTTCCTCAAATACTTAGCTTTTAAAATATATTTTCAGTTGGAACCTCACGAGTACGAATCTATCCGTTTACATTCTAATTTACCATTACTGGCTTCTAGATGGGAAGCGACGGATATACGACGGATATACTCGTATTCTTTGTTTATAATCTCATTAATGGTCTTATAAATTCTACTTATTTACTTGAAAACATTCACTTTAATGTTCCCTCACACCATCCCAGATACCTGACTCTTTTTTAACTTCTCTTATCATAATATCAACTTTGCTAAAAGTTCACTTCTTTTCAGAGCAATGTCGCATTACGCAACAATACCCTAACTTTGATTTTTTTTCTTGATGATTTATCTAAAATAACTAAATTGCATGTTAATTATTGTTAATATCTATTATATTATCTTTTATCAAATTTATCGATTTTACATCCAATCACTTATAACCGCGTATATCCTATTGTTTTTATTGCATATTTGTATGTATTATTTTTGTTTAATTGGGTTCACGCCCGTTTTATTTCAACGAATAAATTATTATTATTATTATTAATTTTCCTATGGGTTTTCATAATAAATGGAAAAAACGTGAAATATAAAATTAATTATTTTCAAATTGTAAATATTATGGCCTTTCAAAATATATGTAACCAAACTCTACTCGGAATCGTTGCGTACTGATTTACATTAAATTACATCTTTATATCCTACCTTCTTAACTTATATACAAGAGTGGCCTATCCATCCTGCGAAGTATGTCCGTTTTTTTTAGATTCCGAGCGTAGCCAGGGAGTTATTGGTTTTACTAAGACGTTTATTTATTTTTTTATTTTTCTTTGTTCTAGTCTGTAGACGTTTTTTCCTAATAAACTTGCTCCGATTTTTACGTATAGCATCTTTTCTGAAAGTTCAAGTTTTCTAGATTGTACTTTAAACAAGTCACTTTTTGATTTTTGACGCCATTTATTAAATAAAAGCATTTAAGTGGGAAAAACGTGGAAAACGTACAATTTCATGATTTCATTATTTTATAAAAAGACGGACGACGTTTTCTACCGGAAAAAATGTTTTAAAAATCACAAGATACCTTTTTTGTTGAATTTTTGATTTACTTTCTAACGGTATAATTGCCAACACTTTTGAGCTTTTTTGAGCTTTTAAGAAATTTTAATTTTTGGGAGTTTTTGCTGTTATTCGGTTATAAATACACGTAGAGACTTAAAACTTGATAATAATACTTATATTGGTCTTACCTAGACGTGTTAAAATTTCCAAAATCATCGGACGACTTTTTTTTTAATGAGAATTTTGAAATCAAATTTAAACAAAAATCGCAAACATTTTTCGTTCGGAATCGTCACTCATCAAGCAATGGTTTATCGTTGCTTACAGATATAAATAAAATAACCTTACTTATCCTACCTTCCCAACTTTTCACCTATAACAGAGGCCGCTCCCATCCCCAGTATCAGCTCTATTTTTCATAGTTGATACTCATAATAATATACTATAAAATATTTACATTTTAATTTGTTTAATGTTATATTTATTAGCCTATCTGAAACAGTTATTTTCATTATTTCATAATATAGCTTTCAAAAAAATCATTCAGTTGTATTATTATATTATTACGAGTTGCATTACATAATAAAAAGTTAAAAAATGTAAAAATAAATTACGTTCTACACAATTATCATAAGTTACGGTTTCGTGATTTCAAATAAAAATAAAAATGCGTAATACTCGTTGGTAGAAATGGTAGACAGAGTACATTAAATCCGAATAGTGTAGGTTACAACGTTGTTATTTTTAGATAGAAAATAATCAGTAAAATAAGTGAGAAAATAATACGTATAGTATGCCGTATATATGTTTAGATGTATAATGTATTGTACACAGATGTAATTTATTATAGTAAAATATATATTAAGTATAGTAATTAAAAGTAAAGAAATTGAGTTATTAAAAAATATCCACACACAAATTACACATAATTGCATAATTATCGAACACATTTTAGTATAGGTACTGTTTTTGTATTTATATTATTATGTGCGAGTATAATATATTATACTCTTGTAGTGATTTTGTTTAAAGCAACAAAAATCTAAAACTCCATACCTATACAAAATTGTGTTTAATTACAAACTACCTAACTACTTAGAATGTGACAATAAATTAACCTACATTTTAATAATTAGTATGTTTGTTGAATAGAATACAATATATAGGAAATAGCCAATAGGTTATGATCATTGATTTTATAATATACTATTGTCCACTATAAGATCAATGGTTATAATGTTTTGTACAACAAATAAAAAATATTGTCACAGAACATAAAAATATATAGTTCTATGTATCTATATAAGATATAATATATTGTTCTTCTTCATACTCGCTTTATAAAGTTAAAATTTGTTTTTCTCTTATCCTATACTGTATTTTAATTTTAAAGGCCAAGCCATTGGATGTAAACCGTTATGCCACTAAAAAAACCATTGCTCAGGGGATGTTGGATATTGCTCTGTTGACTGCCAACGCGAACCAATTGAAATATATACTCCAAGTGGGCCAAAAACACGAGTTCTACAAACCACTGCTAGTACTTATCGCTACTTCTATATTTTTACAAGTGAGTACATCTATAATCTATATCGTCCCGCAGCAAACACAGTTCACCGTTATATCGTAGTTTAAACATGAATAATTAATTCCCTACAATGAAATCAACATAATAAAAAAAAAAAAATGAAATTATTCGTTTGTTTTATGATTACCCTCAAGGTGTTCATGGGAGTGATATTCCTATCTCTTAACTTGCTCCGGGATTGTCGGTTTCATTTGATCGAATACAAAACGTCGTCATTGATCATTAACCAAGTGCCGGTCGTGTGCACTTTTATGGTGTTTGTGATCAACATAATAATAGGAGCTTTTGATTCTGGCTTAGCCAGTATCGTACCGACTTCAACATTTAGCACGCCTTCAGTTCCACTTGGGACTAATTAGCTGATGTACGCCTACCGCATCTCAGTTTACTTATCTATTATGTATATCATTTTATACGGTTAATAAATTTAAAAAAAAAAAAAATATTTCTGAGAATTATTTACAAAATATGTATTGGTAAATAATCGTAATAATAATATTATAATATAAGTGTACAAGAAAAGGTGATGGTATCGACTTGGGAGCGAAAAGGATAAATTATCTATGTATTTAACAGTACATTTATTGTATCTAGGAACTTCAATTCATGAAAGACACATTTTCAGTCGGAAAAACCGTGAACTTTTATATACGTACTTATAAGTACCTATATAATATAATATGTACTTTACATCGATTACACATAATATTTTTAAATGTATTCTGTTCTATATATATATAATATATTATAGGTGCTGGTTGGTGGGATATTCTTGGTTGTTGGCGGTCTGGACATTAAGAAAGAAAATGACCAAAGGAAATGTTTGATTTTAAATGACATCTCTGTCATAATGGTCTTCCTAATTACTGTGATCAATATAACAATATCTGGTTTTGGGTTTGATGTTAGTTCTTCGATGGACACAAATTTGAAAAAATTAAATTAAGTATTCAAAAAGTCAGTATACCTTTCACCTTTTCATAAAATTACAAAAAAAAAAAAAATAAAATATTTTTTATTGTAAAATTGTTTCCAAGTAATAATAATATACCTAAAATATTGTACATTTTTAAAAATTAATAAAATTTTTTATGATTATGTAAATAAAAAAAAATTGTGTTGATTGTATTTATTTATTATATGTATACCATACAATATACAAATGTATACATATATTATAGTCATTGATCATTATATGATTATTAAATTTAATTGTAATCAAAATATAGAGACTCAGCAGAGTGATATGCTCAATTAACATCCTAATTATAACACCTATCAAATGCTATCACATGTCTGTAATACCAGGCGTCCTTTTCTTGACAAGTTGCAGAGGCGTATATAGGATTTTCTTGTGGAGGGAGATTTGAAATAATATTTTTTAGAGACTAATTTATTTATTTTTTAATGGCGTCATAGACGTTCGAAATATTAAGTATTAATGTATTTGGGGACTTGGGGTACCGAAGGGCACTCCATAACTTAATAATAGTCCCAAAAAATATGTAAATAGTCTGAATGCTCATATTATACCCATAAATAAAATAGAATTGGGTTTAGTTTGTGCAAGCTTTAGATTTCAGTTTCACCCATGTAGAGATTTAAATAACAATGAACCCAATAGTATTCGTATTCTCGGATAAGTACACTGTTTTATTAATTTAAAAAATAGATTTAAGTTTCTAAATTTTTATATACAACTAATTGAAAATTTCATCTGTTTTGACCTCAACTTCAACGTGGAAAGGCGATTGGAAAACGTAGATTCTGAGTGGAACGAGGAATATATTGGTTTTACAATGATGTTTATTTTTTTATTTTTTTTCTACCAGAAAGCATACTCCGATTATGAATTATAGCATCTCTTCTGAAAAATAATGTTCTCTGGGAGGTACTTTAAAGAGGTTATTTTTTGAAATTCTCATTAACTAAAGATACTATAGCTCAAATTTGTTCACAGACCTTAAATGAAAACAAACTTAGCACATGAGATTATTCACATATAGATTATAGGTATGGTGATAACCTATTCTCGCGTTAGGTCTGCAGAGTAACTGAACTGCGGATCAAATTAGACTAGGTAAACTGAAGATAATAGTGTATAATGAATGTACCTAAATTTCTTATTATTTGTTTTTATTGATAAAGGTAGGTATATAAGTATCCACTAAGTAATCACAATAAATTAATAGTGATGGTACCAACATATTTTTTTTTCATTTGTTAATATCTACCTCAAAATGTACATGTATGGATTAATCTTCAGACTATGATATAATATAATAATATGATAGTTGACGTACGACAATACTAGGTTTTTTTGTTTAGTATATAGACACACATGATAACAATGTATCATAATATTTCCAAACGAATAATCGCGAAATATGTGACATTTGTGTTTATTCCCAAAGTTGTCGATAAAACCAATAATTCAGCCTCGTTCCAATTAATAGTGATGACCGATTTCACTATCATCTCACACATATCACTTGTGGTATATCCCACATCCTGTTATGATCTGGAAATGTGTGTTGTTCACTATGTGAGTTTGTTTACGAACTCATTACACTCGCTCGTCGACCGCTAACATATATACGTGAACAGTTATAAATACATCTGCATTATCTTATATTAATAATTAATATTACCGGTTAATATTACACATACACGGTGACCGTTGTTCAAAAAAAAAAAAATGTCCAATGTAACCGAAACCCGTCTGGAGATAGATGACGGTCCGGAGGATAAAAAATCGAGAAATTTGTTGTCAAGATCCATGAGCAAAGTTAGCAACGTCACGTACAACGCGAAAAAAACTATGGCTCAGGGTATGATGGACATTGCGTTGCTCACGGCCAACGCCAATCAACTGCGGTACATATTAGAGTTTCGTCACAAGTCAACAAACTTTGTCATTCTACTGATTCTTATAGCGTGCAGCCTGATATTACAAGTAAACGCAAAAACCCATAGATCGTAATATTTATTTTATCATATACTGAGTGTCCCACTGGATTCGACAAATGCAATAACTTATTTTTTATTCAATGATTTTGATACATATTTTTTCAAATAATTAGTATGCCTCAGCGTTACAATTTATATATGAACATTTTTTGTTTTTAGGGAGAGGGGGACTTTAAATAAAATATAAAAAATTTTACTATAATTTTTTTTAAAAAAATTCAAAATAGCCAATTTGTAAAATAGATTTTTAGAAAATTTTTGGATGGTTGAAACTTTTGTTAAAGTATGGTCTTTTATTTTCTATGATTTTTATAAGTTTTTGCAAATGTGAATATTACCTATTGTGGTTATTCAGTTATTAGTTATTAATCAAGATTTTCTTTTCTATTAGTTAATATCATGCAATAATATTATCATATTATAGTTATGAGGTAGTTTCAATCAATCAATAATAATCAATAATGGTAATTTATGATTGAAAAGAAAATTATTCAAATATTCAAAAAATCGTATAAAATAAAAGACCATACTTTAACAAAAGTTTTCTAAAAATATATTTTACAAAATGGCTATTTTCAATTTTTTAAAAAAAAATTATAGTAAAATTTTAAATTCCTCCTCATTCCACCCAAAAACATTATTTATATATAAACTGTAGCACTGAGGCATACTTATTATTTAAAAAAAAAAATGTATATCAAAAATATTGAATAAAACAAAAGTTATTGCATTTGTCGAATCCTCGTGGGACACTCTGAATACCTAATATTTACTATGACGTGTAGATACAGTGGCGGGGTGATCTTAATGTGTTTCATTGGTTTTATGGCTGTCTAAAACTGAAATTTGTAATTTTTATAGAGATTTTTATATATGATTGAAACCATATAATCATGAATAATAATAAAACGATAATCAGTAAATTTAATATTTTTGTTGATAAAATTCGGACGGTGAATAAGACGTGTCAACAAATTTTATATTTGCCTTGTAATTTATAAATAATTTGATAAACATATTTTGTATACAAACCATTACGTACAAAAAATATACTTTTTAGTACTCGAGGTGAGATTTCGTCATAATATAAAGAAAAAACCCTTTAAAAATAATTGTGGGTGATTGTTAAATTGAAATAATATACACTGTAGGTATAAGACACACGTTATCTCGGAAAGTATTAACTTTTTCGGAATTTATTTTTTGGACAATTTAAGAGATTACTTATCTCTTAGGTTAGCTTTAAAATTTAAAATTATCTTTTTTGTCATCCTTATTTTAGTGGGTTATATCATTATCTATGTCATACTTTTAATTTTCAAATAGCAACCTAAATTACAATCCCGTCAATCTATTGATGAGATATTTCACTTTCAAGTTTCAGCGAGGATTGTATGGTGGAATACTATTAAAAATCAACGTGCCGTGCTGCTGATACACAAATGATGGTCCACTAGGACGCAACCCGTTTCGCTCAAACTTGCCCTTTACCATTTGGCCTAAATACCCGTTTCGCCCAAATACATTTTAATCATTTTATATTTGACAATAATATTTGAATAATAGTTGAAACACATAACAACATATAATGTATATCGTATCGTAAATTAATATTTTATAAAAATTTGCTATAGTACTTGTCTGCCCAAAAATGTTGTATAAAATACATCTAAAAGTTCATATTAAATTAGACAGTATTAATTATAATGCAAATCATTACAAATCAATTTTTAGTAAAAATTATTTAAAAAGTCATCACAAAATACAAATCATTATTTTTTAAAAGTCTATACATGTTTTTACAAACTCATACTTCGTTATTTCATCGGATATATATAAAACGTGTTTCATTATATTCTTGCATTTCCTTCGTTTTCTTGAGAATTTTAACGCTGTATTTTTAGTACATTTCTACATTTTTATAAAATAATAAAATAATAATTTTGTCATAGATATTTTTAAATAATTTTCTCTATGTTTTAACTATTATTCAAAATCAATTTCCTACTTTTTTTAAAATAACTTACATGTGTTTCGGCGACGGTGTAACGGGACTCGCCCCTCCATTACTCTCCCCTCGATGAAACATGCAAATGGAATATCTCATAAATAGGCTTACGGAAATTAAAAATCTTCATACCAAAATGATTTAAACTTATCCTCCATCTATATTTACGGAATTTTTAAAATCAAAAGCAAATAGTTGATTCATCTTCAAAATTAAGGATAACAATAAAAACAATGGTACATAATGTAATATTTTAGAGCATAATTTTTTTTTTTAATGCTAAAAAAGGTCAAATACTTTCTGAGATAATAAGTGTCTGTAATAAGTTCAACAGATATAGAAAAAAAAAACTTAACAAATTATCTAACTTTTATATAATTGTATATTATATTATTGTATATATTAATTGTATATAATTTTATATAATATAATGTATAATGTATATGTTACGGCTAATGTTGAAAATCGAATGTGTCCTCGTTTCATTTAATAGAGCCATTACTTGAAAACGAAATTAAAAATACAAGTATTTTAATCGAAATCTTTTGAAAACATTAAAATCGAAACCTTACCAAAACCCTTTTTTTATATCGATATTTGTTGTAAGAGAATTTCCGGTTTTCATTTTTGGTTCCAATTTTGTTTAATTATGTTATATATTTATTTTTTATATTTTGGTTATAAATATATACGTGTATTTATAATTCTTCAATTCTATAAAGTACAATAAAATACAATAAAAAATAAGCAGTTATCAAAATAAAAATATATAAATTATAAACATTGTTGTTCGCTTCACCGGTTTGTAAAACCCTTCGTTATGATTATTCCCTTATATTTTATAATTTATTAATAATTTTGGTGACGTCGAAAAATGTTGATGAATGATGTGAAATAAAATATGAAAAAATATAAATAAATAATAATAATACACAGTAGAAACCGCTTTTAATGACATTTAAGTGACTAGTTAAAATTAGTCATAGTAACCGATTTTCATAACCAAAATGATAAAATAAAATTTAAAACTTGATTGTGTATATGTATATGTAAAACATATTATTATGTATTTATATGAACATAATATTGTATTACAATCACGTATCACATTTGTATCACTAAATAGTGACTTCAATACATATAGAAAAAAAAAAGTTGTTTTATATTATTTTAAAATTAAATTTCCACTGCATTGAAAAAAAAACAAATGTTATCTTCAATAAAAGTTTAATACACTAGCTATAGATAACAGATTTTTCCAATATAACTAATTATAACTAGTAATATAACTAGTTAATCGTCATAACATTCGTATAGACATTATACATATGTTATTATAATAATCTATCCAAATTAGTAGGGCGGCCGTGCCTAGGAGAGTGCAAAAGATGCTCACGTACTGGGCGATATGCCCGTTGATATTACTTGATTATTGGTACTTTGCCCTGTTAATTTTTTTTTTTTGAAGAACCGCATTGGAACCGAAACCGACAAAATCATAAAGATTCCAAGCCCTGAGTAAAACCAATTTTATTTAATTAGTTTTGATATTCGAATGAATTGGCTAATTATCAAACTTAAAGATAAAAACATTGCCTGTGTTTGTGTGTTGGGTTTTTATCTAATATTTAAATTTTTAAGTGAGATACAGAATTGTTTAAAGTGTAATAATTCACATGCTCTTATATCTTACAAAAAATTAAAATATCAGGAAAAACCAATTCACTCTAATATTAAAACTAACATGCACAAATTCAGTTTTATTTTTTGGATGAAAAGTTGACATTACCCATAATGTTCGACATTAGCCGTAATATATGCTTTTTTTTCTACGACAAATTGTTCACCGCTCGTCTCTAGGTTTTGGTTGGAATAATGCTGATATTCAAAGGTCATCTGGACTTTAAAGGAAGTGGTTCGACCGATGATAGCAGCAACAATACTCCGTCCAGGAAAATCCCGAACGACCAACTGAATAACTACGTGGTCCTAGGAGTGTTCCTCATTACCGTCATCAACATATTCATTGCCGCGTTCACAACAGCACCGACCTAACACTACACTCCGTACATTGCGAAATGTTTTCAAATATCTTAACATAGACATTATTATAATAGTTTTTGTGTGTTTTGGCGATGCATTTTTCAGTTTGCTGCATTGTTTGCTACTCGGTTGCGATATCGTCAAAACTTTTTGTTTACTGTACAGTATTTTACCAATGGATAAACAGTAATCAATGACAACAAACAATTAAGAACTAAGTTCTTAATTGTTTGCTGGTTCCGGTAGCCTGGTAGTTGAACATCGAATAGAGCATTTAGTTATCAAACTATTATTGGAAACAATATCGTAAAAACAGTTTATTCATTGAACCACGTAATAACCAGGCTGCTCAAAACTGCATCAAAAAAACACGCCTTTTATTATAGACGGCGATCCCCCTTCATGTCTATGTAGGTTTTCCGGTATGAGCATATTAGACGAGAGAGATAGAGACAGCATAAAGTAATAATATACAACCAAATCACGGGAGAATATAATAAAAATAATAATTTATATTTAAACGATAATAATAATGATGATGAATGAATTAAGAATATTTTGAATTTTTTCCACGGATTAATTTATTAATTAGTTTCTGATATATTCTTCATCCGTGGTTGGGGTGGGGGCTTAGAATAAGTTATTGGAGTAGTTTTTAGTCAGTATTTTTCATTCAAATATACTTATAACGATGAATCAGTTTTCTCTCTATTTGCAATTAACAATATATTAATATGTCTACTGTCTAGTCCAATGGTTTTCAACCTGTGCGTCGCGGTTCTCAGGGGCGTCGTGATTTATTATTAAGGGAGCCGCGTCTATAGTAAATATAGTATAGTAATATAATCAATTTGTTTATTATTTTTTTTATTATATCATCATTATTTGTAAGGGAACCACTAATTTCGAAGAGCCGTGGGCCCAAAAAGGTTGAAACCACTGATCTAGCCCATATTAAAAATAGATAATAATTGTCTATAAGACATATAATCTACCGACAAATGAATTATGTGAGTTTTTTGTTTGTTTTTTAATCATGTGTATTGTACCTATACGATTTTAATCATTAACTAACTTGAACTGAATAAACGACGAAAAACAATTGTATAATTTAAAAATAAATAATAGGTATACAAAATATAGGTATACAATTGTGCAGTAAAAAATTAGTTGAAAATTAGATAAAAAAAATTAAGTGTGTTTATATTTAAAACGAAAATATAGTCTTATATATTATACCTACCTTTTTTTTATTTACCCATTCCTTAATTTGAACGAACTAATTGTTTTTTTTAATATCAAAATAAAAACTTTTTTTAAAACAAACAAAACTCAATTTATAATAAAAAAAACACCATGCGAATGCCACTGTTGTATTAGATAGGTATTTATGAAGGTAAGATATTATAATATAGAATAACCTAACCTAATCTAACCTGTGTATACTGTATTTTTTAGTGGCGCTGATCTCTATACTCAAGTATGTTGACTGCCATAGTGAATTATATGGAGGGTGGGTACTGAATACCGGTTAGGTGACACATTGTTTGGTACCCATAGGCCATGTGTAAATATAATAAAAGTATAAAACTATTTAACATAATTACATATAAACACATCAGTTGCGATACGCCGATTACGATGATACAAGTGGTAGGCCAGAATAGCGACGCAGGTTAATATAAATAGAACCATTGGGGGGCATTAATTATAAATACTATGCAATTGTAATAATAACCAATGGTAGAACTATAAAAAAAAATAAGATAGTGCGATGTGCTGTAAAATCCCAAATATATTTATTTTTAGATGTTGTGGTAATATCCACTTATTGGTCGTTTGGTTACGCCCTATGGCAGGCGCGTCCCTGAGTGGGGGGGAAGAGATTGCTCCCCCATAAGCCATATGATGTTTTTTTTTTTTGTTGTAAAAAATATCCATAATTCTTAAGATTTATTGATCAAAACGGTGGTGTTCGAGAGTAAAAGTTGTTTGCCACCTCTCCCCCCATGAAATTGACTTGAAGACGCCCTTGCACTACGGTCGACATAATTATCATGTATATTGTTGGATCAATAATATTTACGAATTATGTTCATTGGTCATTGTTTACTTGCACAGTTGTGTCTTGTACGTTTTACAACTCCAGTTTTCAGTTTTTTTTTAGATTCTGAGAGGAGCGAAGAAGTTTATGGTTTTACAAAGATGTTTATTATTTTTTTGCGGACAACTTTCCTACGAGAGATCTTCGGCTATCGAGACATTGACCAAAATGTACAACCGAAGGGTTCTCGTATCTACTTCATATTCCGCCATCGACTTAAAACGGCAATCGACTTAAAAATATTCGGGCTGAAAATTGATAAATTCTCTGATTGTAACTATAATATTAATATATTTATAAACGAGTTGGATTTACTGTATGCGCGAATTTCTATGTTATTTAATTGTTTCATATATCGCTATATATTTTGTTTATTAATTTTTTCGACCGTGATAGAGGCGTCGTATGTTTATGATAAAACTTACTTGAAACCAGTATATAATGAATAGAAGTACTGTATTTAAAGCAAATGGACTGCGGCTAAGGAATGCAAAAGAGAAGATGTAACTTTTTCGAAAAGTTATTTTCTTTATCATAAAAAAAAAGAATGTTTCTTCTATATATTGATCAATAACCATAAAATGTAATATTTTGCGATGAATATTCAGATATTACATGATTTATTGATTGAAAATCAATAAATTGTTATTATAATTAAACATTTGATAAAACTCGATTTAGACGTTAATATTAAATTAATGAAAAAATTATATGAATTGTATTTTTTTTTGAAAGAAAAATGTTTTAAATAATAATATTAATTTAACTGGTGTATGCTTTTTTACCCTAATAGTGAGATAAAAACGCAAACAATAAATTTGACCACATTATATAATATACTACCCGTTGCTCTTAAGTTTCAGATTAAAATTTTACGCTCATTTTATTTAGTTCTCAAATTGGTATTTTTATACTTCAAGAACGATCAAGATCGAGTTGAGTTGATAATTATTTTTATTTCACAGTAATAATTTGATCGTAACAAATTACGTTGACGGTTAATAATCATTTATGATAACTATACAGTATACAGTGATGATATTTTTCATAAGTATAGGTTCATAATTATTTGTTCAGCGGCGTATCATGGGGGGCGAAGGGGACATTCGCCCCCTCTCGTGGGTCGTATAATTATGTGACTAAATGTATGCATTGTTATATTTTTTTTAGTGTTTTTACAATTATTTTGAATTTTTTTCATGAAATCGTTAATAATATGATAATTGATTACATGATCAAGTCCAAGATTTTAAAATAATTTTGTTATCTATGGATGAACCGGATCAAAATATATGGTGTTATCATTTTGTTTGATCATAGATAATAAAGACATGTGGTAATATATAATCTAATGTATTAACTATTATATATCTATTTAATTGGCATTAGCTTATAAATCTAGCTTAATATCTATCTACTGCTTTTTAATTATTTATATTTACTACTTGCCTGTACTCATGTTTGTGCTGTAGACAAAAAAACATGGCTACATTCAAAAATAGGCCAGGATCGCTTATGAGGGCCTGCACTGTTGCATATATACCAAGAAATAAGCCTACTAGTGGATGAAATTATTGAACGATTTTCTCGTATGAAAAACTGGAGATTAAACTTTGTGTTATAATACAATTTGTTATAAAATTATTTTAGAACATGCATTATATTATATTAAACAACAATATTTCTTTTTTATATACCTACTAAAATGTTCTATTTAATATTTTACAAATATAAAATTCCCGTTAGGTTAGGTTAGCTGTGACCTCCATTCTTAGAAATTTTCTATTTTAAGAAAGAGTGAAAATATATTTCGCCTCCCTACTCGTAAGGTTTCCTATGTAAAGGTGTAGGTTAGGTTTAGTAATCTAATCCTAAGTATTTAACCTAACCTACTACGCATTACACTAATTTTTTTTTTTTTTTGAGTTCTAAGTACGACTTATAATAGTCCTCCTATTGAGTACCGATTCTTTTTTTTTTTTACCGACTTAGCTGTTATTTTAATTGTTTCCAATGTTCATTTGTTGCTAATAAAGCCCAAACCCGTTTAATATACAAGTAAAAAACACTAATAATAAAATAAAACTAATAGCTTTACTATTATTGATGGTTAAATAAAATGTAGCATGTTACATGTTATACTGTACATATATTAACACAATGTTCACATATCGTACTTCCCCTTCTTAGACAAAATCGTAAATACGCCACTGAATATTCTACAATTTAAAACAGAATATATTTTGTCCGTACATAATAATATAATAATAACGTAGGTACTATGGCATGTCCGGAAAACATTCGACCGATGGACATCTGGTAACAACTTATTGCACAAATTACAGAAAATCTTAATTTTATTGAAAACAGTTTCTTTGGTTAATGCCTCATTAAATTGTTCAATGTAAACGCAGCAATCTGTAATAGAAAATATTATCGCATATATTATAAATAGGTATAATAATATTATCAGTGGCGTATTTACGGTGACAAAGAAGTGAAGGGTAATAAATGTCTTTAGTTTTTTTTTCGATATCGATTTATTAATACATAAAGAATATACATATTTATATATATAATATAGATGAAGGGTCTAGGGAACAAAAGACAGCAAAAAAACACAAAATAATATAGAAAACACATTTGTTTTCAATAAATACTTTTAAAAGTGTTAATAGGTATCTATATAATAATAATTTAAAATCTATTTAATATTATAGAAAAATAAAATTATTAATATACTCTTAGTATTTTCCTACCTATATTTAATATATTACATATAAATAAATTCTATTAATAAATTAAATGCTTTTTACAAGGTGATATGACCAACGTGAACGGTACATATAGACATGTTATTACAAAAGAAAAAAGAAAAAATTAATAAAATGTTAACCTATGTTTTCTCCTTCTACTTGGAATGTGTATGAAACTACGTTAAATAATACGGACGTACAAATAATCAAACGGAAGGTTGGAATCACCGGTTCTCTAAATTAGTGGGTCATAACCATCCAAGTATAGGGAGTATTATAAAAAAAATTCGACTTGAAATTTCTGCAGACGAAACAAAATTGGTTCAATGGAATCTAAATGTCATAAAATCAGAAAAAATAAACACCTACGAGAAAAATAAAAAATCATTGAATTCAAATTGTACAGATTTTAAAGAAGGAAACCGGTCAATTGAACATTTTTTAAATGCAATTTTATGGGGACTTGAAAATATCTTCCCCCTCTCCTGCGTATACCAATTCGTAGGTGGGTAGGTATTGTTAAAATTTGATATTCGTCATACTGCATTTTTTGTAGCGCCACTGAGTCTGTATACTGTTAAATCATTACAAATGAAAAGCAATTCTAAGTGGAGTAGTATCAGGCGTCGTTATTTCCCTTGTTTCCAAGGTAGCCAAGAAATCTAAAAATAAATCAGAAATACAGAAAAATAAAGCAGAAATAATATGTGAAACTTTTATGAAAATATACTAGTTACACGTATGGTATGTTCTAATGTACATACACTTTTGCGACTTTTGGCGACTTTTGGCCACCTCTGTATATACTAGTTCTAAATAGTAAATACTAATAATATAAGTAAATTTGTATACTATGGAATAGTAATAACCCAAAATTCATAAATCATAATGAATTAACATGTTTGTATTTTGTATTTAGCAACAATATTTCGAAGAACAAAAAATAACTCTACACAATTTTATACAATACAATTGTAAAATAAAGCATATTTTTAAAGCCTTATTTTTACGATTTGCTTAACGATTTTGAAAAGGCTAATACACTACACCCCACTTTTTTTATTTTGAAAATTATAAGTACAAATTATGACGAACTCTGTGTTAAATTATCAATCATTCCTGTTCAGCTAAAAAATGTCATCCATATTAAACCAAATAAAAACTAAAAAAAAAACGTAAGCATTTAAAGTGACTATAGCAAACTGCTTAAAAATAATCAGAAAATGTTTTAAATTTGACTACATCTAGAAAGTGATAATATGAGTATTTGGTGAACAATTCAAGTCTCTAAAACAATTGTTAACCAAATTAACACGGAAAAATAAAATCAAAACCAACAGAAATGTTTCAGTTTATCCGTTTTCCCACTTATTAAGATAAATACAAGAAAAAAAAATACCTTCTTAAAATGTGCCAACTAAATGAAATTGTTTTTTAGAAACGATGCTACGCTAGATGGACGGAGAGAGATTTCTGGTAGAAAGTTTGTTTACAGACACAACAAATAAAAAAAAAACACATCATAATAGTAAAACCAATACATTCTTCGCTATGCCCATAATCTAAATATATGGAACCTACTGAAATCTCTGTGTGCAGATAGATCACTTCATTTAATGAGTCTATGATTTCTCTGATGTATATACCAAGTGATACATTTAATTGGACACACTCATTAGTATTAAGTAAGTGTTTTCGGAATTTGTTTTCTAGAACATTTAAGAAACAATAATCAGCTCTACAATTTTATGTTTATATTATTTTTCGTTAAACTTATTTTTGAGCGTAAAACCACTATCTACTTTTGATTTTCAAATGGCAACCTATATTAAAAAGTCGAATTACTAAACCGTCGCGCCGCGCGCCGTACTTCCACACAAATGATACGCCATGCTACTCTCCTCCAACCCAAACTTAAAAGCGGAATATCTCGTTAATAGATTGATGAGAATCAAAAATTTCAATACCAAAAGTAATTTTAACTAATAGTCTATCTATTTATAGAACTTTTAATATAGGTTGCCATTTGAAAATCAAAAGTAGGTTTAGTGGTTTTACTCCCAAAAATAAGGATGACGAAAAATAACATACATATACAATTATAGCAGCTTGTTTCTTAAATTTTCTAGAAAAAAATTCCGGAAAAGTTAATACTTTCCGAGATAATGAATGTACACATTTAAATGGATTACCTGGTATTGGTATACATGAATAGGCGGAAATCAAAAGTCACATGTTCCAGAAATCGCTTTTTTCAGAAAACGACAAAAACTCATATGTTTATTCACGTGAAATGTATAGTTATAATTTCCGATACAATTATCAATTATTAAGTTGAGCGTTAAAATTATTGCATGATACGGTTGCGTGTAATAGGTATGCGTCATATAAAAATATCTCCAAAAAAAAAAAAAAAATGCTGATAAACTATTCATAACACCAAGATATTTCAGCAGTATAATATACTAGGGTTGATTTATTATCTCGTCTATAATGTCATATATTAGTCTAATAATAAATTATTCAAATCAGAAATCACATAGTTCAAAATCGTACAAAATATGTATACACCGTGTCGGTTATTAATTATTATTCAGCATTTCAGTTGTTATTTGGTGTACACTAGTTTACGATACAAGTTTACACTATTTTGACAGATTCTCGACGTATTAAAATGTATTGGAATGAACTTAATCCACAGAAACGAAATGTTTCATTTAAATTTGACAATTCGGACTTGAAAAAACACAAAGATCGAATACTCGTACGAATTAAAAGAAAAGTTTTTCACTTCATTCATTTGTTCTTTTCGTCTTCTAATATACACGGATTTAATCATTTAACTGACGAAACGAGGCATTTTACCGAAAAGTACGTGTATATATTGCATATTAATTATGAATGCATAAAAAACAAAAGCAACCTGCACTACTTAACCGAGATTTATGATACATATATATATATAAACAAAATAATCATTTAAAATCAAAAACATTACAATTATTTGCAAAATATTATGATGGTTTACCTTTATTCACATGACAGGTTCGTTTGGGCGATTGCAATTGGTTTGAGTATTTATGGTTCTACTATATTGGGTTCGTCTACTTGGACTCGTTACCAAGAAAACCCAACCGTAATATCCATGGACAGAGAATATAGGGAATGGGCTACCGCATTTCCCGCAGTCACTTTATGTCCAACATCTGAAGTTGACGTAGAAGAGTTTGAGAAACTAATGAACAGCAGCAAGTAAGATTGATCGTGAATAATATAATGAATACGTCGAATAATACAAATACAATTAATACTTGATTTTAAACAACAAACTTCATAAACCGTATAGTACTAGTATACAGTTCAGTAATAAAAGATTTAAATATATATTTTTAACAGACGTTTATAGACATTCATTATACATCCATAAATGTTCATAAAATATAAATTATAATTTATACGATATGAGCATTTTTAAACCGTAATATAATCGACAATAGAGATAATCTACCTAATATTGTAGCGGCAAATGTATTGATTTTACTATATGTGTGATTTTTAGATTCGAAGCGGAGCGAAGGGTCTATGGGTTTTACTATGAGTTTTTCAAATTTATTTTTCTGTCTGTATAAACTTTTTGAACAATAAACTTGCTCTTATCTAAAATTGTTGATAGTAGAGACCTTTTTTGATATATTTTAAATCTATTTGCTGAGGAAAAAGGTCATTTTTTTATTTTTAAGTGGTTTTCATAATAATTAAGAATCTCCTCATCTTCAAAAAACAAGGAAAATGTACAGAAATGATGATTTTATTTTTTAAAATTTTGTTTTTTGCTTTTATTAAATTAAAAATATTTTTAAAGAATTTAAATTTTGACATAAAATATATATTTCTTTTTCTAGGCGTAGTGAAATTTTAAAAACATTTTGACAATTATTAAGTTAATTATAGGCATTACATTATGTTTATGAGTATTTTACGTAGTTTTTATTTAATATGTACCGTACCGGGTAATCCATTTATACTCATTATCTCGGAAATTATTAAATATTTTCGGAATTTGTTTTTTAGAACATTTAAGAGACAAGCAGTTCTACAGTTTTATATTTAGTTTATTTTTTTTGATTCTTATTTTTGGGAGTAAAACCACTACCTACTTTTAATTTTCAATCGGCAACCTATATTGAAAGTTCCATAAAAAGATAAAGTATTAGTTAAAATATCAACAGGAAGTAGTGGTCCCAAGCGGTATCCTATTCAAGAATTAACTACGCCCGACGTTACTTAACTTCAGTGGTCGGATAAGAACACCACTACTGCGGGTGCATATGACGCGGTAATATTGGAAAAAACCTGTACAGCTGTTAAGTTATTTAAACATCCACTCTTTCTTATGTCAATTATAATTATGATTGTTGTGATTATTTCATTGAAACTATGGCCCACAAAATATACAGGGGGTTTTCAAAACATTTTTGTGTTAATATTTAGTAGGTACTTTATTTCATTGTATTTATATAGTTTTTAATTACATTTCAAGACGTCATATAGGTATAACTAGACTTAGCTCAGAATCGTACTTCGTTAGTAATGGTTTACAGATACAAATTCAATAATTTGTATCCCACCTTCCTAAATTTGTACACACAACAATGCTACCCATCAGCAGTACCAGCTCTTTTTCTTTTTATTTTTATCAATTTGCTAGAAGGGAAAAAGCTTAAAAGCAGGCTTGGGTGGGACACAATTAGTGGCACCGAATCATTTTTGAAATGGTCTGGTCCAATGGCGTATTTAAGAGGGAAGATCAGGGAGATAAATCTCTCCCCATGACCTTTTTTTTGGTAGCTATTATTTATACGTATACCTACTTTTTAAATTTGAATTTCTTTACTTTTTTTAAAAAAAAATCAAAAATTTGTTGACACCATATCAATAAAAAAATTAAAAAAATTGAACAGCAGATATGTTTCCTTGTTAAAAACGAAACCTGTCCGAACTACTTTGGCATAAAGGAGATTTTTCTTCTCGTTATTCTTTGAATAGTATAAATTAACTAAATAGTAATAATAATTAATATACAATTGTCGTGATTATTGATTAATCGAATTATAAATTGCTTATTAAAAAATAAATAGATTTAAAATTGGATCCTTTTTTTTTGTTTTAAGTCTAGGCACATATTATACAATATTTGAAAATTTGATTTCTCCCTCTTTAACAAAATCCTAAATATGCCACTGGTCTGGACAATAGTTATAGTAGGCCTAACTACCACCCACCTATCAAGGTATCAGCAGGTTAAATATGAGATCACCCTTTCCCCTATACTCCTTCTCTCCCTTTAAACATTTGTTACCGTTCATCAAAAATCTAGCTATTGAAAATGGTGTTTTAATTATCTCATTTCTATTGCATATTTTAGCACATATTTATCAATTTTCGTATGCTATAAAATCAAATCCCTAACTCATGAAAATCATGGTTTTACACTATTTTATACTAAAAACTCAAAATTATGACTAATATAACTATGTTAAATATATATTATTGTTATAATTCGTTTGTCAAAGGTCAAACAAATTCAAAATATTATTAAAATTGTCGTTTTTAAATAATATGTATACATCACAGAGACATTCTATCCATTAACAACCCCCACCACCACTACTACACCAAAAATATGGTCTGGATCCCTTGTTTGACGCCACTGGGCCCAATAAAACTACTATACACGAGCTCCATAATCTGTTATTGTGGTACTGTACCTAACTATGATGTCTTTCGTATAAAATAATAATTATTATTATTTCGAACTCACAAAAAAATGTAATACGTTCAGGTTTGTAATATATATTTTATTCTATAGATTTATAAATTTTAATGAAGATGACAGAGAGAGTTTTCGAAATTTTATGAATTTATTATCAAACGCTAGTTACGAAACATTTAAAGACGTTCCTGAAGATAATCGAATACAACCGGAAGATTACTTGGACTATGTAAAACTACTGAGCACAAATATATCATACATAATCAGTAACAGTCACGTGAATATGTTTCCGTCGTTCAGTTTACTACAAACTATAACCGAATTGGGTATATGTTATTCTTACAACGGAGAAATTACACCTTATAACGATTACGAGTTCGTTATTTACATAGCTTATCGTATTAAAACAAATTTAGATAACTGTTTTTTTACAGATATTGGATTACACGCAACAAAAGTAAAATACCAAGCAAAGGTATTATGTCGGGTAGCCCGCTGGACGGCGACATTTTCGTTCAAATCACGTCTATGAATTTTGGATACATGGTAAATTATTATTTGCCATAATAATTTCGGAATACTAATATTATTCATCATAAAACTGAAATCAAATAATCAATTAATTATATTCCTATCAGGGATTTTTGCATTCATCCTACGAAGTACCTGATATAGCATGTCGTATACACTCTTCCCCGGAAAATTTCTACAAAACATTAGATGTAACCGCATTAAGTATATATAGTACACCGGAAGTAAAAGATCTTACACCCAAGCAAAGAGGCTGTAGGTTTTTGAATGAAAGCAATTTAGAGATAAGTCCAGCAGTTTATACGTATAATATGTGTCGAATTCAGTGTCGAATGAAACAAGCGAATAAACTCTGCGGATGTGTCCCGTTCTATTATAAACCACTCGGTAAGAGATTTTCTTTATTTTTTTAATGTAAGTACCTATAATATATAATATATCCAGGGGGTCTAGGGGCCCAGCCCTCCCTCAGACATATTATTTTTCCGATTTTTGTATGAGAATTATATGAGAAAATATTATACATGAGTTATATTATATTTGAATTGTATTTGTTGTAAACAAATTGTTGAGCCCACCCCAGATCTTCGTTGTGGATATGTGCCTGCCCTAAAGTGCCTCCCAGTTAAATTTTCTTTCAGAACATTGCTATCATTAAAAGTTGGATCAAAATTACTGGTAGAAAATTTGTCCAAAAAAAAATAAAATTATAATATTATACAAATATATTTTGTACATTTTCCCGTTTATTTTTTTCGGTTTTTCGCATTTGATCAGAAAACTGTTTTGAGAAAATCGAAAAATGAAGTTACCTCCCTACACCGATTTCCTTTAAGAAAAGTTTCTATACTTAAAAATCGGAGCAATTCCTTTGGTTCACAGGAAAAAAATAAATAAACATCTTTGTAAAAACATAAGCTTCTTCGCTACATTCAGTATCTAAAACACAGACATACTTCGCACGATAGGTGCAACCACTGCTATTGTTGAGAAGTTAGGAAGGTAGGATATAGTGGGGAAATTAATTTGTATCTGTAAGAAACGATAAACCATTGCTTAATAAAAACGATTCTGAGCGGAGTTAAGTTGATAGTGATGCTTTGACAATAATATATATGTCTTCCGCTCAACGGAAGTTGTTGAGTAGGCTAATTAGGTTCTGGTTGTTCATGTTGCCACCATTGTAGTCTAGTTTTTTATGGGGATTCGTGCAGTTCTTTTGTTGTACGTATGAAACTTCTCCGGCATTTAAGTCTTGTTCTCGTGATTTCATGTTTGAACATAGGGTGTCTTTCATCTTTTATCTGTTTGGTTTTTCGATGTCAGTGGTTACGTGTCTTCTGATTTCGAGTGGATCTGTTATTTTTATTATATCTGTTAGTAGGAATAACTTGTATGTATGCGTTGGCCTAAGACATCCCGTTATTTTCATGTAAATATCGTTTAGAAATACGGATATATGTTTGGCGTATTTAGATTGGCTCCACACTGAACATGCATATTCTCCGGTTGAAAAACATAGGGTCACTTATAGACATGGAATGTCGCCATGTTCTTCACTGGATCCTTGCGAATTTTCTAAACAGGTCGTTCCTTGCTTATACTTTTATTTTAGTTTTGAAACAATGCACCTTAAATATTAGTCCTATCTAGAGTGACGCTTAGACAGAACCATGTTAAATCATTTGGCGCTCATAAACATACATTTTTAAGTAACCCTCTCTTAAGGCCTTACCTGGGATAATTTGAAGGATTAATCCTTCCCAAATTTCTTGTTTTTTACATTTTCATTAAGTTGATATTAAAATTTGGTACAGCTACGACCTTGATCATAGCCTCCTCTGTCATACTTATCAATTATAAAATATTAACCAAACTTATATGCAAATTTAAATGTTTAGAATCACTTAGAACATGATTTTTAAAGTGTGATAGTTAAAAATAATAATAGACCAACTGCTGAAACGGTACGCATACGAAGCGTAGATAAAAATGTATCTCAAGTTATGAGAAAATTAATTTATACTATAATATAATTATATAATGTTAAGATAAGCAAATAAAACTATAATAAGTACATTTAAGTGGGTACGTAAAACTATACATTTACTTTCAGATAAATACAAAATATGTGATGTCAAAGGCATGCATTGTTTGGACCAATACAAAGGTAAAATTATCTAAATTGTATTATTATAACTAATTAGGATTATATATTTATTATTATAGATGATAATATATTTCAGAATTCCTTGTAAACCTCAGAAACGCGTCAGGAGTTAAAGTCAACTGTGGTTGTCTTCCACCTTGTGATGATGTTAATTATATCGTAGAAGCGGATAATACAATACAATGGTAATAAACGATTTTAAACTCGTTTACAAGTAACTTATACTATTATTATATAATTTACCATACGTGCTATTTTACCAAGAGGTTAGGTTATTCTAATTCCCTAGTGAATATTTACTCCCCCTCCTTCCTTCGTATGATTTCTCCAGTGAATGTTTAAGAGATATACAGGATGATTCACTAAGCGTGCTCATCCCATTTTTTTGGTTAAAATTTGCATATATTCTAATTCTGATTTTTGGAATTTTTATGTGTAGTTAAAGTCGATATTTATATATATTACCTACATTTCTTATATAAAATGTAAGAAATGTAGGTATTAATTAAAATATATTACGGCTGTCTTTCATTCTGTACACAACTTTTCTACCAGCAATTTTGCTCCAATTTAAAATTATAGCAATTTTTTGATTTTCCTAAGAGTTTTCCCAGCAAATGTGAAAAATCGGGTTAGAACATGGGAAAACCAGGAAAAACGATACTACGTTAAACAAATATTATTAAAGAAAATATATTAAGCCTATTTAATTATTTTACTATAAAATGATATATACATTAGAAAAGAACTCAACAGGAAAAAGACCCACTGGAAAACCGAGAATGAGGTGAGAAGATGTAGTGAAGAATGATGTGGAATAGCTAGGAGGAACAGATTGGAAGGTGCGAACAACTGATCGTGATGGTGGAAGGCGAGATGTATGATGGGATGGTAGAGGCCGATAATAACCTAAAAAATAATAATAATAATAATAATTTATGTATTGTTGACAAAGCATCACTTTAAACTAAACTCTGTTCAGAATCGTTTTTCCGTAAGCAATGGTTTATCGTTGCTTACAGGTATACATTAAATTATCTATAACAGTGGCTGCACCCGTCCTCATTATCCTACATCTTTTTCAATATATTTTTTTGAAACAATAAAATTTAACACTGTAAGTTGCAACAACGATCTATAACGGTCATTAGTTATTAAAAAAATAGCGATCATCTCCGTAACTAATTATGCTTACTATTTTTTAGGTTCCTTGGAACCAATTTAAAGTGGGGACTAATCAAATATCCTCGAATGCGTTTGAAAAGAAACGTTTTATTTGGGTTTACTGACGTTTTAGGTAAAATATCATTTGGTAAATGTTACTTTAAATGATTATAATATAAATAAGAAATAAGTGATTTTTGTTCATGTTTTATAGTTTCAATTGGAGGCACTGCAGGTCTTTTTCTAGGCTGTTCTGTTTTAAGTTTCTTGGAGATAATTTATTTTTGTACGTTTCGTTTGGCAATGACATTTTGGTTTAAAAAATAATTTTTATTTTTTATGTTTATTTCAACTAATGTATAGCCAGTTTATACTGTATTAAGTACCTAATAGTCAAATATAGTCATGTTATATAAAGATATAGGATGTAGAATTAGAAATAGTACTATTATAATGTAACAATACTTAATATAAAAATAATTATTAGAATGATTTGATTTTTTCTTGTAACTCAATTAAAAATAATAGGAGAAACAGAAAATGTTAAATATACCGAAAGAACTTCTCAATTTTTTGGTTAATACGAATACTTATTGTATAATGTGTAATATGTAGGTATACGCATAAAGGCATAAATCAATTATTTTTTCGACCTTTTTCATAAGAAATTTACGCGCCGTTAAATTGATAGGTCATATTTTTAACTATAGAAGGGTCGAAAGTGATTAGGAGTACCCAATTGTTTCCTAACTTTCAGCTTAATATCCAATATAGGTATTAGAGATATAGGAAAGGTATTTCAGTTTTAAAAATATAATGTATAAATCTTATATTTTATAAAAACAAAAACGCGTACGAAGCGGAAAACGGAAAAATCTATGGAATTTATTATTTTCAAATTTTAAAAATGTTAAGGTCTTTTAAAACATGCATAACCGAACAGAATCATTTTTCGTTACTAACGAATAATCGTTGCGTAGAAATATAGAGTGTACCACGAAGATATACCCATTGTTATTCCTCCGGAAATAATAAAAATAACAAAGTTTTTTTTTTTATTTACTCATAGGGAAAAGGAATACAAATATTTAAATCGTAATTAATTTTTTTATGTTTTTGTTAAAAACTTAAATTTTTTTTTTTTAAATTTAAAAGTGGCCATTTTATAGAGTTTATTTTTTTGAAAATTTTGGTGTATCAACTTTTTATTTTATTTTTGTTAAATTCGTGATTTTTAATACATTTTTAAAGTTCAGAGAAAAGAAGTATACAGTCAATTAATCGTAATAATAATAATCAATTAGAGAATGTGATTACAGCCTGCTGCATAATTATAGGTATTTTTTTCTGAACTTAAATAAATCATTAAAAATCATGAATTAAATGAAAATAAAAAGTTGATACATTAAAATTTCCAGAAAAATAAACTCTATAAAAAAATTTCAAATTTTTCAAAAATAATAAAATAAAATGTTTTACCAAAACATAAAAAATAATTGCAATATAAATATGTGTAGAACTTATTCCAGTGAGTAATTATAAATAAAACCAGAATTTGATTATCTTTATTATCTCCAAAGATATACGTATACGTATATCTTATATATATGTATACGTAAAATATCCCCTCCACATTCTCAACTTCTCACCTAAAACAATGGCCCATCCATGTATATCCGTTTTTTTTATATATATAATAATTGTTTCGCTTTTAATACATTTATGTCAAAAATCTTATAAATATCCATATATATATATATATATATATATAGGTTATGTTCTTTAGGGTTTATCCCACACAAATAAATAATAACCATGCATTCAGGTACAGCTAGGTAGATAGAGAATCTGTATCTTTTATAGACTACATGCAGGTAAGTATTAATAATTTTAGTTAAATAAAATATGTATAATTTATGTATTTATGTAAATAGTGATAAGTTTGGCATTTTATATTGTATATTGTACCTATCTATATTAATGGCTAATAGGTGTATAAAAGAAGTAAACCATATTAGTAGACAAATACCTATAATTAGGTATTGATTTAAATAAAATAAGTATTACTAGTGTATTACTATCTACCATTTTCCATTTGCAATTCGCAATACAATTAAACTTTATAATGGCTAAAAGGTTTTTTTTTTGTTGATAAAAAGCATCGATAAACTCAAACACTAAAATCTGAAAAATTATACTATTATAATTTATATTGCAATACAGACGATAAATATACCATTATTGTATAGTCACCATGAGTAGAATATGGACGTATTTTAGCAACAGCACCGTGCACGGGTTCAATTATATTGCTGACGAAAGACGTCACTGGACAGAAAGGTAAATTAAGGTGCATAAAATGTCACACAGTGTTTTCCTAATGTTAACATCTTTGTTGAGATTTTTAATTGGATTTTATGTTAGGGGACATAAAAATATAGGTACCTATTTATATACCTAGGGAAAAATTAAATTTGAATTCGTCCCTTTATCACTAGAAAAAAATGAATTTCTATTAATTATCTTCAACATTTTCAAAATAACCACTTTGTAATAGATATAATTTAAAAAAAAATTAATCTAACATACATGTATAGGATGAATAATAGTTTCTTAGTAATGACCGTTTTAAGAGAATTTATATCTATGAAACAAATTATATTCAATAGGTATTACTTATTTTGAAAATTGAACTAATAAAGTTTTTACTTTTAATGTGGACATTTATTAAAACCACGTCTATAAAACCACTAAAACTTAATGAATAAAAATGTGCTCTGAAATAACCATGGTATAGAATAGAGATAGTATCACTCGTCTTGGAACCATATACAGAGTGATCAATCTATTGTAAGACACTCGTATTATCTTGGAAAGTATTAACTTTTTTCGGAATCTGTTTTATAGAACATTTAAGTAAAACTGCTTGTTTCTTAAATGTTCTATAAAACAGATTCCGAAAAAAATTAATACTTTCCGAGATAATGAGTATTTTACGATAGATTGATCACTCTGTATAGAACATAGAATGTAGGCCACTGCTCTCTACTGCACTAGTTTTGATATCAACAATATTTGTAGAAATAATAAACAATCTAAATTTTTTCATACAATCTCACAAGGTGCGAAGTTTTCGACTGACAGTAAGTACTTTATCTGAAACTGCCATCAAAATTTGATATTAAAATAATTGAAAACAAAAATTCTACATTACACTCAATTTTTTTTTTTTTTACCACAAAGTACGACTTATAATGACCCTCCTGTAAATGTTCAAGTGTTTCTGTTTGGTCAGACAATTTTATTCATAGAGTATACCTACAAAATAAAAATTACGTAAAAACTCTCAAAATTTAAATGTCTATAAACAGCTCAAAATCGGCACAAATGTTATGAAAATGTTACCATGTTTATAACACTTCAAATCTCTAAGAATATTTTCAACTGAATCAAACAAAACACAAAATTAAAAATAATACATTTCGTAAATTTTTCTGTTTTTCCCAATAATTATAAAAACTAGTTTGAATATCATAAAACGACTTTCGTTGTAATTGGTTGTATGTTAAAAAAAACAGATTGCATATCATTTTTCGATTGGAGCAATATTACTGGTAGAAAATAAAAATTTCAAAAATTAAAAACAATGAAATCAGTAACACCACAGCACACCGCCGTAAATATATACCAATTTACCTGAAATTTTCTTCCGGGTTTTTCCCAGTTATTTTAAAAACCCTTAGAAAATCAAAAAATGCCTTTCTCAGTATATTAATTAAACAAAATTTCATTTCAGAAAAGGTGCTAAACTTTTTACATCAGAGCAAGATTTCTTTTCAAAAAGTTGTTTACCCCTTAGAAAATCAAAAAATCACTTCTTCAATGAACTAACTAGATAAAATTGCCTTTTAGAAAAGGTGCTAGGTACACTTGTCATTTTGGAGTAAGATTTTTGGTAGACAATTTGTATAAAGACAGGAAAAAAACACTTCAAAGTTAAACCAATACATAAATTTGAATATTAACAGAGATATTAGCATCGGAAAAACATGATAAGACACTTTGTACATATTTTGATTATTTTCCAGATTATTCTGGATTTTGACGTGTTTTATATCCGCATATGCTACTTGGCAATATCTTCAAGCCACCTGGTACGCTTATAATCATAATGCTGTCAGTTTTGTCACTGACACTACGTACTTGTCCTGGAACACGAGTTTCCTTTCGTTATCGGTTTGCGAACAAGAATCACCGGACAAGTTGTACGAATCCGCTGCCAAGTGCGAATAATATTACCTACCTACCCTATACTCAGTGGCGTGCACAGCGGGAGAGGAGGTAAGGGGTTATATTCCCCCTCTGTTAGCTTAAAATTACAATAAAATATGAGTATTTAATATCAAAATACACATATATCAGCCAAGTTATGAGGAAAATCTTGGTGTATTAATTATAAATTGGCTTTTTTTTTAGGATTCGGCTTTTAAATTATCAATTCCCTTAATCGAGTTGGGTAAAAAAGACGAATTTATGATTCTTATTTGCTACATCCCCTATAATTGAAAATTCCTGGGCACGCCACTGCCTACATCTACAAACAACAATCGGGGTAGATTTAATATTAATTTTGACTTGATTTATATTTGTATACATGTAAAGGATATACGGGGATGACCGAAATCCAAATATAGATTTTTATCTTCGAGATATCGCGTTTTATGACGGTGCGTGCTATTCGTGTATTGCACATTGCCAAAAAGAAACACTAAACTGTTCAACAAACTATGATACAATAATACGTGAAGTACATTTTAAAAAATAAAACATACCTACTGGCATTTAACAAAACACACGTGCCTACCTATATAATTGTTAATTTTGCGATTGTCGTTAGGTACGAGCGCAATGCAAAGATTTGATTGGTAATTGCTCTTGGAATAAAAAACCGTTTGAATGTTGCGATCAATTTTTACCGGTAACAACTGAAAACGGTGTATGTTTTATTATAAATTCCTTACATACAACTAAGTGAGTTGAGTTTACCAAAATCTATTATATATTTAAATTATGGGTCGAATTTAATGTAAACTAATGTTTATTAATAATTACTCTAAAACAAAAATAATATTTTTAACTAAGTACCGCAGTGTCCCACCGTGTTCGACGGATTTTTCTAACGCTGTTAGTATTAGATATATTTAAATCGGTTTGTTTTCGAGGGGGACATTGATTTAGAGAAAAATTAAATTTTTATTTTCATAAAGAAAAAAAAACTTTTTATTTAATCACTTTAGACAATTTTCAAAATAGCCATTTAATAAAAAATATTGTTCTAAAAATTTTAATGTATCACACATTCATATCTGATGAATAATTTTTTAGTTATAGCCATTTTAATTAGACGTGAAAACAATTATCTAAACAATATTCAATAAAATAATAGATTATGCGATAAATAATTACAGTAAGCACAGTAATTCTTTACCTTCTATTAAATATTAATTGTTTTCACACCTATTTTCTAGAAATTAAAACTGCTATAATGAAGAAACTTTTAATCGACTATGTATCTAAACATTTTAATGTATCATGATACATTAAAATGTTTAGAATAATATTTTTTAAAAAATGGCTATTTTGAAAATTGTCTAAAGTGAATAAATAGTTTTTTTTTTTTTTATGATTAGTTTAGGGGATGAAAAGAAAAATTTAATTTTTCTCCAAATCGATATCACCTCGAAGACAAACTAATTAAAAAAAAAATCGAAAAAAATTTAATATTAACAGCACTAGAAAAATCTGTCGAACATGGTGGTACACACTATATACTACCCTCTTAGTGTAACTAGCAGTATCTCTAAAAATTGAATTGGGAAAATTAATTTTTATCATGAAATTATTATTTTCACTCACTTCTTTTTACATTAATTATTAGTCATAGGCATCCTTAATTTTTAAAAAATAGGTACTTAGTTTAATATTTTTGATTTTTTCTATTTTTAAGGATATACTGCATTTTTCTCTGGTATGATTGTGTATTACAAAAATAATAAACATTACAAATGCAGTAGGTACTCCATAAAAATGTTTTATCAGTTAACTGATACATTTAAGTGGATATATATTTATAAATCTGTGAACAATTAAATATAAATGGTGTTACACAATATTTTATTTGTTTTATTAATTGAAAATTAAATTTAAACTCATTAGGTACCTGATTTAAAGTAAGAGTACAAAAGTAAAAGTCAGTTTTTGATTTTTTTTTTTTTTTCTTTTTTAATAATTAAGCAAAATTGAAACAAAACTAACAAAGAAAGGGACAATTTTAGGAAAATAATTTTTTTATTATTTAAAATTACGTTTTTAGATTCAGGAGCGTAGAAGCTTACAAGGTTTTACAAAGATGTTCAGTTTTTTTTCTGTGGACAACTTTTCTACCAGAGGACTTGCTCCGATATTTACGCGTAGTAACTTTTCTGAAAGAAAATCGGTGTAAAAAGGTACTTTAGGGAAGTTATTTTTTGATTTTCGCCGTAGTTTTCACAGCAAAGGTGAAAAATTGGTAAAAACATAGGAAAAACAGGAAAAATCGTAGCAAAAGCGAGGAAATAGGTACAACGTTAAACAAATATTATTAAAGAAAATATGTAGACCCTATATAATTATTTTACTATAATATGGCATATATATTGTTGACAAAGCATCACTATCAACTGAACCCCACTCAGAATCGTTTTTTCGTAAACAAAGGTTTATCGTTGCTATAACAGTAGAGTGCAGCCGTCCCCATTATCCTAGGACGTCATTTTAAACACAATTCAGTTTAAAATATTCGTAGAGACTTAAAATAAATGTTGTCAGAAAACTCATATTTACTTTTTCTAGATGTGGTAAAACTTTCAGAACATTTGAGCAATTTTTGAGACATTTGTGCGAGTTTTTTATGTCATTTTTATTTGGTAGATACTCTGTGGATAAAATTGTTAGACTAAAAAAAAATGCTTGGAAATTAAACAGGAGGTTCATTATAAGTTGCATTTAGTCAATAAAAAAGCTGTCTTAGGATAATAGAGACTGGTGTACCTTCTTTTGTAGGTGGAAAGTTGAGAAGATAGGATACAGAAGGGAATTTAATGTATATCTGTAAGCAGCGATAAACAATTTCTAATGAAAAAACGATTCTGAACAGAGTTTAGTTAATAGTGATGCATTATCAACAATATATTTGTCATAGCATGGTAAAATAATTAAATAGGTATAATTCATTTTCTTAAATTATATTTGTTTAATATTGTACCGATTTTCTCATTTTTCCTACGTTTTTCTTCGGGTTTTCATATTTTCTGAGAAAATTCTTGGGAAAATCGAAAAATGACTTCGTTAAGTACCACCACAAAAAAATTTTCTTTCGGAAAAAGGTCTACATTATATACATCGGAGTAAGCTTTCTAGTAGAAAGTGTGTAAAACCACTAGGAACATTCTTCGCAACACTTAGAATCTAAAAAAAAAAGTATAATGTAGTATTTTTTTTTAATCGAATTTTGTCGGAAATTGTAAATATTACAGCCTTTCAAAACATGTATAACCAAACTTCGCTCCTCGTTTATCATAGGTTACAAGTATAAATTAAAGAACTTTGTCTTTATGTACCTATCTCACCTTCCAAACTACCCCACCTATAACATTAACTGCACTCATCCCCAGTATCTTTCAGTTTTTTATTTTCTCTTTATAAATTATTTATCTACCAAAAAATAATAAGACCCTTGGGAAAACTACAACTGCGCCTAACTTTCTAATGGAGTTACTGAGTTTTACCTAAAAAAAAACAGATTATTCCGGAAATGAAATAACTTCAATTTTGAATACTTAGCTTTTACTGTTTGTTATACTAAGATAGTAGGATGGCAGTATACCTATCTAATACCTATTTAAATTATTTTAACAGGCGAGATGGAGAAAAATTAAAAATGATATCAAATCGACAATTAGGACCAGGTCGTCTTACTTTTACAGCTTATGAATCTATTAAAGTATATTTTTATATTCAATATTATAGATAAATATATATTATTACTAATAATTAAATTTTGTATTTTACCTATATTATACGTATACACATTTGTATACCATATAGCTATATATACACTCACCAGAAGATATACCATATGTAAATCATCCACAAGAAGAAAAATTTTTATTAAGTTGGGGTACATCATTTTTTATGAGATATCAGGTAAAAGTAAAAACAGATATAGGTAGATATCTATTACATTATGTAGGTATTTATACAATTTCTTTTAATGGATTAATTAGATAAACCAGTAGTGCCAAAACTTTGGGTATAGGTCAGGAGACCCCCGACCAAATGTTTTGGTAGTTCGTGGGTGGTTGGTGCTAATGGTGATTAATATAAATAGTAATTAAAAAATATAACTATAAAAATAGTCCTATGAGTTATGTAATATATTACACTAAAAAAGATATGCATTGTACAATATTTCATTATTTTCCCGAGTATTTTTAAATAACTTTGGCGCCACTTTGGTAAACAATGATTTTGTAGTTTTACCGAAGGTGGACATGAGAAATGGTAATTTTATTTTATTTATTTGTTTCATAAAATAATTAAAGAAATTGAAGACTATATACTGGGGGAGGGAGAGCTCACAGTCATTCCTTTCACAAATGTTGGTATACAATACTATAAATATAATTATAAAAGCATTTGATGATGCACCTAGATAAAATGTTTGGATCTAAAGAAATCTAATAACATTACTGAGCAGGTGAAAGAAATTGAAAATGACCCATTACTGAAAGAAGTTGCTATTACACAAAGAAACTGCCGTTTTCCGGATGAAAACAATTTACATGTGTACGATATTTACAGTAATTCTGCATGTATTGTGAACTGCAGAGCAGAAGCTATACTGAAGAAGTGTAATTGTACACCACATTATTTAAGGATTTGTATGTTAATCTAGATAAATTTAATGTAAATTGCTTAAATTGTTTTTGAATTATATAGCTGGAACACCAATTTGTGGGGTTGAAGGACTTAGTTGTGTAACTGAATATTCAGGTTTGTAATATACTATACAATACAGTGTAGGAGATACTATTTTTAAAATTTTCTATTTTATAGCATATGAACTAATATTATATTTACAATTTTTTTTCAGAAATGTTTAGATCTTTAAAAACTTATGATTTTAACAAATTAGGATTAGTTTGTAATTGTGTACCTAGTTGTACGGAACCAGAATATAATGTCTTGACATTAATCACCGACAATGGGTAGTAAGTTAATCTTTCTAATAAAATATTAATAAGTTTATCAGCATAGTTTATTAAAAACATATTTCTATAATATTATAATATTGTTTATTATAAACTCATAGTGGTAATATGTACCACATTCCATAGATACTTTTCCGAAATATACTGTATATTGTATATATGCACATAAAAATAATAATTAATTATTCTGTTACCTAGTTTTGAAAATCAAGATGATCAAGATGATCAAGGTTCCAACTATGAATCAATAGTAGATATTAGATTAGATCGACTACCAAATGAGAGGCTCAAAAGAAATGTAGTAAGATCTCGTATGGACTTAATTGGTAAATATAAAATTGAATACAATTTAATAGTATAGCAATTTAAACATTTAATTACAATATTACAATATACAATTTTTATTATTATTATTTTTTTAATTTACCTATATAGTTTCAATAGGAGGGACATTAGGTCTATTTCTGGGAATGAGCTTGTTAAGCATTGTTGAAATAATTTACTACTTTATTGTTTGGACTCATGGAAAACCACAGACCATCAATATTAAAAGCGAAAAATCAATTCAAAATATTAACAATTTACCTTTTTTACACTGAAAAACCAACTAAAATCCAATTGCATAGGTAAATTAGTTACACTTATAAGCACAAATTAATACATTAATGTAAGTGCTATTGTAATTAGTATATTATAGTAAAGAAATAATCACTAAGTATAATTTGTTTCTACCTGACCAGGTGATGTCAGTTCTATGCTACAAATATCTACTTCATCTGTTTCAACAAAGCACATGTTCATGGAATCTTCAGAAGGTTTCTTGAAATACCATTTTATAAAAGACAGAGTGAATTTAAAAGTGATAATTATAACTCCTATAGCAGCAATGTATTTAATAATAGTAACTGTGTTGAAGGAGTTTACTGATTTTGCATCTGCTAAAAACAAAAATAAATTTTATTTTAGGTTTAAAAATTGTATGATAGATAATTAAATTAAATTAAATTCATATAAACTTACCATTTTTTTTTACCTGATCTGCTAACCATTTATTGAATTTTTTATTATGTTCATGATAAAGAGAATAATTCAGTTCCAGTTTCTCATAAGATTGTGTTGTTGTTAAATTAACATTTTCCCAGAATGTATACAATTGTATTACTGAGCGATTAGTTGTTACATTTGGAAGACTGTTATTGCTAAGTGATGATTTAATCAAAGTTGTATTATATTTTGAAGATATTAAGTCCGGTTCATGGTTATCAATATCAATAACAACAAACTTTCTATTAGGAACAGTAACTGTATTTAAATGGTCAGTATTTTTTGGTGAACTAGTCGAACTATTTGTTGTTGGCTCAGTTTTATCTATTAAAGTAGTTTGTTTAATTATCTGTATATTAGGTGATTCAGTTATAAATGTAGTTTGTTTAACAATACTTGAATCATTGGACTTTAGTACATTTATTATTGTAGAAGAATAATTAATTAATTTGGTAGTAGAAGTTGTATTTTCTATTACCAATTTAGTTGTTGCATTAGGTGTATCAATTAATGATGTGGAAGTATTAAAATATATTATTAGAGGTTTAATTTTTGAATTAGAAGTATTAATAGATGTAGAGATTGTAGTATTATTCATTATAAGAGATTTCATAGTTGAGCCAATAGTGGTAGTATTTAAAAATCTGAATGTTTTATTTGCAGTGGTTATACTATCATTAAGTGTCAAACTCTTTGTTGTTGTATTAGGAGAACCATGAACAGATAATGTCGAATTTAAGTTTAAAGTACTAATAATTTTTGGAATTTTGGTTGATGTCATTGAAGGAATTAAAATATTATATTTATTCATTGGAGTTGTGATTGTAACAAAATTATTGGAAACTTTAGAATCATTTATCGTTTTTGAAGAAACTGTAATATGAGAATTAGTTGTGTATGAAATGTTACTATGAACTGCAGTAGTCAGTTTTATTGGTATAGGTGTAGTAGTGATGAAAGTTAAATACAATGTGACAATTTCTTCCTTCGGCTTGACTGTAAGTTTTAAAATTTAAAATGTATAACACACTGATATAAATAAAAATAACATATTATAAAATACTGTAAGTATTAATACTTACTATATGGACATTTTAGGTTAATATCCGGACAACAATTATTATTATTATAACATTCCCAATCACACGAACAACTGGTACCACCTCTTCTACTTCCACAACTATTGTAACAAGTTTCAAATTCTATAAGTATAATAGTGATTATAATAATTACACACAAATAATAATACAAATTATATTATAAAAGAACAAAATTATATTTTTAACCTCCTTCATTTGGTTGTTCAATACAGCCATTGCCCTCTGCAATTACTATATTATCAATAGCTGCTTTACAACTTTTTCCTTCAATTATGATCTAAAAAATGGTTTAAACATTACTCATACTTCTTAAAAAATTAAAATAAATTATACCCACTCGAGCAGTGTCATTCAATGTAAATAAACCAATCATAGCTTTCCCTTCTCCTTCAAAAGTTTCCCAGTGAGGTATACCACCAAAAGTAACTGTCAATTTAGGAACACCGGAAACTTTTCCTGACATTACTTTGTATCCAAATATTAAACATCTTTGTTTATTTTGAGTAATTGGTGGAGGTATTGATGGAGATACTAATCTTCCAAAGGTGGAAGATCCATAATTTCCAGCATCCAAAGATATATAATTACCTATTTAAAATAAACTTAAACATTGTACGAGCAAATAATATGCTTACGTACCTGAAAAATAGTCAGAAGAACCTGATTGTACATGATATCTGTTAGAAATGAAGAATAAAGCAAATTCCACATTATCAGCCATCCAATTAACATTATTCAAATCATCATTTGTCCACCCACAAAACCTTTCATTTGCTGATTCAAAGTCACAAGAAAGAATTATTTGATCCAGTTCTATAAATAAAAATTATTATTAATTTTTAAGATACATTGTTACAAATTATAACAGAAATATTAAAAAAATGTTTTTTTTTTTTTCAAATTAAAATGTTCTAATGGCAAATACCTTTGCATCCTTTTAGTTCTTCATTCCATTCAATATCTTCATTGCAATAAACAAAACTAGGACCATTTATAGTGTATCCAGGATTACACGTGACTTCTAATTTGGCCCCTTGATTGAGCACATTCAATCTTCCATTAGCTATACTATCCACAATTGAACAACCTGTCCCTATAACATAATAAATATGCAATTATTGTATAGTGTAGGTATATGAAATACCTAATTAATTGATTTTTTTTTACATAATATTATTATTTAAATTATAATGACATACTGACATAATATTTTGATAATGTAAAATTATTTTCAATGGTCAATTTACTTAGCACCCACACTGCCAACCATATTTTATTTTTAGTGTGTATAATACAATAATACATGTATTATACAGTATATTATTATGCAATAACAAAATTTTTGGTCAGATTTAATTAAAATTTTGAATGTTTTTTTTTTATCTAATTTCACTATTTACATGCATATAATATTTTTGATGTACATATTAGATTCTGAGTGGAACAAAGAAACTTATAGTTTCACAAAGATATTTTTTTTTTCTACGCACAACTTTTTTACCAGAAACTTTATTCCGATTTTTAAGTGTAGCAACTTTTATGAAAAGAAATTTTATCAAGTGATTTTCATAATTATTGGGAAAACTAAGGAAAAACTTTGATACAATAGTATAATTTAAGAAACGTATTTTTTTAAATTTTATTTTTTGTTATGATTCAGTTAAAGACATACCTTATTTATAACTGTATGAACCTTAGGGGCGAAGTGGGGGAAAAAACTTTATTTCATTAATTTCATTTCACATATTTTACCTTTATATATTATTTAATATATTACATTTACATATTATTTATTAAGTAATTTGTTATTTGTTAAATATTTCACCGATTTTCTTTCAGAAAAGGTGCTTAACTTAAAAATCGGAGGAAGGTTTCTGATAGAAAATTTGTCTATAGATAAACAAAAAAAAACAAAACAAACATCTTTGTAAAACCATAAGCTTCTTCGTTTCTCTCAGAATCTAAAATTTTAACATGATACTAGGTCCACTTTTTTGTCAATGATTTTTTTTTAAATATTTGATTTATTGTTTACTATGTTTTTGGAGTCCATATAATCAGTATAAATTAGAACAATAGTCATTACTCATTAAATAACCAATGTATGCTAGTCCAAAAGTACTTGGGAATTGTATTTATCATGAAACTAATAATATAGTGTGTTCCACCTTATTCGGCGGATTTTTCTTGCGTTGTACATATTAAATATTTTTAGATTTTTTTTTTTCAATCGGTTTGTCTTTGAGGGTCAATTGATTTGGAGAAAAAAATTAAATTTGTACTTTCATTCCTTAAAGACAAAAAAAAGAATAACTTTATTCATTCCCTTTAGAAAATTTTCAAAATAACCATTTTGTAAAAAATATCATTCAAAAAATTTTGATGTATCACACATTTATATCCGATGAATAACTTTTAAGTTGCAATCGTTTTAATTAGAAGTGAAAACAATTAATATTCAATAAAATAACACGTTATGCGATAAGGAATTACAATCAGCACGGTAATTCTTTACCTTCCATTGAATATTAATAGATTTAACATCTATTTTCTAGAAATTAAAAAGGCTATAATTGATAAAAAATTAATCGGATACATGAATGTATGATACATTTAAATTTTTAGAATATCTTTTACAAAATGGATATTTTGAATATTTTTTAAAGTAAATAAATAAAAAAATTTTTTTTGTGTGTTTAGGGGATGAAAATAAAAATTTGATATTTTCTAAATCGATGCCTTCCTTGAAGAATAGCCCATTAAAAACAGTAAAAATTTAATATTAACAGCGCTAGAAAAATCCCTTGAACACTGTATTTAAACAATATTCGAATAAAATATAATTATTGTCTTTGTTTAAAATCCATAGGCTGTAATCTTTTGTATACTCATATATAACAATACACCTACGTGTTGTCTCACGAAGATTTATAATATTGTACATAAAATAGCTATATATTCGTGGGACACCTGTAGAAATTGACACAAGAAAATAATATGCACCTATCAATCACCCTATAATAACTAGGGCACAAATGTTTTTGTATTTGCAACTTTTTTTCTACCTTTTCAATTTATTGCTAAGTAAGTTTTAAATAAGTTTCATGTAAGTATGAATTCAAACATAGAAGTTTAAAGTGCAATTTTATTGAATTTACTCATTTATACAACTATTTTAGCTATAATTGACATTTGACAGACGTATAGATAATATTATACTGTAATATCTCCAGCCATAAAATCTAATAATGGTATATTATCTTTCTTTTGATAATTTCAAGTTGACAAGTATTCAATGCAATACAAAATCAATTTGTGGAATGTGACTGTTTGACTTATAATCTGTTTTCAGTCACTCTGTGAATTTTAAGCAATCGTGTTCTGTTATTGTTTTGTTAATATGTCAAAAAATTAAGCCAACTATTTCCACTGTTGTAAAAAAATTGTTATTTTTTAGTGTTTTACTGCAATAAATTTTCTTAGTACTTAACTACTACAACTTCTGTGCTCTAATAAAAACTCAACTAGGCTCAAAAAAAAATATAGTACAGTTTAATAAAGTAGGTATGATGCAAACAAATTATATAAATTAATTGACAAAATTACTAGTTAATAAGTTAATTAGATAAAAATTACTAATTTAATTTCTGAAGATTTTAAATTATTGTTAAAATACAATATGTTTACTACTTACTAGCACATATTGGTAATTCATTATCCCATTCTCCATCAATACAAGTCATTATTTCTCTACCATGAACTAACCTAAATGGATAATTACAAATAATTCTGAATAAACGACCATTTGACCGCAATCTCACTCTACCATTGTTGACTCGAATTGATGGGCATCGTCTTCTATTATATAATGACAATGATTTACATTGAAAAACTGAAAATATAAAATTATAAAATTATAATTATGATATAGTATTAGGACATTTACACAAGGGATTATAGTTTTAAGTAGAAAGTTATTAAGATTATAAGATATTAAAAATAATAGCACAAAACGCCATATACTTGTAATTCTATTCAGATTTTTAGGTACAAACCTATGCTCAGAAAAAAGCACACAGAAAAAAAAATAATAATATTAAATTTAATCATCGTAGACACATTTGTGAACTAAATAACATGACAAATGATTGTAGAATGTTTTAAATTAATTTAAATACCATTATATCCTTTTTATCTTACACCGGAACACCATTAGATTAACAAAAATAATGTCAAAGGTCAATATGGAATTTATTTAATATTAGTAGATATAAATAAAATAAATAAACACTTTTATGAATAATCATAATATTCTGACAAACATAAAAAAAAAAATAAACATTTTATCTAAAACATTTTTTTTCTATAGTATTTATAACTATCTTCTGATTTTGAATCTTGTTTATTATGTTGATATCTGAAACATGCAAAGTAACATTTCTAATTAGTACTTAATTATTATACCTAAAAAAATGTTAAACAAAATATTATTTGTCAAGATCAATATTATATTCTGAGTGGAGCAAAGAAGCTTATGGTTTTATAAAGATGTTTATTTTTTTCTTCTGTGGATAACTGTTCTACTAGAGATCTTGCTCAGGTTTTTATATGTAGCACATTTTCTGAAAGGCAATCGTAATAAAAGAGGTACTTTAAGGAGTGCATTATTCAATTTTCTCATAAAATGTGAAAAACCGAAAATACACCGAGGAAAAACTGTAAAATGTACAAAATATATTACGTAAATTATGTTTTTTTTTCTGTCGACAACTTTTCTACCAGCAATAACTGCTCAAATTTACAATCGTAACACTTTTTCTAAAAGGAAATCTGACAGGAGGCCATTTTTAGATTTTCTCAAGAATTTTTCCAGCAAATGTGAAAAACCAGGGAAAAAACGGTACATTAAACAAATATTATTAAAGAAAATATAGAACGCCTATTTAATTATTTAACCAAGCTATGACATATATATTGTTGACAAAGCAGCACTATCAAATGAACTCCGCTCAGAACAGTTTTTTTGGTAACAATGGTTTATCGTTGTTTACAGGTATACATTAAATTACTTATAACAGTAACTGCACCTAACTCCGTTATCAAAGGACGTCTTTTTATTTTTATTCATAATAAGTATTAGTATACCTAATTACAATAATTGTTTTCTCTTCTCAGTTTTACTAAAATTATTTACAATATCTTCAACGTCAACAACAATATCTCTAATTTTCTATATTAAGTTTACTCAAATCACTAAACCGGTTTTGAGTCACAATCAATCTTAGATATGTCTTTATTTTTCGTATTGTAAGAAAATAGTTCTCAAAAATGGATGAACTGTATTCCATAGTCCAATGAATGTATTACCTGTGTAGTGAAATCATTAATTTTTTGGGAGGCTATAGCAATTCCAGCGGGGACTAAGTCCTTCTTATTCGTACCTATGCATATTGGATTTTTACAAAACCTTTATCTTTAGTAACGAAAAATGATTCTGAGTATGGTTTGGTTACACGTGTTTAAAAGTACGTAATATTTATAATTATCCTCAAAATTTGATATTAAAATTCTTATAAATAAAAAAAAAACATATTATTTTAAATTAAACTTTTTTTTATTAACCGCATAAGTACAACTTAAAATGAACCTCCTGTTAAATCGTCAATCATTACTGTTTGGTCTAACAATTTTATCCTAACCAAATAGATATTACACAAAAAACTCGCAAAATTAAAATGTCTAACGGCTTAAAAATAACCCGAATGTTTTAAAATTTTTAACACGTCTCTAAATGGCAAATATAAAGTTTATGTCAAAATTTCTAGTCTGCGAATATTATTCACTGAATTAAAATTAAAAAAAAAAAAAATTGAAAATAATAAAAACATTATTTTCGTAAATTTTCCATTTTTTTTATTGGGAAAACTTCTAAGAAAATCGTAAAATTACCTACTTAAAGAACTACTCCAAGAAAAATTACCATTCAGAAAATGTAATACACTTAATATTTTGCAGCAAGATTCCTAATAAACTCTATGTACACATAATAAAAAATTAAAAAATAAACACTTTTTTAAAACAAATACATTTTTCATTACTTAGAATCTAAAAATATTGTAATTCAATTTTATAAAATAATGACAATCAAAATACAATTTTTTAGATTATAAACGAATATTAAATCAATTACCAAATCAGTTAACTCATAATATGTAATGCATGTTTAAAATGAAATGTATGATATAGCTTAAGAGAGTTTACGAAAAGTTTAAATTGAAAGATCTAAAATATTTGCTGATACCATATAAAAATACTAAGAACAACCAAGAGGACAAATCACTTTGTGGAACTCCAGTTGGCATATGGAACTTTAAAATAAATAACTATTCATTTTACTTATTAATAATAGTTATTTAAATAATAATAAACTCAATTTAACATGCAACGAAAAAGGCCATTTTTAAATTAAAGAATAAGAAATATCATGGTTTACACAGTCAAATGCTTTATGAAAGTCTGCATACAGGTTATCAACCTCAAGAACATTTTTGACTGGTTTTAATATTTCTGAGTAAAAGCTTAGTAATGTGTTTACTCAATCTGTTTCAGTAGACCATCCAGATCCAAAACCATGTTGATTTACACTACAAATGTGTTTAAAAGAATGGAATAGAATTGTTGTTCTTTAAAATTTGTAATTTTCAAAAAAGACAGGGTTATTTCATATTATTAATATAAGAATTATTTTCTTAATTATAATTTAACTTTCATTTCATTTTGCATAATGCACTAAGTTTAGAAAAATCAGTATTATATTTACAGTCATTAGTACATTTAAACAGTTTATGAAGACGCTTTTTTTCTATAACATTTTCGGAAATTATTCTTACCAAAATGGGATTTGGGAACAAATAATTTTAAACCGTTATAAATAATATTATAAAATGTATTCACAGTTAAAGAAACATCAGGATGACTTAGAAGAACAGATGGCCAGTTAATGAAACACAAATATTCATTCATAGCATTATATCAGCCATGAGAAAAACTGAACTCATGATTTAATTTGTTTAAGTAGTTAGTAGAATTAACACTTGGAAATAATAATTGGTGTGGAGATGTATAACATCAATTTTAACTAATTGAAATGCAGTTTTTGAAACAGGAAAGTCAACACTATTAAATAAGAACATTATTAAACAATCTGTATGTAAGCTCCTTTCTTCTCTTAGATTATTCTGTACCTACACAAAAAGTAAATAGAATAAAAAGATTTTCTAAATAGTTTAATTTTTTTTTTTTTTTGAAATAATAATATAAACATAAAATAATAAAATAACATCAAAACTTCAGAAAATGTAAAAGTATGCAGAAGATAGTTATGAGTTTTACTTATTGGTTATCCGAAACAAATATATAGCTTACTTAGGTGTCCCTAGGGCCTATTAAAAGAAATAAGCAAATGCTATAAATTACAAGCCTTGATATTATACTAGTGCTGTAATATATCTCGATACTTTATTGTGTATATTAATGAAAGTATCTAAGATACTTTTTAAAAATACAATTCTTACTTTTTTAGTTCAAAAAAATACAAAAATGAAATGTAAAATTCTAAAACCTAATTTTTCTAAAATAAAAATATCAACAATTTATTTATTAAATGAATTATTTTCTGATTTTTTTTTTTATTAAAAATTACTATGTATGAGTGTATGACCATTGTGTATTGACAAGCGGATAATACCCATTACTTATTTTATATTTATTAATAATTAACCAATATTTGAATATTGTTATATATTATGTATTATAACTGACAGTGATTGTATTATAACTTATAATTTTATAAGGATACAATTATATTTTAAAATTGACATAAAAGTGTAAACAAAAATTATTATATTACAAATTATGTACCCATTAATTATTTTGTTATAATTTTGTAATTTTGTATTTTTAATACAACTTAAGATACTCATAAGATATTTGTTTCTGTATCTGTATCTAGATACTATTTAAAGTAACTTATTACAGCACTGTATTATACATATTATAAGAAATAAATTTAAAATTCATTAAGTGTATAATAAACAATAATTTTTACTTTAATGAATCATCTGAAGATGAATTGAAACTTGTAAGGTTTGTTAAGTTTGATTCATAATAAAGTGTTTGTCTATGATAATGACTATAATTTTCACTCATACTACTGTCTGGTGAAGAAAACCATTCATTATTAATTTGTAACTTAAATTGATCATCATCCATTGAATCTTCAAGGTTAGAACAAACAAAACTATCTTCAGAAAACTGTGAAGTGCATAATATGTCTGTAATATAATAGATTGGACAATTATTATTTATAATTATTAAGGCATTTTTTCTACTATTAAATCATCTTATTACCTCTTAATTACTCATTCCTAATCCTATCTTCTATTGCCACTCCACTCATCCACCTAACCAATATCATCTCTACTACACTTTGCAAAACTTAACTCTTAGTCTCATTGGAATTCTCTTGTCACATTAAACATACAACACTTTTAATATCTTTATCCAATCACACTTAATCATATGTTTCACATCTTTATGTAAGTCATCATTCTTTTATACAAAAGACCCTGGGTACTTAATTCTGAACCTCACCTATAAACACATATTATCAGAAGCAGTCTTATCTAATTTCCCCAAACACGTACTCCACACACAGTAATCCACCGTTATCTGCAGATATTAAGGTTCCAGCAAAGTTTTAATTAATTAATTATTTATACACACTTACATATATTAAAAAGGATAAAAAATTTTTATGATAGATATCTGTTTTCTTTTATTCTTTATAAGTCATTATAAAGTTCTCTGTATGCAATAGGCTTTTAAATCTGCAAAGTACATGTGTACTTTACATGGTATTTATTTCTAAAGGTATAATATTTATTTGTAGTTATACATAAAAATGATCTAATTTTATCTAAAACAAATTAAAACATTCTCATATAATAGCAATGAATTGTATGGATAGTTAAATAAAGGGTGTTTCTGACTCAACTGTGGTTGAAAAAGCCGTGGGATTAAACGAGGGATTAGTGTACTTCTATTTATTTTTAATCCATTTTCTGTAAGTGCTATTCTCGATTTTTTTAAGCAGCCTATTGTTAACTACTTTCAGATTTTCTCTTACAAAGCTATATTATCTACAAACATCATATATTATGGTACCTCCCCTCACTTGTTATTTTCACCTACATCTGAAATGGGAAAATACACCAAAGTCTTATTTAGAACTCTTCATACTGTTTGACAGAATTTTATACTGGTTATCGACCTGTCGAAACCCTATTTATCACTTCTTACAACAGATAGAGGTACTATGATACCATATGTCTATTAAAATCACCTACCTGAGCTTTCCATCAGCAGAAGTTTAGATTTGTCAAACTCATAGCATGTGCCACGCTAAGGTAATGACTTATCTTAACTATTTATTATTTAACATGATTTCATCAATGGATAACTGCATACCTACCTTCATTATTAGAAAAGTTAATCAGTGGTTTAAATACAAAATCACTGTCACTAGAAATGTTAGATGACGTAATTTTAAATGAGTCTAATGTATCATTAATGAACGGCATTGATATATTTATTAAATTTGTATCATTTACCTCCTGTTTATGTTGTCTGAAATTTAACAAATTGTATACTTTTGATTTAATAAGATTTATAATATATAATACTCACTTTTTTTTGGAAACTATTTGCGATTGTTTTATTTTACTTAAGACATAATCTAAAAAATGTAATATATATTTAAATATCTAAATAATTACATTAATTTAATTTGGGAGCTATATACAAACCATTATTAAGATAACCATTCTTGGAAATTCTTTTTATTTCATCAAAATGTGAATAGGAAAATTCCAAATTTAATTTAGCTTTCTCTTTTTTACTTATAGGTTTATTTTTATTTATCACAGAGTCTGACGATAAAATTGGTAATTCTCGTATATCAGATGTTCTAGTCATTTTTGAAGAATTAAACCCTGATAAACTGTTGAAAAAGTAATACATGTTTATTAACTATATTAATGCTATCAGGGATATAATCCTAAAAATAAGTAACTTTAAAATGAAAAAATTAAAATTATTACTTATATTATAAATTACAGAAATCAAATATTTTAGCATTACTTAGTAAGGTCAGATGGTGAATTTTGATATACTTGAGATTTTTTAGCCATTGTATGTTTATTTATTTCACAACCAGTTATTGGTTTATCATTTTGTTTTTGTAAACTAAAAACAAATTAATTAATAATGCAATCGATTCTATTAGTTATATAATTTTAAAGTTATAATAATTCCTATTACATTGAGAAATGTTGTGATTGTAGATTATTTATTGTGGAATTAGCAATTGGAAGGCCAAACTTCACAGAGTCATCCTTATAATCCACAAGTTCCTGTTTTGGTTTTGTAAAAGAAATAACATTCTCTACATTTTGTACATCATTATTCATTTTATTTGCATTAGTTAATTGATCTAAAAATATATAATAATAATATTAGCTCAATATTGAATTTCAAAAAGAACTAAATGTAATAAATATTCTAACTTCTGTGAACTGTATTTGACCGGATAACACGCTGGTGCAAACCTCTATTGATCTAAAATTAATTTTAATTGTAAGTAGATGGATTAGGTACATATTGTTATTAATTAAAGTTCGTAAAAAGATAAAATGCTTACATTTCTTAGTCCTTTTTTTGTAATATAAGATGATGGATTAACTTTATTGTAGCGTTGAATTTTTGCCTAAAGTTAGTAAGATAAATGTAAAGTTATAAAAATTAATATTTTAGATTAGCCTAAAAATAAATGATAAAATTATTATTATTTAATATTTAACTGACCTATGTAATAGGTAAAAAAAACTTACCAAAATATCATTAATTTGAACTTCTATTTTTGATTCATCATCCTGGCGAAGACTTTCATACCATGAATTATCACTTTGAGTATCCTATTAATAATTAAATTAATATATTAATATCTTACAAATTGTAAACATAACATTAAACAAATAGAGTATTTTTAAATAATTTTTAGAAATTCATGTAGCACATTGTATTGTTGAAACATAAAAATATACACTTCAAATGGCTCTTCAAAATGAAATAATAACCAATTCAAATTCTTGTATCCTATATACTTATTTCAAGCATAAATAGTACAAATTACACTAAATAAAATTGTACCATGTCTAGAAAAGGCTAATATTATTTTATCTGATAAAATTTCAAGTCTCTAAGAGAGTATTTTAACTGAATTGCAACAAAAAAACAACATTGAAAATAATAAAAACAATAGTTTCATAAAATTTCATGTTCTTTCTAAGTTTTTTTCTGTTTTGCTTAAATATTAAAAAAACTACTGGTAGAAAAATTGTTCACACACAGACATAAAAAATACAAAAAAATAAAATACATATAGAAAAAATAATAAATCTCACTACACTTAGAATCCAAAAAATGACAGTTAGTTTTCATGAATGAATAAAATTCCCAAGAAGTATGTTGCAATGAAACAATTTGTAAAAACACTATTAGTAAGTACTTAACATGGTTTTTACTTTTTTAATAATTTTATGTTTTTTTATTTTAAGATTTGAATAATAGCTTAAAAATAAATTTACCAAACCACCAATGTTCTCATTTCTTAATTCATATGAAGCTTTTTTTAATTTATCGAAATATCTTCTTTTTCTGTTTTCATGATTCATTGTCAATGTCTAAAATATAAATAGTTTAATATTATTAACAACAAACTCTTAACAGTTGTATGAAAATTATTGTGCAATGTTTACTTCAGGAATTATTAGGAGCTAGTCTAGAAGCTAAATAAATTAGTTACTTAAACCTAATGAAAATCCAATAAAAAGTGTACATAATATAAACACTTATGATAAATCCAAGTAATTTTAAGTGTTATCTGATATATGAACGTTCATGATAAAAAGAAGAAAATCGCAACTTCAAAGTACTTAACTAAGAAATTAATACCTATCGCCTGTTAAATTCTGCAACTCGTTGCAATAGGTACATAGGTTGACATATACAAGAAAAAAATGGATAACTTTATAGTGGGACCTATGAGGGTAAACTAAATTTATTGATAAATAAAAATATTATGCAGGTAGATAACTAAATAAATATTCTATTTCATATTTCGAAATAGACCGTGATTTAGTATGGGTACCTAGTTTTTATTGTTAGCCTTGTTGTTAGTATTCGATATTTATAATTTATACATTTATTAAATGTTTCTTTGATTTGTTAAAATATTTAATCTGTAAATTTTAATAGAATATAATATATTTAAAAACTAATTTATAGAACCTCTTAAATCGTAATGAACTCCTTAAATACCTAATGCATGATAATTAATGCACGCAAGTAAAATAACATTTTTTTCATTGAAATATAATATTATAACACAGCCACAAAACCATGAGCATAAAATATTAAAAACGGTTGGTACTACAAAAAGAAAACTTCGAGGAATACAATAACCTCAATGGAAAAGGAAAAAATGAACAGATTTTATTTGATTTTCGTCATTTTAAAACATTGGTATTTAATACTTAGTACCTACTGGTCCAATATTCATTTTACTACCTAACCACAACCGAGCGTACAATCTACACCACGGTCTTATATTATTTGAATCAATGGTTCTCAAAATAATTATTTAATCTACAAAATATTAGAGTTTAATTTACTAACTGCTGGAACTTTTGAAACAACTCTTATCGTTTTTTTTGAAAATTTAAGAAACGAGAAATTCCAAACATTTTACATTACCATTATTTTTTGTCACACTGATTTTTGGGAATGCACTGATTAACTGAGGCAACCTATATTATTAATTCCATAAACAGATGGAGTTTTAGTAAAATTAATTGTGGTGTTAAAATATTTAATTACTATGAACTAGTTGACGAGATATTCGGATATTCCAGATATTATATACTTTGAAAAATGTTCAATAAACTTACTAAGCCACCCCAAACATATTATTTCTCAATTTTTTTTTTTATAATTATAGATTCTGATATTACTATATTCCAATCACTGATATGTGTGACAAAATAATATACATAATGTATTCTATTATATTTTAATTGTATTTGTGTTGTAAAAAAATTGTTGCCTCCCCCTCCTAGATATTTGCTCTGGATCCGTGCCCGATGGCTGATCTCCGCTTATGACTTACTTTCTAAGAAACCATTGATCAGATATGTAACACTATAAAATTCGTCGAATAATATATACTTAACAAAATAGCTATTTTGTAAATGTTAAACAGTTAAAAATAAAGTTTTTTTTTCCGGTGATTAAGGATAAAAATAAAAATTTAATTTTTTCTCCGTATTTTTGTGTAGTTTTCAAACAATATTAAAACCAATGGTTCTAAAAATAATAAAATGGTGAACGTCGATCTCATTGCGACACCAAACCCATAAACACAAAAATAACTTTTGCGATAACGATATTTACTGAGTCTAACCGGATTTGGCATTGGCTAACGCGTGACTGCGTCACGTTTGAAAATATCGTTGCGGTTTGACTGTTGCGTTCTGTCTTCTGTGCACTACCCGGACTGTTTTACCTTCATTTACGATGTCATTTACCTACTGAATTCTGCTGGCAGACGGCAGACGCCATCTTCTTCATCACACTATGGCACAACGCCTAAGCGTTATTATTTTTACTGTGAACTTGGTGGAGGTATGTGAAATTAGAAGTATTTGTTATTGACTTCGGATTCATCCCTTCCGTATAAATCTAGTTTAGGGCTCAAGTTCGTTTTTCAATTTTTTTTTTTTTCAAAATGTGTGTTTTTGTCTGTACATTAAGAATCTCGTTAAGAATCTAGAAAAAAGAAGTCTGACGAACTTTGTTTGAAAGTTATGAGGGAAAACTACATGAAGTTAGGGTTTTCCGTTTTGCGTATTTCTTAGTGAGAATTTAACATTGTCAATTGTATTTTTTTCTCAATGCTTAATGCATTGGTATAATCAAAACTTACCTATCATACTTACTTTTGAAGTTATTGTACATAAACCTTGAAAAATAGCATTTTTGTAATTAATCCAAAATGTGGTCGAAAATAAATATTTTTTCATTATTATTATGAATTGTATTTATTGATAACATATATTTTGATAGCAAAGTTTTTTTATTTAAGTCTGAATAAGTTTATCTGGTTTAGTTTTCTCTATTACCTATCCGTTGTGGTTTTGCATAACAAATCAAGTGTTATTTTTGATTAAAACAGTCCCAGCGAGCAAGTAACCAAGCCAGGTCTCTAGGTGCACTCAAAATGCTTTATGTACAATAACTTCAAAAGGGTAAATTTTGATTATACCGATGAATTAGGTATTAAAAAACACATTTTGAAAAAAAAATTTCAAATACGAGCTTGGGCCCTAAACTAGATTTGCCACATTCCTTCTTTCAGTAGCCCTTTAAAAGGCTGGCAAATGACAACAGGTGAATTTGTGCAAAAAAAATAATCTATGCGTTTATAATTTATACCAATACACTTGCTTTTAACCAACAATTATTTTAAAAATCGTTTCTTACAGTTCTTACACAATAGCTACTTTGGAATTTTTTTTAAAAATTATAGGAAAATTTCAAATTTTTATTTGTTCACTTTTCAAAATATCCAAAATAGTCACTTCCTTGAAGATACCTATTTATCTAAACATTTTAATGTACCATACTTTCATATCCAATCAATAGTTTCTTGATTCTTAGTAATAGTAATTTTAATATTTAGAAAATTTGTGTGAAAACAATTAATTTTCAATAGAATAATGTATTACCCGATAATGAATAACAATCAGCATGGTAATACCTTATCTTTTATTGCAAATCAATTATTGTTTTTATGCCTATTTTCTAGACATTTAAATAAATGGTTATAACTAAGAAACTTTTGATTGGTTATGCATGTTTCATACATAGGACAATTAAAATATAGAATAATATCTTTTACAAAGTGACTATTTTGAACATTTTTGTAAAGTTAATAGTTATTTTTTTTTTTTTTTAGTGATTAAGGGATGAAAATAAAAATAAAAATTTTTAAAAGCTTTATACAATTCCGGAGAACACTGGGACATTCTGTATATCGTTGTTAAAAGTATAGCGCATATCTCAGATTTTGAAGGTTTACAGGAGAAGCAAAAACACATTTTTAATAATTTTTACCAATTAAATATAGGTAACATAAAACCATAATATGCGACATAATATTGATTTTAAACGTATTTTAAATTCTGAAATTTAGATTTTAGTGAATATTAGAGATAGATATGCTGTTTACTTTATGGATAATAAAGCTTTATTTTACATAGGTACCTACTATTATACCTGATATGATGAAAGATACCAAAACAAAACTTTAAAGGTATTTTTCACTACAATAATAAAATTAAATTAAAAATCTGGTGCTCACCTTATTCTATTAGTAAATATATATTTTTAATATTTAGCAATATAGCACTGCCACTACCATTGACAACAACGGCCCCACCATCGAAAACAATGACACCACCACCAAACAAAGCATGACGTGGGCATGGACACGCCTTGTGCCTGGAGTAGTAATACTGTAAATATTAATATTGATAACTACTAAAAAATTTGCTTGACTATACATTGTTGGCCATGGCACGGGTGTTATGCCCCCCCCCCCCTAAGCACCTAAAAGGAATTAAATGATTTTAATTTAGATTTATAAAAAATAACAATTGTTATCATTATTTGAAAGGAAATGGTATTTTTTGTGCAATAAAATATGATTTCAAAAACAATACATTATTTATTGGTCAATTATTATTATTATGCAATTTTTTGATTATTTAATAAAACTAATTTAGAAGTCTTTAAATGTTTTATAAAATATACATTTTATACATGATTAAAAAAATTATATTGGGCAACATTAAGTGTAGGTATATTTCTCAATGTTATATTAGTTTGTACTAAATTTCAAGTATTGTTATGATAAATATTATTATAATTATTTTAAAAGTAATTTTATTATATTTGATTACAATTAATATGATATGATCATAATATAAATTAAGAAAAATAAGTTTAAAAATATACTTTATTTGTGCATTTTTTTTTTTTTACAGTTAATATTTTGACGTAACACATTATTACATTAAGTTATGTTAAGTTATATTGTGCAAGTCTTACTATATTTAAATGAGGAACTAAGATATAGGTATTTTAATTTACAATAACTAATTTATTTTGCCTATTATAATTTTGGCCATGATAAATGATCAAATTAAAATATTATTAAATTACTTCAAATATTTGTTCTTTATTATATTATGTAATACTTATCTGTTTTTTTTTTTAAATATTTTTTCATATTGTTACTGGAGGCAGACAGAGTGACAGATCAAATCGAAACAAAATACATTTTTAATATTGAATTTGAAACTTGCATATGTTATTCAACACTAACCCTATCATCAGTTTCTTGAAGTATATTTTAATTTAATTTACTAGGTATATTATGTTATTAACAATTTTAATACTATGTTTTTTTTGTTTTGAGTATTTCTACACTAAAGCGACCTGACTACTATTTTTCTTACTTAAAAAATAATTTTATTAAATCCATTCTAAATAGTTATAAGATTAAATAATATTATTTCATTATCATTTATAAGTTTACTGTTGATTAATACTAATATAAATAATTTTAATAATAATCAGATTTCCAATTCAATGTGATCAATTAGGTTTCAAGAAAACATGTATTGATCTTTAAAACAATTTTAATTTGTTAGAAAGAGTATTTTTTCAAATTTGGAAAATGAAGTTTTAACTTATTTAAAACAACTTACAATTTTGTATTTTGTGTATCAGTAGATGCAACTAAATTCAACTGTTTAACAGATTTGGCATGTTCCAGAGAAACAGAATTTTTATTCTTTACTAATGTTTGAACTCAAAATATAACAATTAATCTTAATAATAAAGTTATATTAATAAGGTATTATCTTCTAATATACTTGGCATAGATGCAAGGTTGGACTAAGCCACCAGAAAATTTTCCAGAAAGCTGTGATACAAATGAACTATGCAAATTTAGTAGTCATATGGGGTAAGTATATAACCAAAATAAATAACTGTATGACCCAAACACAACATATGATTTAGTTTTTTTTTTTAAGCTGCTAAATAGTGCTGAAAAGCTAACAATAAGGTGTCAAACACTGCTGCTGTACACTATCAAAGGAATTTAATAAGAAATAAATAATTGCATTAGGTTATTTTAGGTACTTTGAGTATGTTGTCAAAAGTTACAGTAAGATGTATGCTATCATTTGACCATAATAAGCTATTAGTGAGAATACTTTCAAGTTTTCCCTGTATTGGCAATAGAAAGTAAGAAGTTGTAAATATGTGAGTACTGTGTAAATTTTTAAAAATTTCAATCCAAAAAGCCTTAATGGTTATAAATTATAATAATGTTTTTAATAATTACAAAATTTTAATGAGTAATCTCAAATACCACTACTACTAAAGTTTCAGAAGGCTATCTTTTTTCACAACTATTCAATTAATAAAATGATCACTTCATAAATCTTTGGCTATAGGAATTAATATTTTAATAAATAGGTATTCATCAAACAATTCAATAACAGTTATTATTTCATGATCTACAAGTCAGTTTGACAAATTTATCTAAAAAAAAAAAAAAAAAGAATAAAATAATGTGCTAGTATATAAAATATGTATAGATTTGTAATAGGTTTTAGAAAAAATACAAAATATTCATGATTTATTTAATACCTATTTGTCCAAACATAATATTCAATTACTAAGTGACAGTTATCTTAAATAAATATTGAAAGCTCTAGACCTCTTAAATACCTTTAAAAATAGCTCCTTTATGTCATATAATATATTACATACATATCCTTATTCAATTCCCATGTCATATGGATCAAATAATTTATAGAAATTATTTACTTTCAAAATAGTTGAATTATTTAATAGATATAGAGATATATATAAAGATTTAATATCTATAGTTAATAATGACATTAATTTATTTAGGGGCTAGGTAGTAGATAGGTACATTATAATACTTATTATATTTTCTGGTACCTATCTACCTATATTATGTATTTAAAAATATCGAATTATGATGAAATAATAATTTAAAGGAGCTATGAATAAAATAAAAATATAATTTTATAGTTAATTGTGTAAAACTGTGAAAACTCAGAATTAAATATGAGCAATATTTTTATTAAATTATTGTTTGGTATCAATAGAATAATTTAGATAGGTACTTAGATTGGCAATAAACAGACAAGTTGAACAATTTCAGGAGCTGGCTATACAATATAGATACAAAATTTAATGTTAAATTTTAAAAATGAGTTATATATATTCAATTTTTAGGCGTTGGATAGTCAACTTCTTAAACTAGTAGCGGTACAATTACATTTGTTGAATAGGCAACATTAAATACAAATTTGGGAGTCACTGGGCTCTCTTATCAAATATTGCTAGCGGAATATCCAGAAAATGTACAATATATATAATTAAGATAAGTAACTTAAAAATCAAATGTTTCATCTTCTGCAACAATATTGATTATTATATTGTATTACATTAATTATTATTTATTAAAAATATTTTGTTTACCTATCTTAAATAATAAAAAAAAGAAAGATTGAAGTATGACAAGTAATCCTGTTATTGAATTGTTTAATGATCAAAATAAACAATTTGTTAAAGTATGTGCACCTATGGTCCGTTATAGTAAGTAAGTACCTACACTTATTTTTGAATATTTTATTACTAACAATTGACGCATTTTTAATATTAATATTGCAAAAATAGTGTACTCATAGTTGAATATTCTTTTAGACTCCAATTCCGAAAGTTGATTCGTATGTATGACTGTGATTTATGTTTTACACCAATGATCATGGCTGACTCTTATGTCAAGTCAATCAAAGCTAGAGAGCATGAATTTACAATTGATACAAGTTTGTTTAAACATAATATTTACTTTGTTGTTTATTAATGGAATTTATTTATCTTATAGATGACAGACCACTTATTGTTCAATTTGGTGCCAATAATGCATCTGATTTTGTAAATGCTTCTAATTTGATAATTACGTAAGTTAACTATGTATAAATATATGTATATAATTTTATAACTTTAAATTAAACAAGCGTTTGGTTTTTTATAGACACTGTGATGGAGTCGATTTGAATTGTGGCTGTCCACAAAGATGGGCATTAAATGATGGATATGGGGCACAGTTGCTAAAAAATCCAGAAATTATCAAAGACTGTGTTCGTCAATTTCGCAATCGCATACCTTCTAATAAAACTATATCGGTTAAATTAAGATTACTTGATGATCATAGGCAGGTATTAAATAATATATTATTATGATAAATTAATTTGCTAGATTTTTAAATCACCAAATCATGTAATTCATATAATAAATCATTCAATATAAATAATATAATATATTCATATCATATAAGTTATTAGTGTTTGTCATTGATGATATTATAGTACAGTATAGTTGTTAATTATAAAGTGATAATAAATTAGTTTTTTTCTTTAGAAGTACATACATTACTATAAAAGTAATAAATATTTTAGATTTTGAGTATCTACTAACTTGGTTAAAACATGGATTATAATATTATTATCTATAAACTACAGTAGGAATTATTAGGTGTTATTTAAAATTACACACTTTTCATAAGACATTTTGGTAGCGGTGATGTTTGTTATCCACACAAACTTTCTAGATTCTGTGCTATCTGCATAAAAATTATACCGACTGATTTATACTTCATTATTAAAATTCATTTTTGCACAATATTATTGTTTATGAACACATCACTCTGATATTAAAAATGCACACAATTATCAAAAAAATAAAAAATATGTCTATAAATAAGCAAAAGTATTAATTTTTTAAAAAAAATCACAACTCTATGTAAGTAGAAACATAACGGTTTCAATCATTTTAGTAAGTTGAGCATATAAAAATTAAACCAAAATCTTTTTCTGATTAGATTTAGTGTCTTGTATCTTTTATTAACATTGAGTATTTGAAATAACAATTACTTTTGGTAAAATAATATTGGTAGATATCATACGCAGGACATCAATATTAATGCAATAGTAGGTAGACATGCAATGTCACTTTTGATATTTCTGCATATATAAGGTATTATTATTATTTTATAATGTTAACTATATAAATTTTTTTTTTTCGGGTAGATAGTAAAAACAACAAAAAAGATAAATTTTGCTTCTAGTATACCTAGACAGATAGTTGTTCAGCTCAGTACTTTCATATTGTGAAAAGAGCATACAAATAGTAAAAGAAGTTCAAATATGCATCAAATCTTTAATTGTAAGCTCTGTTAAAAATCATTTACTGAACGTACTACGTCAATGCTAGTTTTCAAATCTTGTGATTTGACACTTTAAATTTTAAGTGACTTCTTATTGTCTAATTAATTTTGAATTTCTCATGCATTTGTGTTTTCTATAAATAATTATATAATAAATAATTTAATAATTTATAAGGGTTTTCAACTGGAAGTAATTTATAAAAATAACCTTTTTTCTAAAAATTTTATAGGAAATCAAATGACATTGTATCACTATTATCTTGCAGTGCAAAATAGAACAAATATGATATCATGTTTTGTGGTTTGGTGGTTTTTTATAAAAAAAACCATTCTTATCCTAATTATAATATATTGTGTATTATCAAATGCATGATTTTATTGACTTTAAATGTTTTAAAAAGAGATCATACTGAAAATGTATATGCCACTGTTGTAGTTGGGAAATTAGAAAAATAGGATACATAGTTATTTAATTTATATCTGTTTCAACGATAAACCATTGCAAATGAAAAATGTGAGTGAAGTTCTGTTATACAAGGTTTGAAATGATGCAATAGTTACGATTTAGTTAAAAATATGATGTTAAAACGCTTATGAAAAAAAAACTACTACATTATGCTCAACTTTTTTTTCCACTAAGTTAAACTTATAATGAACCTCAAATTAAATTCTCAAGCATTTGTGTTTAATCAAATTATCTTATCCACTGATTACCTACTAAATAAACTATTATAATTCACAACTATAAAATGTTTATAAATAACTCAATAATCGCCAACATTTTACTAAGTCTATAAAAGTCTAATATAAGTATTCTGTGAAAATATTCCACCTTACTATATTATGTTTTTAAGAAATAAAGTTAAATATATTATGTAATTAATACATTGTTTTTAGGTTTATTATTTTTTTTTATTCAGTTGTTTATAATTATAAGTTACTGATCAAAACTTCAAGTAATTTTATTTCTATATTTCATAAATTTAAAATTATAATATTTTTTTTTTTATAGAAAAAGTGTAGATCTTTGTCAAAAAGTTGAGGCGGCTGGAGTTTCATTCATTACCGTTCATGGACGAAAAACCCTTCAAAAAAATGATCCTATTGATCAAGAGTGCATAAAACTCATAAATGAATCTGTGAATGTTCCAGTCATTTTAAATGGCGATGTTAAAAACTTATCTGATGCTATTGCAATGCAAAAGTATACTGGTTGTAAAGGTAGTAGTAAATTTCTTCAAGTATAAATGTCTATGATTATTTTTTTAACATTTATTATTTGTGTGCTTTAGGAGTGATGAGTGCAAGAGGTATATTACATAATCCTGGTCTGTTTGCTGGTCATAATAGTACACCGCTATCAGCTGTTCAAGAATGGTTAAATATTCACCATACTAACTTCCTATGGTTTCATCATCATTTAGTATTTATGTGTGAAAATTTACTTCCTAAAAATATTAGAAAAAAATTTAATCAATTGCGTAAAGCATCAGATGTAGTTTCTTTTTTAGAAGATCAATTTCATATACCAAATGTACTTCAAAGTAATAGGACATTAGGAAAAGTACCTAGTGGAACGAGTGGGGCATACTATCAAAATGTATCTGAGAAGGAAACTATTCTTTCTCAATGTGAAGATGTAATGGAGGGCATTTGTTTATTTGATTCTTAGCTTATAGTTTATTATTAAATAATACAAAATACAAATATTAAATGTATACAATTTCTTTTTGTATAAGTTATGTACTTAACATTTTTTATAATTTGTAAACAGAATAAATAATGAATTTTATTCAAACATATATATTATTATAAAATTATTATTTACTCCGTCTATATTACTAAATATATAGCGAATAGAATAAAATATAATATTTTTAAATTATTCGGAAACTTTAAATAAGTTTTTAAGATTTTAGTTTTGAATGCATACTAAGTATAGTTAAAATATATTGATGCTTGTATAGTATTAATTGCCTGAAAAAAAGGTGACAATTAAAAATATAAATTTTTGCTTATGTTACATAGTAATTATTGATAAACTGGTAGAATTTCATTATAATATCTTTGATGTATTATGAACTACTATTATCTAATACATTTTGGTGTTATAATAATTTATTTTAAATGAGAAATTGTAAATTGAATGAATTAATAAAGTTTTATAGTTTGCTATCTGGAGTAAAATTACAAAAAAAAAAAACGGTTGTTACCTATTACTTGTTTATTCAAATATCTGATTAAATGATTAATTATTAACAGTTGTTTCCACATTAATTAAAGATAAATACTTAATTATAGATATTTATTATATTAATATATTATAATATTGTTATGTATATTGTAAATTAATAAATACTATTATATAGATGTATACCCAAATATAGGTACCGCATTGTGGATAACTTGTGGTCTTATACCTACCAAACTATTAATCTGAAATTAATATAATTTTAATAAATACCTACAAAAGTTAAGTTGAATAAAATAATTAAGTGTAGATAAAATATTTTATAAATAGTTCAAAAATAATACCAATAACATAAAAACAATTATCAAATAAAAAACGTATAGGTATTTAATATATAAATAATTATTATAGGTTTTATTATTATTTTTCAACGGTGTGAAAAATTTGCATTCAAATATTGAATTTTAAACAAAAAATAGATTGTACAATGTTAAATTAATAATTTATCAGAAGTATGGAACATAATCTTTAAAATGGTACCTACCTACTCGTCTTTATTTATTGATTCTGATTAAGTACAAAATTATCATTACAAAAACTTACCTTTTAGAAATAATATAGAAGATAAAACAATAGGCATTTTACATTAAATAATATACAAGTTAGGACAATATGAAAGTAAAGTCAATTTAGTAATAATTACCTACTTAAGGCAGATTATAATATGCATTTGCATGTTTTTAATGGTTAAAAAAATAGCTAGTTTATACCGAAATTAGTTTTATGACTACAGTTTTAGATAGGTAGATGAAAAATGTAAAAGATGCCTATTTCTTAATATGTCTATGGTATGTACAATATTTTATTTTGTATATTTTGCTGGCTCTAGGTTTTTAAGGAATATTTTAGTATAATGTACATTTTAAGGATTTTGTCATTATTTAGAATTAATTTTGGTGTTTAAGTGTATTATTTGTATATTATTTAAGTTATTATTATATATTTAAAGGTTTTGAGTGGATATAAATATATATCCTGATACTAACATAAAAAAAATATATACCTACCTTATAATTAATATAGGTAGGTACATATTTAAATGTGTATTGCGTAGACCTTGGAACACTGTTCAAAACTGAAATATTGATGTACAATATTTTGATAACAAACGGTTAAGTACTATTAGTATTATTTATTTGATTTTGGAAAATAATAATGGGAAACTTCATATTGTTTTTTAAAAATTAAATACATACCCATAAATCATAGGGCACGATTAAAGATATACTTTTATATATCTTTGATGTTGCTACCGAGTTATTCTATGGTACATACCACGGTTATCTATTAGGTTATATTATTTAGATAACCGCGGTACCCAAGGTTTATAGATAAACCTTGCGTGGTACCTACTTATTGTTTACACTATACTATTAATTTGTGCTTGTCCATAATACTATATAGTATTTTGTATAATAATTATATTATATACTTAACACTACTATGTTTGTGCGTTTAATAGGTTTTGTACTAAAATTTTTCGTGTATTCGCCTAATAATTTTTAAATAAAAATGCAAAAATTTTTTCGCCCCCGGGTGGGCTCGAACCACCAACCTCTCGGTTAACAGCCGAACGCGCTAGCCAATTGCGCCACGGAGGCCATGGTATTTAATGATTAACGTAGATCATTTAGGTAGAATGCTTCATACATTGTATATAATAGGTAATTTTTTAAACGGCAAGAATTGGGAAATTAAAAGATTTTCTGTTGAAATGTATAACCTACCTAATATAATATGTAGGTATCTACCTATTAATATAGGTAGGTAACGATATTTAGGTTGGGAGGTGCAGTGTCAGTCAAGTTATTTTGTTAGATATAATCTAAGGGGCCAAAAGTATACCTCCCCCCCCTACCACATTAAAATTAAAAGGCATACAAACGTTAATTACGTTCACTTTTTACGTTTACGCATTCAAAATTGGTCTCATTTTCATGAATGTGCGTAATAAAATTATTATTATAACATTATGAGCATTTATACATATTGAGTAATTTTTATAGACATTTTCTGTGGGAGTGCTTTTGTTTTATCAAATTATATTGGGAAATTTTACTTAACCAATTACTTAACCAATCCGGATAGTGTTCTCATAATATACCATATTGTATATTATTCCAATAGCATTAGATTATTTATAGGTTTTTACAGTTTATGTCGTTTACGATTAGGTTCTGAATCGCGATTAGTGATTACTGATTACGATTATAAAACGATTACGCTGTCCCGTAATACAGTATAAACGTATAATTATTTGCAACAGTTTACAGTAACATTGATATTGTATAATATATTCAATATTGTAATATTTACTAAGTTTAATTGTTTAAACACGTTACACGTACCTGCAATGGCTGTTCTTAGTCTCCAAAAAAATATCAAAGACTTTTTTCAAACCGAAAACACCTGGGAAAATTCATCAACTTATACCTAACGAGGTAAGTTTAAGACACACTTTCATGTTTCAAATAAATTTGTTTTATTAGTTGTAATTAATCTTAATTACAACTATGATGGGCAGATGCCCAGTAAAATTAATTGTTATAAATATTAATATTAGTAATATATCAATTATCAATATAAATCAAACTGGTTTCGAGTTGAAAAAACAATATTTTTTTTTTTTTTTTTTTTAGTTAGGTATAGATGAACTTAAAATGATTCAAAGTATGTGGTTGNACCATGTTGTTGATATCTTCATTGTTGGGGCCTAAAGCTTCGTCTATGTTGGATGATATGTTGTATTTTTTGGCGTCTTAATGCATTCGGTTATTAAATGTTTGACTGTTATGTTGACTCCACAGGTTGGACATTGCGGAGGATCTTCTTTAGTCATGAGAAATTTATGGGTTAACCTTGTGTGTCCGATCCGGAGGCGATTGATAGCTATTCTCTCTCTTCTGTTGAGATTAGGGTTAGGTCATTGATGTATTGTAACAATATTTTTGTTGAACGGATAATACATTTTACTTTTTAGATATTATTTTTTTATTTCCTACAAAAATATATTTCTACAACTTATGCCGATAATGAATAGACAAAAAATGTTATAGGCACTAAACTGGATTTAATTAAGATAATTTTATATAATGATTACCTACTTGTATACAATATGTTAATATTATGATATGGACATGGTACTATGATATTGTGTAATTGATGGTTAATTTTAATTTAAATAAAAGTGAATTACAACTTTTAAATATTTTTAAATCATATAATAATTAGGACTGTTATTTCATAGTTTCATACTACTAACTGCAATACGTGAACCACATTGCCATGTTATAATTCCTCTGAATTGGGTAGTATAAAACAAAATCTACTTCCATTTTATCCAATTAGATGGTCTGTAAGGGTTAAAAGTTTAACAAGATTTTCAGATAACTATAGCAGAGTTTAAAAAACATTCGATGAAATGCATTCAGGGAGTGTTTGTATAGAAGACTATAGAAAATCAACACTAAGAGGATATGTGAACAAATTTAAAACAATGTTTTTTTTTTTTTTAATATTGCACTATGTAGTATGTATTATGTTCTATGTATTATTGGTATTATCTTTGGTCTTGTAGAACAATTAGCAAAAGTGTTATAAAATCCTAAGTTGTGTGCATCTGATTCAATTAAAGCTGAAGATAATCAAAGAAAACATTACTATCATTTAGAACTAATGACAATTTTTAAAATATAACAAATACCGTGAATTTATATGCTGAAATGTATGTATTAGAACCACTTGACGACACTAAGTGCATACAAAAAACACCAAAACAACTTCAATACACAAATAACTCTCCTACATAATTATCACCAATATGTGAATTGAATAAAGATATTTTTGAAATAATTGACATTTGATAAATAAAATTGATAAACGTTTTATTCAAAAAGGTCTAAAAAACTTAGTTAAATTAGAAAACATACTTGTAGATCAAAACACAAAAACTCACCAAGAATTTACTAATTGTTTAAATAATATAAGTAAGGATTTTGACATAAATAAGTTTCATGCACAGCCTATTATGTTACCATATATTGTATCTATTTTTAATATTTCAGATATTATTAATAATTTGAGAAATGCATATTTAAATGTAAACAATTTTTAGTTTTCTGAAATTACCAAACTTATTAAATTGATTTTAACAATATCAGCATCTGCAGCAACTACTGAGCGCTATTTTAGTGCATTGAGAAGACTAAAAATATATTTAAGGCGGTGATATGATGATCTTACACGTTCATAAGTTTATGACAGCAAACATTGATTTAAAGTTAATTGCCAAAAAATTTGTTTCCAGAATTTCTCAAAGAAAATCATCACTTGGAAATTTGTATTAATTAATTAATTAATCTTACAAGTAACAACTTCTATATATTTATATTTTGTTATTTTTAAATATAACTTTAGGTATAAAGTAAATGTGTTTTATGTTTTGTTTCAATATATAAATGTATAAATATAATGTATTTATATTATACTATAATTATATAAATACATGTATACATGTATAATTCTTATATTATAATATACTACCTATATTAACATTAAAATAATAAAATATTCAGAAAGGTTTTCTATAAATATATAATAGTTGTTAAGTTTTTTTATGTTTTGCCCCTTCATGAAAAATAGTTCCTACGCCACTGCTCCAACTTCTTTTGT